ATGTAAAAATGTGAAATCCAGTTCTATTTTTCCATTTTAATTAATATAAAAGCATATCTCCCACTGTCTGGGCTGAGTACTTGTGTTTCCCTGTATAAATATCTTCATCATATTGGTTAAGGAATATTTGAGAAAGAAAAGCGGACAAAAATAATACCAAATTATTCCACAATCGCGTTAAATACCAGATAATTTCAGTCTTGTATATAATGAGAAATGATTTTAGCCCTCTTCATATGTTAATTGAATGAAGTGTGTATCTCCTGGTCACACTGCTAACTGGCTCCTCCACTCATTGATGTAGACTGTCTGCATCAAGAGTCTATGAGTTGAGGAGCTGCTGCCAGCTATGGTTTGTTGATATGGAAGAAGTCCAGGAAGCAGGGCCAGTGCCTCATATAGGTTTGAGCACAGAAGCATAGAATTGTTGACTTGGAAAGGACCCCAGGGGTCATTTAGTCCAACCCCCTGCATAACAGAGTTACTGCATGTCCTAACAAAACTTGTAGAGCATATTAATATGTACATTTTGATGCATAAAACAACATCCTAACCACAAATAATGTATAGGGGCTGTTAATGTGTAGAAGCAGTGGTGCAGCTGCTCCTAAAGAAACCTGCTCTAGACCTCTTAGACTACAACTATTGACCAGTTGCAAATACCCCCTTTGAGGGGCAGGTGGTGAATGGGTTGTGGTGGGGCAGCAGCAAACATTATTGGATTATTATTAAATTTTCTATATTACCCTTCATCTGAAGATTACAGGGTGGTTTACAATGTAAAAACGCAAAAATACATACCATAATGACAAACAGAAACAATACCCCCCAATACACACAATTTTGATTTATTACACTCTGGGTTCAGGCCTGGCCATGGGACTAAGTCAGCCTTGGCTGCCCTAATGGATAACCTTTACAGAGAGAGGGCCGGAGGGAATGTGAGCTTTCTTTTGCATCTTGATCTCTCTTCAGCTTTTTTGTACCATTTACCATGTTATCCTCCCCCACCAGCTCTGGAAATTGGGAGCACTGTAATACAGTAGTTCTGATCCTACCTTTGGGACAGTGTCCAGAGAGTAGCATTGGGAGAATGCTTTTCAGCCCCCTGGTAGCTATGTTACGGGGCGCTGCAGTTCACTATCTTACCTCCAGTGCTATAAACTTAAAAACTATGTCAAATAAGTTTTGGAGTGTTTCAACAACAACAACAACAGTAATTTATTTACCAGTTATATTTTAAAGAAAAAATATCAAAGCAGTTTACAACACATCAAAATATAAAGTATACATTCAAAGCAACATAATTAACAGGAAACTAAAATATTATCTTTAACATTTCAGAAGACAACATTACTAGAGGAAGTCAAATATAAAATGCACATTTAAAACAGTATAATGAACAAGACAATAAAATATTATCCCTTCCAATTGGGATTCAGGCCCCATCATGGGACTGAAACTGCCTTGATTGTGCTGGTCAATGATCTCTGATGGGCTAGGGAGATTTCAGTCCAGCCCCGTACAATGCAGGAATCTAAGTTAAAGGATACATGACAGAGGGCCATCCAACCTCTGCTTAAAAACCTTCAAGGAAGGAGAGTCTGCCACCTCCCAACGGAGACGACAGTGGCCTTCACCACTTCCCAAACCCAGTACTCCTTCTTGGTTAGATACTAGTAGCCAAAATGGGCAACACATGGACAAATAGATGGTAGAATACACTCCCCAACCACCCTGTCAACATCTGCAAGATGCAATAACAGGGACTCATCCAAGCATCTGAATTGCTCTCTAATATGGAAACAGACATATTTTAAACATTTCCAGTAAAACAAGCAGCAGTGGAATCTCCTTGGCAGGCCTTCTCAATCCCACAGTTGCCAGGAATGGCATGGTTACTTCATGGGGAAAAAACAAGCCTCTCCTTCATGTTATGTGCCGGGACTGACATCCGACATTGAAAACAGATTCCTGGATTAATTTGGGTGTTGACTCAAATGAAACTGAGAAACATTTTCAAAGAAGAGATAAAAATGGCGTTGAAATTTTTACAGACTAAAAGCATACTGCTACTATTTCCTATAGTAAATGGTTTATATGACACACCATGACCAACATGTAGAGTCAGGAAAGTATATTGGCCAATCTCATCCTCCCCAGCAGGAGTTCATTTGAGTTCAAGGCTCATATGGAACTGGAACTCCTATTCTTAAGAACTACACAGCAGACAAGTTGGTCAGACACATCTCCAGCACTGTGACGGGAAAGCCTGAACTTCTGAAACCTCTGCCTGTCAGGGCCAGACAGTTATTAAAAGCACAGATCAGAGGGTTGCAGTGCAGAAAAGGTCATGGGTGGGGGAAGAATTCAGAAGCATAATCTTAATGCTGCAATCATAACCCCATTTAGGATTTCAGTAGGACTTATTTCTGAGCAGATATGGGCCATGTACACACCATTTGTAGAACACTGATATAGTTTTTTCCAATCTGGAATCATTCATGCTCCCCTTAAACATGCTGCTTTCAATCCAGATTAGACTCTGCTGTCTGCAAGGATAGATGCAAGGATACTTGAGACCCTTGGTTAGGTTACCTTTGAATAGGTAAAAGGTAAAGGTAAAGGACCCTTGGACAGTCAAGTCCAGTCAAAGGTGACTGGGGTTGCGGCGCTCATCTCGCTTTCAGGCCGAGGGAGCTGCCGTTTGTCCACAGACAGCTTTCCAGGTCATGTGGACAGCATGACTAAACTGCTTCTAGCACAATGGGACACTGTGACGAGTGCCAGGGCACATGGAAACACCATTTACCTTTCAGCCGCAGTGGTACCTGTTTATCTACTTGCGCTGGTGTGCTTTTGAACTGCTAGGTTGGCAGGAAGCTGGGACAGAGCAACGGGAGCTCACTCCGTCGTGGGGATTTGAGCTGCCGACCTTCTGATCAGCAAGCCCAAGAGGCTCAGTGGTTTAGACCACAGCCCCACCAACATCCCTTGAATAAGGTAGTGGTGACACTTCATAGGGCAGGTATGGATACACCTCCTATTCCTGGAGCTACTTACATCTGTTTCCATATGGGCACACTGCAGGATAATGCAGACTCAATCTGCAATGAGCTTTTATTTTTGGAATAAAACCAGCTTCTCAATGAAACCAGTCTTTCCAGGGGCAAAAAACATGCAATAGATCTAGATTGTGTATGCACTACATAGAATAAACAAGTATTCCATCTCCATTGATTTTAGAATAAAATGTGTATATGCAGCTATGGTTAGAATTGTAGCTCTCATTTAACTCAAAAGAATTTACATCTTGGTAAATGTGTTTCAGCTCAGACTGTATGACAATAGGGCAGCTAGTGAGAACCCAATAAGAATGGAATGCTCTGCATTTCCCGTGTACCCTGAAGAAACTCCATGTAGGAAATTACTGTATTTTTTGTGTGTATAAGATGCCCCCAATATAAAACAACCCCTATTTTTTGAACCCCAATTTAAGAAATCGGTATTTTGGGATTGTTAAGCTTTCTGGGGGTTATCTCAAAAAAACATTGTCTTATACAGAGAAAAATAAGGCAGTTTCTGAGTTCATCGAGAGATGGTTTTGCGTAGGGTATGAAAGTGTAAGCAATTAACTGGGAAGTCTTTGGTTCAAATCTCCCTTTATTCACTGAGAGGTATTAGGCAAGCTACTGCTGTCCACTCTTCTGTCTGAAGCATAATAGACTTTATCTACCTGGCAGAGTAATTTGGGGGATCACTAAGATAATATATATGTAGCTCTTTGAACACCCTAAAATGCTCTATGGATGCTCAGACTTGAATTCATTATAAAATTTAGCTGATTCAGACAGGCTGAATCACTGATGATATTCTAGTACGTGGAAGTTCCTCTGTCTATGGGGACAGAAGGACACTTGGGGCAGGAACTTCGACTATGCTATCAACCTAGAAACAAAACTAAAATCCCATAAGGACAAGGAAGAATGTGTGTCAGGGGCAGAAAAAGCCCCTTTCCTGCTCACTTGCTTCCTCGGGGCACCTGGAGGATGACCTGAGCAGATACCTGCGTCTCAGCAGAATTTAAGCAAGGAGCAGCAGCCTCGCTTCCAATTTCGTCCAGAAAGGGACTGGCAGACGGAGCCGCCGCCGTTCACACGCTGCCCAGCCTTGGCCAACCTCGGGTCCCCAGCTGCTGTTGGACTACAACTCCCATCATTCCTAAGCGGCACGGTCGGCGGCCACGGATGATGGGAGTTGTAGGGCAGCAACAAGGTGGAGAAAGGCTGCGCTGGGCCCTCTTCGCCCGAACCCCGCCCCTCATCTGAGGCGAGGGAAGAGTCCGAAAAGGGAATTTCGAAGCGGGGCGGGCGGAGGCTGCTCCGGGAGAGGAGCCCGGGCGACGGAGGAGTGGGCGGCCTCTCCCCTCCTCGCCAGCCGGGTCTGCCGGAGACCCAGCGGGAAAGGGGGCGCTGCCTCGCCCGCCCCCCTCCCCGGCACGGGGCTTCTTTGCCTCGCCTCGCTTCAGATCCCGGCCCAGAGCATTTATTTGGGCTGGCGGTCCTTGGGGCAAAGCTAAGAAACGGGAAGAGGGAGGAGAAGCTTCGAAAGCGCCGCCAAGTCCCCCCCCCCCCCACGGGTGCCGCCTTGTCGCTTATTGATCTCCCTCAGTCTAGCCCGGGGGGGTCGCGGAGGCCAGGCGCCCCCCTCCCTCCCTCCGGTCCCCCCGCGGCGCCCTCGCCGCTTGTTTGTCCGGGCCGCGTCTGCAGCAGCAGCAGGGGGAGGCGGGGCCGAAAGCCGCCCCCGGCCAATCAGGAGCTCCCCTCTCCCGCTTGACTGGAGGCAGCCTTTTCCCCCCTGCGCGCCCGTCTCGTCTGGCGGCTGAGGCGGCGGAGGCGCGAGAGGGCGGGCGGGCGTGGGGGAGGGGCGAGCGGGCCGCGACTCGGCGAGAGGCGTCTCTCGCGCGCTGGCTCCCTGCGAGGGGGCGCGAGAGGGGCTGAGGCGGCGGCGGCGGGGCCGGGACGGGGACAATGGCGGCGGCGGCGGCGGCGTCTCCTCCTCCGAGCCCGCGGCGGCGGCGGGGCCCCTGCGCTGCTACTCTGCTCCGCTGGGCGACTTCGGCGGCGGCGGCCGGGCAGCTGCTGCTGCTCCTGCTGCTCCTCCCTGAGGCGACGACGGGTGAGTTGCCTGCTCCGCGCCTCGCCGCCCACCGGCCTCCGGCTCTCCCCTCGGCAACATGGCGTCCCAGAAGGGGAAGAAAGCGCCCGGGGATGGAGGAGGGGGCGGGGGGAGAACGAGGGGACGCGGGCCGAGTCGCCCAGGCCGGCGGCCCTCGCGCCCTCACAAAGGCTGCTGCCCCCCCTTCCTTTCGCCTCCCTGGGAGAAGAAAGACAAAAAGCGGCGCCGGCGCCTATAGAGTCCCGTCTGCGCGTCTTTCTTGGGGGCGGGATGTGCCTTGTTTTTGTGTAGTATTGCACTCTAGGGCGCGCCCCAGAAGCCGCCCCCTTTCGACCCCGAAGCCGAGGGAGCCGCGCGTTGTTCTCCTTCGCCTTCCCAGCCCCCGTCCCTCCCTCGCCAGCCCCACCGAGGGCAGATGCTGCTTGGCGCGGGGTCTCTTGGGCTTTGTGGGGGCTTCGCTGCGGTGAGGAAGGGGCGGGACGCAGTTCGGCTGCCCCCTCGACCGTGGGGCTGGCGCTGTGGCACCGATCCGGCCGTGTGTGTTCGAGGTGCAGCAGGAAGGTGAGGGTGGTGCCCCTTGGGATGATTCACGTTATCTCGGCACTTGGCTGAAACTTTGTGATCGAAACAGCGGAGGAAACCCGGCATTGTTCCCGCACCGTGACGGCGAGGCGCTGCGGGAAGCTTGCAGGGCACAACTACCGGTATCCTCGTGCTGCTCGCAGAAAAAGGAATGCCTGTGTTTTGAAGAAGTTTTTAAGCCTTGAGATTTAACTGGTGTCCGCATTCATCCCAACTCGGTGTGCTTGCAGCTGAGGCCAAAACTGCACCGATGCCAAGAACCGCATTGAATCGTAAAAAGGATGGCAAAAATCATGGGAACTCAAAAGCCGTTGTGCTTGTTGCTTTAATGGGTGGGTGGGTGGTTGTAGAAGTTGCATCTACAGCTACTGATGTTACACTATTTTTCTAAGCAGTCCACAAAGCACTTCTAACCTACTATGATCACAGCTGATCTGTATGCAAAGACTGTACATATTGAAGACGCAGCACTTCAGTGTAACATCTTAGTGCAAAAACCTGAGTTTGGGGCATTGCATCCACCACTTGAGATTTCACTGCAAGCAGCAATGATACAAAATACATGATCTCAGGCATGACTTTCATGGACAGACATGACCCAATTTTGCAGTGCATATTTGTGTGGTCAGAAAATGCAGAGTAAAAAACAGATCTGACATCACTGAGAATTTTAACTGAAGAGTAGCATAGAAACATAGATAAATACAGTGGTACCTCGGGTTACATACGCTTCAGGTTACAGACTCTGCTAACCCAGAAATAATACCTCGGGTTAAGAACTTTGCTTCAGGATGAGACCAGAAATCAGGCAGCAGCAGCACGGCGGCAGCAGGAGGCCCCATTAGCTAGTGGTGCTTCAGGTTAAGAACAGTTTCATGTTAAGAACGGACCTCTGGAACGAATTAAGTACTTAACCCGAGGTACCACTGTAAATACATTTAAATGCATTGTGGCACCTCTGGTTCAAAAAATTAGATTTCAGTTGCAGACATTCTTGGATTCATATTTTATCAGTAGATTCCATACATCAGCCATAAAAGTGCAGTTTACATTTGTGCCCATAGATCAGGCATCCCCAACCTTTCGGCCCTCCAGATGTTTTTGACTATAATTCCCATCATCCCTGACCACTGGTCCTGTTAGCTAGGGATCATGGGAGTTGTAGGCCAAAACATCTGGAGGGCCACAGGTTGGGGATGCCTGTCATAGATAATACTGTACAAAAGGTTCATCCAGTACCTCACTGCATTGCTGTGGCCACCTGTGGCACATCGGTGAAGGGTTGCATGGAGACACCCAAAACTACCAGTTGTTGCTCCTTTGTGAGTGGCCTGCTTCCCTTGAGTGCAAGGACAGCCACTTGCAAAGGAGTAGTGACTGGTACTCTATGGCAGTGGTTTTCAACCAGGGTGCCATGGGGTGCCCTGAATGATGGTCATGGTTACCATGAGCAACACTGGCCTATGTCCTTCCCCCCCCCCTGATTCCTTCTCACGTGTCTGTCTCCCAAAGGCTTGTGTGCTGTTGGTTGCAGCAGCCCTGGCTACAAGTTCCCCAGGTGAATGGTGCCCATGGGGCTGGTTAGGGAGTGCTGGTTACCAGCAGCCAAGGTAACCTCAGACTAAACAAGCAAGCGGGTGAGAAAGCCCAGCCAGCCTTTGCTGTTGGGAATGGACAGACAAGTCCCAGGCCCCTGTGGGGCAGGCTGGAGGGCAGCTCAGAGACCAGGGGCGGCAGCAGTGGCTGCCCGGAGGATTCTCAAGGAGAGGAGGCTGAGGGAACACTCCACAAGGGGGGGTATTCGAAAAAGGGTGAGGGGCTGCCTGCTCTACAAGCAAGGGGTGACATAACTGGGCTCCTGAGCCCCACAGGGGTGCCACAGAAAGAATGTAGTTGGTCAAGGGAGCCGTGGACTCAAAAAGGTTGTAAAACACTGCTGTACAGGATTGAATCCTCCTGTTTAACAGCTGATCAGCAGGGGGATTCTGTCCTGTGCTGTCTTGGTGTGCCTGCCCTTTAACCTTAAATTTTTTTTAAAAAAAACCTGCATATTAAAACAGGAGTATAAACCCCTTTAAAAAGACATTGGCCCCACTGCAGGACCGAATCTGGGGTGAGCTGGATGGCCACTGGGGCAGCACAGGCTGAATTGGCCTGATTTGGGAGCAACAGATCAAGGTCACAGGGCAGATTGGGAGTCCATGCACAGTCCTAATGAGAAGAGAGAAGAAATAAGGCAAGATAGGTAACAGACCAAAAGTGCAAGAAGGCAGTGATACAGAAAGGCACCACTAAGTGACAGAAAGAAAGAGATGAAAGTACTGTAATAGAAAATGAGAGAAGAGATCGATGAGCTAGATGTGAATTTTTTTTGTATATCATGGATGCTGTTTTGGTAAATTGTAAAATTTGCCTAGCAAGACAATTCTCCTGTGGCACAGCCTTGCAGGGAGTGGAGTGAGGATGATGTGGTGTCCCTGTTCCTTCTAACTCTGTGGGTGTCATTGTTAATGTGTGTTACTATGGTATGTATTTTTGAGTTTTTATATTGTAAACTGCCTGAAGGGTGGTATAGAAATTTAGGATTGGCATATTTCAAGAGGTAAAAATCTGGACACAAAAAGTTGAGCTTTTTTAGGGCAATCGCCTGATGCTCCCTCTGCCGCCACCCACACCAGAGCCTGAACCAGAGCAGCACGCACACAACTTATTTTTTCTAAAAAAAAAACAAAATACAGGACATTTGATTTAAAATGTAAAATTCCCCCTGGATGGGCATGTAGGACCCCCAAAAGAGGACATGTCTGGGAATTCCCGGACGTATGGCAACACTATGAAATTTAATAAATAATAATTACAGCTCTCACTTCCTGCAGCCAGACTACAGCTGTCACTTCCTGGGGCCCCATGATGGCAACCCCTGGGCAACCAAGTTGCCCACTGCAGTAGCAACCTCTTTGTTTTCTCACCACAGTAGTCACTTCTTTGTTTTACTCACCACAGTAGACACTTCTGCATTTTAGTTCCCATCACACTTCCATTCTGGGAGAAGTCTAGAAAGCCATAGAAACAAAATAGAAAGTGAACAGTGTTGTTATTCTATGACTCCCTTACTGCAGGCATATCTATGGGGCACTATAGGCATAGGTGGGACCTAGACCTATGGTTTAGGTGTTCATTGGAAGTCTGCCAATTAATTGGAAAGCTTCTTTATAGAAGTCTCAAGCAATTTTAATGCTTTATCTCAAAAAGTCTTCCCTGGACTCAGAGACATTAAGACAACTGCTGCATTGTTGCAAATATCCCCTTCCTGGGCAAGGTGATTGAGAAGGTGATGGCTGGTAATGGTCTGCTGTAGGAGTGCCTGGATGAAGTGGATTATCTAGCCCTGTTTCAGTCTAGCTTCACCTTGACTGATGGTTTTGTGTTCTGTTTTTTTGTTTGTTTGTTTGGAAGAGAGACAGGGAGAGTGCTACCTTAATTATTTTCATATATTGTGGCTTTTGATGCCATTGACCATGGTATCTTGCTGGCACTGCTCAGTAGATAGAGAGTTGGGAACATGTGTGTTGTGGTGGCTCTGCTGCTATCTCCAGAACCCCCACCAGAGTAGCACTGGAGAACTTCGGCTGGGCCCCTTGGTGCTTGTTCTGTAGAGTCCTGTTCAATATCTATATGACTTTACTGGGACAAGTCAACCAGGGGTTTGAAGTGTTGATGATACCCAGTTCTCTATTCCATCTGAATGGAGAGGCAGTTAAGGTGCTGGACCAGTGTCTGTAGGCAATGACTGGCTAGATGTGGGGCAATGAGCTGAATAAGTTGGAAGTGCTGTAGAAAGTTGGGATTTGTGGGCATACCTTTTCCAGTACCAACCAGCTCAAACTTTAAGATCTGCTGCAGTCTTGCCAATGAACACAGCCTGTTTGGCTTGGCAGTCCCGTAAGCTAAGGTTTTCTCTGTGGTGGCACACCAATTGTGGAACTCTTTCCCCGCAGAATTGTGTGTGTTCCCTGTATTGCTGCTGTCCCACTGACAGCTAAAAAATGTTTGTTCAAGCCTTCAGGTGAGCAGTTTTTATGTTTTCCCAAGTTTTACATAACGGTTTAAAAACTATTTCTGATGGTAAATTGGATTATAGCTGCTCTGGGCTCCATTAGGAGGAAGTTTAGGGTTAAAATGTAACAAGTGAGTAAATCTGATATGTTGCAACAACAGGCCAGGTAACAGAGCTACAGAGAATAGAACCAGCCCCTTTGGCAGACCCAGTCTCCAAAGCTGTCCTCATGTCTGCTCTGGCAACACTGGTACTGGACCTAATCTACAGCCTCAGTGGTTCATTTACCTGTTCATCTTCCAATATGATATATTCTGTTAAAGGTCATCAATGCCCTTCTGTATTCTACATAGGACAAACCCTCCCGGCTCTATGGCTGGGATAGTTAATGGGTTTTGTTTATTGTTTTGCTTGGAGACCATATTGAGGGTTTTACTACCTGTCCAAGGGCTGCATGCCAATGTGTTCACACACTAGGGAGTGTGGTTACACAGAAAGAGCCTGTACATGTACACACTTACACACGCAGCAGAGTAGCTTGCACGTAGCTGTGCACACACAGATAGCTTGGCAGAGGAACAGACTCAGCAGCAGATAGACATATATTCAGCAGCACTTCTGCTTTCCAGGGCACTGCTGTTGTAGGAGGGTTCCAAAATTTTATGCTCCATTAATAAATGAACTTCCCCTCTACACCCCAATTACTTTAATTGCCTTGAAACTTAACCAATCAATTTATTCTGCATTAATATATTATTAACCCCCTCTTTCCTCTACATTGATTTCCTGTGAACATTGGCTTCATTTCATTGTGCCCCATTAAGACCTCCCAATTTTTTCCTCTTCATTGATTGATTTCAGTTTCCTAAGTTAAATTGGTTTCACCACAACATTAATTGCATTGCAAAGACCCCCTAAAAGGGGCCACTGCTCCTGACAGATCTAGGTGGCATGCTTTTCACATGGTATGGGGCTGTATATGGGCCACAGCTAAGCCATCGCTGCTCTATAAAAAATAATAAATGACCAGAAATGTGACCACAGAAATTGTAATATTCAAAAACCAGTGAGGAAATATTTCAACCTACTCACAAATTCAGGAAATCTCAAAGAGACTGTAGTGTGGAACCATGAATTACAATCAAGAGGCTCAGTGCTATCACTTGTGAACTGAACTGAGATGAGGGATCCTTAACACATACGTGTTAATTGACTTACCAATGTCAGAAAGCCTGCTTTCAAAATCTGCATTGTAAATTACCACTGTTCAGTACATAATTATCAGTGTTTTTTTAATGCATTTTATTTCCCTCTGACTTCGAAATCCCTGCCCTAGCCAAAATATATACCTGCAACTCAGGATAGCACTACATGCATCTGACCAAGTGAACAATGATCCATGAAAGATTATGCCATAATAATTTTTTTGTTCTTTAGAGTGCCACACAACCCTTTGTTCTTTTTGATGTGTTGTATTAGTACCATCACATGTTAGTTGTTCTGTCAAAAAACATACTATCAGTGCGCCCCAGGCCTGGCATGCACTCAATGAAGTTTTACAAAATATTCACTATGAACAGTTGACTGCCAAGCCATATCACACATTGTTTTTGAAATTTCCCACCAGTTTCAGAAATGATTTACAATATTATATAAAGGGATCCTGTTTGAGAAACTCAATTCATTTCACAGTTCTTTGGATTATTGTGAACCTATTTCATGTTAAGGTTACAAAAAACAACCATCTGAAAATATGTCTGGAATGCTATTCTTTTTCCCAGATGTTGGCTGTCAACTTACCCAAACTGATAGAAGGAATTCATGTAGAAACTTGTCTTATTGTTGCATACGCTAGCTGCTTTATCCCTGGATTTACTTGAAGGCTGTTTGGCAGCTATTGCACCAAATATGCATTAATAAATTTATGCTGTTATAAATTAGCAATTAGGAGTGGAAGCATATTTTGGGGGCCCTTGGATTTTGTAACTCCACCAGTGTTTAACATAACTAATATGAACATCTCTCTTCTCCCCCCCCCAGCTCTACAGTGTTACTGTCTTGTTTGTACAAAAGAGAACTTTACATGCACAACAGATGGACTTTGCTTCACTTCTGTAACACGGAACGGAGAGAAAATAACACGGAATAGCATGTGTGTGGCACAAGTTGATCTGATTCCCAGAGACAGGCCATTTATTTGTGCCCCCTCAACAAGTGAAGGAGTTATTACTGTGCCACATTGCTGTGATAGAGACCTCTGCAATAAAATAGAGCTACCGATTCCAACCCCAGGTAATTTTCCCCACTCCCAATTTTGAAAGCATAATGTGAGAAACAATATAACATAATTTAGTTAAAATCAAAACAGATAGTGGAACAATCTAAGCATCCAATGACTTATTCACATGGTAGCATCTTCTACTCCTGTATTGCACTTTTGATGTACCAACTAAGTTTACCTGAAAACGGGGAAGGGGGAATCTTGTCTAGATATATGTCTATAGAGAGATATTTCTGTTTTATTCAAGTGCACAAACATATACAGGCATTGAATATATAACTGATAGGTTATTTTTATTTGTCTTCTGTGTCTCCCCATTCCACTTCTAGGTCCCTTCCCAAGAAAGCTGCCTTCTAATTTAGGACCAGTAGAATTGGCTGCTGTCATTGCTGGACCTGTTTGTTTTGTTTGCATTTCACTTATGTTGATTTTGTATATCTGCCATAATCGTGCCGTCATACACCATCGTGTTCCAAGTGAAGAAGATCCTTCTATGGATCGTCCTCCATTTATATCTGAGGGAACAACTTTAAAAGATTTAATTTATGACATGACGACTTCAGGCTCAGGTTCAGGTAATAAGAGTCTCTTCCCTCTTCCTGCTGCCCTCTTCTCCTCCCCCCCCCCATATACTAGTACATAATCTTCTAAAGGGGGTAGTATTGTTAATAGTGCAACACAAGCATAGTTACTTGCTAAATGTTACAGGAATAATGATTTTGTGATTGTATTTTACTGGGGTTGTGAGGATATAGCTAGGCAGAAATCATAATTAGTTTATCATATTGCCAGCAACTTGCAGTAAATTCAGATTTTAATCAGATTTCAAACCAAAAGTAAAGCTTGTTTGAAGTTTCGTTTCAGTGCCATGCTCAAATGCTTTCTTCTGTTGCAGACAAACCCTACCTAAAAAATATAGATCTTGAGATTAAGGTAAAATGTTGTTGAAATATACAACATTTATTACTTCTAATATCTGCACAATCTCACCAAAATGCTTGCAATACACACTGGGGGATAAACAGTATGGCAGGATCTGTGTATGTATTACCATCTTTTTTGATCTAGCAAGGAAGATTAGACCTCATTGATTAATGCTATGGATACCAGCCTAGTCCCATAGTCATTACAACAATTGGAGGCACATGGTATTAAAACCTGTAGAAAGATTTCTTAATATCAATAGGAAATAGTTTGAGCTATAGGCAAAAAGAAAAGGTCTCGAATGTCATAGGAAAATGTCTTATCTGTAATGTCACTACTGCTTCCTTCGCAGGAGAGCTAAAGTGGCAGATTATTTTCCAGTGCTCCAAGGCAGGTACAGGCAGGTTGGTTAATACAAGTGCCTGTGCATTTTGCCCCCTATTCTTAGTTCTATGAAGGCTAGAACTTGCATGTCCCATCCCCCCATGTTAAATGAAAGTTGGGGCTGCAGTCTAGCAAGACTAGAAGCTGGATAAAACCTGGCCAGGCAGTGAGTGACACAGTGGGATTTTTCATTGCAGCAGCTATTTATTTTATTTCTGGAGTTCTGCTTCTACAGTCTCATGAAAAGATTTCATTACCTTTAATGGGGGGAGGGGTGGAAGGTAAATCTACTCTGCAAGTTTTGAGATGGGTGAAACAGTAACCAACTGCCCCTTGTTATTTTGGGCCAGCCCTATTTGAAACAAGCTACCTTCATAAATGGTGTTTTGACATTTCCTTTTTCCAAAATCCGTAGTTAAGATTAACCAAAGTTTGCCTGGGTTTGGAGATCACAACAAACTGCACAACAAGCTACATGCACCCATGTAGAACGTGGGTGGAGACTTTACCGCCTTCCTGCAATTTGTTGGACTAACATCTTGCAGCCTTGCTAGAGGAAAAGGGAGAGAGTGGGACCCATGTTTTGCTGTGACTCATCAACCATGGGTGACTGACATGTGGTTTTCCAGATGTTGCTGGACTACAGACAATAATCAACCACTGGCCCTGCTAACTGAGGCTGATGGGGGTTAGAGTCAAACAATACCTGAAGGACCACAGATTAGCCAGCTCTGCTCTAAACCACGGTTTGGTGTTTTTTACAAATGAGGTGAAACCGTGCACAGAGTAACCTTTTGGCATGTTGTGTAGTAGCTGTTTGCTCAGTAATATTCTGCTGAAGAGAGAAGTTAGAGATACCAGTTACTGACTAGAAAAACCACATCAATATTTAATTGAACAACAGCTGAGAAGGTGTAGTTCCATGCCTTTAGTTTCCAAAGGATGCACTTACTGTTTCAGCCACCAAAGACAGTCGTCTCTCACTTTCCACAATCCATTACTTAAAATAGAGAGTTCCTGTATTTGAAACTAAGAAAGAACTAGAGAAGATAGTTGCAAAGTATTTCTTGCTTCTCAGTTTTAAAAAGTAAAAAAGCTCTTCCTATAGCAAAGAAGGAGAAAATATTACTTCCATATGGTCCTTTTTGTTCCTACCATGAACTTTGCTCCTTCCATCTCCCACTGTGGCTACCATCTGAAGCCCAGATCAAAACCTGGGTCCTTAACCCAGCATTTCAGAGTGGGGAGCTCAACCCTACATACATATTTTGCCATGTTTACTAAAAATGTATTTGGGAGCTATCTGATGAAATTTGTGGAACTGTGGAACAACTTGAGGAGTGAGTGACTGGAATCTGTTCCCAGAAACTATGCCCTGTAATTTGTACAATTGCCTCTTAGTCACATTTAACTTGCATGATTTTAACTGTATGCAGTTGAAGACCTTTGGTTGAAATCCTGCAAGTTAAATGCAGGCAAGGCCCTCACTGTGCATTGACTTAGAAGCCTCAAGATGCTCCCACAAGATTCAAAGAATTACAGGAAATTGAAGAGCCCTTGCAAAAGCATCCCAGGGCCTCTGGAGCCAGCAGGCTGAGCTCACATGAGAGTGGCTCCAATGGTTTGAGTATATGCATTTTTATGTATGTATGGAACCCTTGGAGCTCAACCCCTGCAGAAAATGCAACTGTACTGAATACCAAGCAACATCTTCCTGGTCTCCTTATTCAGGAGCTAACTGAAACATTGACACATCTCAAAAGCAATATAGTACTTTTTGGAGATCAAAGCTATAAAACTGATCCATATATCAGGAAAAGGTTGTGGTGCTCTATTGTGTTCTTTATAATATTGAAGAAAAACGGGAAGAAATTAGTTATCTTGGATCTCAGCCATGAATAGTGATTTTTTTATCCAGTCAGGTAGCTTTAAAAGTAACAAACTTGGTCACTGTTTTCAAAATAAACTTTTTTTTTTTTTTAGGTTTACCTTTACTTGTTCAAAGAACAATTGCAAGAACAATTGTACTTCAGGAAAGTATTGGAAAGGGTCGATTTGGAGAAGTTTGGCGTGGAAAATGGAGAGGAGAAGAAGTTGCAGTGAAAATTTTCTCCTCAAGAGAAGAACGCTCATGGTTTCGTGAAGCAGAAATCTACCAAACCGTTATGTTACGTCATGAAAATATTCTTGGGTTCATAGCTGCAGACAATAAAGGTTAAGTTTTTAAAAAATTGCTTCTGGTCCCTTTTTGCTTGTTGAAATCTCATAATGCTGTCTGTTGCACTTTGTGTCAATTTGAAGTAATTTCTACATTGGCTTCACATTAGTGTTTGTGTTTGATGTATATGCCCCATATTGAGTTCTATTCTGTGAATCATAGAGTTGTAAAGTTCAAAGATGATGAATAAAGTGCTACCATTCTTCATCTCCTGGAAATACCCAGAAACTTGCAGTGAGGAAAAAATGTCTTCTCTTTTTTGAATGAAATGCTGCTCATATAATTGATTTAGAATTGCAGTGCACATTTATGAATCTGCATGGGCACTAAGATCAGTTATAGTTTGTAGGCCTGCCAGTAAGGTCAAGTAAGCTGGCAGGCACAAAACAGCCTTCACCTTGGTATTCCCATGTTGTAGAATTTCCTCAAGGGAAGCATAGTTGGTTCCTTCCATGTTAGCTTTCAGGCGGCTAGTTAAATGCCAAGTCATTACCCTGTTTTAAATGACAAAATTGTTTTAATTTGTTTCATAGGATCACTAATCTGAATAAGAATCTGCTAGTAACTATTTTGCGTTAGTTAAATTTTTTCGGTATTGATTGTACAGTACTTTCAAAAAACTTAAGATTGTGAGTTTCTAGGAATAGTCTTGGAAAAGGGCATATAATTTATTTTAATGAGTGAAGAAGAAATAAATCACCAGATTTCAAATGTTCTGGTGATCTTTGTATTTTCAAAAACAAAAAAATCATTATTCAGTTGTTTGCAATTACACAAACTGCTTAAATATCATTGACTAGATGATCCTTGGAGTCCCTTTCATCTCTATGATTCTATGACTTCATTGGGATTGAAACAGATGGTGTTTGCAGGGTTACAGCTTTCACCATTTCTTATGTTTTAGCATCAGTAGATGCTGAAGAACTTAGTAGAAAGAGACCATGGTTAAATGAAATGCTTACCACATACAAGATAATAATTTTTATGTTTTGCTTTTGGAAATGCTTCATTTTATTTCTTCTGGGTTTTTTTTCCAGATAATGGTACATGGACACAGCTGTGGCTGGTGTCAGATTATCATGAGCATGGCTCTCTCTTCGATTACCTAAACAGGTATACCGTTACTGTGGAAGGAATGATAAAACTAGCTTTGTCTACTGCGAGTGGACTTGCACATCTTCACATGGAGATTGTTGGCACTCAAGGTAATTTACTAAATTAAGTGTGTAGCATTATTAATATGGACCTAATAGGAGAAAAAATCACATGGTTATGCTTGTGTTCTTAAGATTTCTTATATATTAAACATATATAATCTCCCTGTAAAGCACATTAGACAACACATAGCAGCCTTTTTGAGCAATTTATAACAGCATTTACTTACATTTGAGATGCCTCATAAACTCTCATGGCAGTTTAGTTTCAGACAAAATATGTCTTTATATATCCCTATTTCTCTTCTAGTCTTAATTCTATATAAAACATACTTTGGTTAGTTTCCTGCTAATTTTGGGTTCAGATTTTAAAAATATGTTTTTTTTATTAGTTTGCATTTTTAATAGCAATAGTAGAAAACACATCCACGTGTTCTGTCAGTGTAGTATTTCCCTCCACCCCAAGCAGAGGAATTAGTCATTTAATAAATTCCTCTCTATCATCTCATATGGGCAAATGTGAAACACTGAGATGCAACTTAGCACATTAAAAAGTGTATGTTGATTTAATTGAAATTTGGATTGTCATGCCAAGAGCAGTGGAATAATGGGGGCTGTTATTGGGTGTTTTTACTTTTATTTTGATTATGTGTTTTGTGGTTTTACGTTTTGATTTTATTCTGTGAACTGACCTGAGACCTGCGGGTTTAGGGTGGTATATAAATTGCAACAAATAAATTAAAAAAATTAACATATGCAATGCAAACTACTTTTCCCAGTGTTCAGTAATCAGTTCATCTGTCCTCCTCTCATATGTTGCAACTAAAATCCTGCTTGCCCAAGCAAGACTCAGAGGTAAAGATGGACTAAAAGAATGCCAATACTGTGTACTTTATGCATCTGGAAGCTCTTAAAACATTTTATTAATGAGGTGTATTTCAATATGGGATTCTATGTTATGTTAGAAAAATCTGTATTTTAATTGTATTTTTAATTTTATTTTAATTGCTTTTATTATTTCATCAAATTAAAATATTTTATTTTGTGAGATGCCCGGAGCACTTAGGTTATGGAGCAGCTATATAACTTCAGTTAAATAAATAACACTTCTTTTTTACCGAGTCAGGCCATAGGTCCAGCTTGCTCATTATTGCCTATGCCAGGGTTGCCAACCTTTGTGGGCCAGCTGAATTTTGAGAAAGTGCAATGGGCTGGTGTGAGAACATAGTATAACACAAAATAGCTGCCACATCCAAAGGGGCAGGGGGAAATGCCACAAAATGATATTAGCACGCTCCTCTTCTTAGCCACACCATTGGGGAGAGGGACCTTATCAGCCACTGCTGCACTCACAGACAAAAGGTTTTTTTGCACCTTGCCTTTGTTCAGAACAGATGGAAAGGTGGTTGTCTCATCCTGGTATCCAGGGAAATGTTGAGTTATGGTCTGAATGACTAGTACCCAAATTTATTTAAGGTACTCAAATTAATAGGATAAGTAATTATTACAGCAGCATCAGTATTATTTTCATTGCACCCTTCCTAGGCACTCAAGAGAGCTTCATGTTGTATCAGTAACCGTGTTCATGTTTGTCAAGTGGTTAACAAAATTTATGTCCACCCGCCTTTACCTCTACAAACTCTTATACTTTGGTACCGTGTATGAAAGTTGCTTTATTTGACTTGAACCATTGCCAAAGATCAGCTTTGAATTTCAATTTAAATGCATAATTAAGAAATTTCTAGGCAGATGCACTAGTTGATTAATAATTTTCTCTGTGTTTTTTTTTTAATGCAGGAAAACCAGCTATAGCTCATAGAGACCTGAAATCAAAGAACATATTAGTAAAGAAAAATGGTACCTGTTGTATTGCAGATTTAGGCCTGGCAGTAAGACATGATTCAGCTACAGACACAATAGATATTGCACCAAACCACAGGGTGGGAACAAAAAGGTAAAATTAACACTCTTTAAAAAGCAGAATATATTATATTAAAGAGACTGATAAACATAGCCCTAAACTTAAATGTACGGTTCCCCCAGGGTCTCTTGGAGAGCAGGCATTCTAATAATGGAAACCCAGAAATAGTGCAGTATTGTGCTGTTTGGGGGTTAAGGATCAGTTTCCCACACAACTGTGAAGCTACATAGGTAATTGCTGTTTGTTACCATAACTCACCTGACAGTGTAACTGGTGGTGTTGAAATATTGCTGGTGGTTGCAGTAGTGCCCCTTCTCCTCACTCCTGGCCTCCATACCTCCTTATTGGTGAATGATCTAGAACTTCTGGATAGTGCCTTCTCTTAAATAGGTGATCGGAAGGTGCTTTGTTCCTTTCCCCCATAGTCATCTTGTTGATATAATAAAAACAAAATTACTGCGAAGGAGAAGAGTGTGCCCAATTTCTCAGAACATTTATTTTTCAGTCACCCAAACCTACCTGCCTTTTGCAGAGTAATTAGTGCTTTGAAAATCATTGTAAATTATAATGTAGATTTGTATTTTTAAACATAGTTGCTACTTAAGGGCAGCTAAGTGCCTAGGCTGCTTTAACCTGGCATGAACCTTGTTCTTGCAACAGCTGGTAAAGAGATAAACATCTATATGGACCATTTTATGTATGCCTATGTACTCGAACCTGTATCGCACATATGTCTTCACTGAACTATTACTGTGGGATCATTCCGGAACACAATTACATACTGCAGATATTATTGCAGTGGACCTGATTACTCTTTAAATAGCAGTATTGCTTTGCTTATTTTTGAGAGATTACCAAACTCGAATAAAAGCCTGCTCAAATTGATCTAAAGGTTTAGTTGCCAAAATGGCAAGATAGTATGTAAAATGGCTTTGTAGTTTGACACACAGGTGCAGGGATTAAAAAACAAACAAACCAAGTGCAATGGTTACTTGTTACAAGTTTCACATTGCTTGGTTTATAATCTTGAATAGATCCTATTGTAGAAGTAGAACTAGGCAGGGAAATGGCCTTTTTTGGTGTGAAACCCAGAGGAACTGCAGGGGAACTTAAATAGACCAAGAAAAGTTCAGATCTTGAGATCTGTAGGTGAGCAAGATCCATGAAATAAGAGAAGCAGAGGGGGTGACATGCAATGGCTCCCTTTCTTGGAGGTTCCTTTACCCTGATATGACTTAGACTAGCCACATCTGCTTCCACTCTGGATTTCTAAATACTCTTCTAATAAAAAGTTTGAAAATATACAAAGCTTCCTTTTTGGATGACAGAAGGCTTGTGCAAACACTACTCAGAAGCAGGGAGATGAGGAGAGGTGTTAGAGTCCTCAGTAAAACTGGGAGGGGGGGGAACTTTCATTTACCACACAACCTCCTTCAGCAGATTTGGCACTGTTGTGTATGTATACACCACTTTTTCCTTTTCTGCCTATGGTGGGGTGTTCAGGACGTCCTGCTTTCTTCTCTCTGCACACAATCTGCACCATGGCATTTTGAATCCTGTCAGGTTCAGTTGCAGAAAAACAAGTGTCTGTGCCGTCTTTGCGTAAGTCCAGTTTAGAGAGCAAGGAAATGGTCATGGAGCAGGAAGAGTCACACGTGCATAGCCCACATATTCAGTCACATAACAGGGTGTCCCTGTCCTGAAATGATTGGAGCTTCTGCATGCCTCTCAGTTATGCAGAAGCTCCTACTATAGTTACTTCTTTAAAGTCTTGGTTGACATGGAGAGCCAGGTCAATAGTGAGCATCTTGAGAATGTCATCATTGCGTAATGCCTAACTGGCAGAGTGGCTCAACTGTTTCTAGTGCCTAATTAAAGAGAAATAGAGATAACTGTGTTTAGAGACCACTGCTTGATAAATAAAACATACTGGTTTTCATTTTGATAGGTACATGGCTCCTGAAGTACTTGATGATTCCATAAACATGAAGCATTTTGAGTCTTTCAAAAGAGCAGATATTTATGCAATGGGATTAGTGTTCTGGGAAATAGCTCGGCGGTGTTCAATTGGTGGTAGGTACAAACAGAAATGAAACAGAATTGACTTCAGATTCTGTCATGGCAACAGTTAACTTACAACTTGGTTTACACATTTTAGGAATTCATGAAGATTACCAACTACCATATTATGACCTGGTTCCTTCTGATCCTTCAGTTGAAGAAATGAGGAAAGTTGTTTGTGAACAGAAACTTCGACCCAATATTCCAAACCGATGGCAGAGCTGTGAGGTGAGGTTTTTCAAGCTGTATCAAAATGAGAATATTTAAAAATGTATAAAGCAGCTTAGTTTGAATTTTTAAAAATAAAAACATTGAGTTACATACTCAAAAATGAAATTGAATGTACCTTGAAGGATATCCGTTCACCTTATGCCTTTAACTATGGGACATACCTAATCACACAAATATGCAATATATTAACAAGAATAGCAGTGTGGGGTGCAGAAAATTTCCCGGTGAAATTTCTATAGGAAATTTTCAATTTTTAGAAATGCATGATTTTATAAAATTACGGTAATTAGTAAGAGAATTGATAATACAGATTATAATGCACAGCTAGAAGGAAATTGAATTGGATTGAAAAATTTTAACTTTTCATGTAGTTATCCTTAGGAACTGTACATACCTACACACACAAGCATGTTAATATAGTTTTTCAGTGTTCTTTCTTAAAATTTTACGTGTGGAATAATAATTATGTTAATGAATGTTTACATCTTAAAATAATGGCTAGTATTCCAATTCAAATTATCTTTTAGATTCTAAAATTTCACAATGTTTGAAATTTTTTCCAAGTAAACCTTAAGAGTTTGTTTGAAAATAACATTTCAACCACACTAAGTGTATTTTATGGAATCTTCCGCAGTCAGATATTTCAGTTCAACTGGCTAATGAAAAAAAGTTAATGCCACATGTTAAAACATTAATGCCACAGCTCTGCTTACTAATATGCCAATCAAATATGCTAAATTAAATACCAATTTTATGTCAGTGGAAAATTCATAGCACTGAGATACAAAAAGATGAGAAGTTATGGTATGAAAACTAAACTTCTGTTTCACTTCTTTACAGGCCTTGCGAGTAATGGCCAAAATTATGCGGGAATGTTGGTATGCCAATGGTGCAGCAAGGCTAACAGCTTTACGCATAAAGAAAACACTGTCACAGCTCAGTCAGCAAGAAGGCATAAAAATGTAATCTTGGAGGTGTTACTGAAGGAGACTTTTAAAGGACCATATCTGCACCTAATTTGTGCATTAAGAAGGCTAGTTGTTCTACCTCACTGGGGGAACAGAAGGATATTCCTGCCTTTTGTACAAAATAGGAAGATCAGTTATTAGCCCAGGATTTCTACAGAGGCAGTAAAACTTTGTACAGCTCCCTACCTTGCACTGCGGACTCCTCTTTCCCACGGACTCCTCTTCAGCTTCAGTAAAACATAAACTGGTTTTCCAAGGATTAACGCTGGTCCCTGTTTCGTTGAGAACATGAAGATGATGCTCGTGCACACTATCGCACTGAAGGATATCTTGAAAGTTTTTAAAGCTATTTGCTTTGTTCATGATGGCACACTCTATATTCTGAACCACTCTTGGCTTATTCTTATCAGATTGTGTAGTTTTTTGGCTACTAGGACACTTACTCTTGGACGTATTTATCAGGATTTGAAGACATTACCTCATCCACTCTGGAAGAACATATACGACATATGCAGTTATATTTTGTATTTCTGTTATTTTGCTTCAGAACATTACATGCCTTCAAAATAGATTGTACTGTACCAGGAAGTGCCACTTTTCAATTTTTGTAATGCACTTCATTAGCTATATGCAAAGCCTTTGGTGCTTGTAGAATGATAAAATATATCTTAACTAAAAGGGAATTTTATACTACATTTGGAATTCTTTTTACCAAAACCTCTTAATTCTGAAGACTAGGAATTTTAAGTATGTAAATTAATTCTGTGCTGTTATTAAAGTTGTGCATCACAATGAATTGTGGTGTCAAAAGTGGCACTTAACTTTTAATGACCCATAAAGAGTACTTCAAGATTCTTTTAAAATTTGATATGAGGGCTTAATCTGAGAAAATAAATTTTAGCACTCTAATGTTATCTGGGGCGGGGGGGGCGGTTATTTCTGCACAGACCCTTACCCATTCAAAGAACAGCGCTCTCTACTAAAGTGTCACCTGTTTCCCTGCTTCTCGAAGGGTAATCCATGTGTAAAAACATTGCATTTGGGCAGCCTTATTGTATGCAGTCCTTATGTGCAAAGCAGTAGACTTTTCTTAGCATCTGTAGCTGTTGTGTGATCTTGCTGGTCAGGTCAGTATGTGCTTTCTTAACAGATGGTTGGCACTATTGGCTCTGACCTCACCAATTGTATATATCTGGAGATGTGTAAGGACTGAATCTAGGTCCCCATGCTCGTAAAATGTGGTGCCATTGGACTTCTCCATGCAGGCCAACTCCTGTTTGGTGGCAAGAGCTTCACATGTGGAAGTATTTGCACAGCTTGTGTCTCGCCTTGAAAGTCACTGCTTTGAAACCTCCATCTATTATTATTACTAAATCACAGTTGGATAGTAATATACCATTTGTTTTCTGGTGCATACAGGTAGCTGTAAAATTTGCTGCTGGATGTAAAATACTGTGTTACATCTAGAATACTGAAAAACTGTGCTTGCGTTTTAAGGTGTATTTTGGGTTTCATTTATGTAAATCTTACATCTGGTGCACAAATCAAATTTCTATTAATGTATCGTCAAGCTAGTTACATTTATGAAGAACCATGAAAAACTAAAATCTTTTTTAAAAAATACCTTTGATTTCCATAAAAGTTAAAATAAGCCAGCAAGCAAAAACTACCTATTTAAGTTTGTCTTTCTTCAATGCAGACATAAATGAAAAGGTAAAGACTTTGCCCACCTGCAATTTTTTACAGTAATGTAGAATGAAAATAATATTGGTTAGCTGTACTGGCAGCCCCCCGTTTTGTGTGCATTTGTGAAATTGTGTATAATTGAAACCCATTGAAAAAGCCTGCAGCTGCCCCATTCCTCCCCCACCCACCCCATTCCGCCCTTTTAGTGATATTTCAGTGATGTCTTTACAGTATTACATTTCCAAGTCACTTTCAGGTTCAGTGTGGTGCATGTCTACACAGTCGCACAAATACTGAATGTGCATAAATGGGGAGCTGCCTGCATACCAGTTATCAATCCTTAACTTCCCATGATTCACTCATGCCAAAATGATTTTTCTATTTTAGTCTAGAGGAAATTATGAGGTTAATTTTTTAGCACTTCTTAAAATAGACGTTGCAGCAGGAAAATTGTATATCATGAAAATTGTACTTTGTTATTTGTGGCTTCAGCTGTGATGATATAATTTTAGTCATGTTTTCCATTGATAATTTGTCAATATCTTTCGAATGAGTGCCTGTATATATTACATAGAACTTTTTTAATCTGTTGCTTGTAAAGTCACATGTAGATTAGGGATGGGCATATCCTCTAAGGCTTCCCTCAGATTGGTTCTGGATTTCCCCAATTCTGCCCCTAACAGAAAAACTTGTACAGAGCCAGTCTGAGTGGCTCAGATGGTTCACCTGTTCCCTTCCTTTGACTCTGCTATCCTATTGCCACCCCCCTCCCCACTGCCACTACCATCCCTTCCAACTTGCAAAGCACTTTCTTTTCTTTACCTTCAGGTATGGAGTGGGAACGGCACTTTTCTATCCTCCTGATTCACTTACCTGGTTTAGGACTGAAAGCAATATTCCTTGGTAATTAAGGTCCTAAAGGGCTGTAGGTTGCCAATTCTTAACAGCCACCGCTTTCAGTCCTTATGCCCTGCAAAGCACATCAGAGTGCACCTGTTTAGAGATGTACAAACCATCACCTTCATTTCCCATTTTAAGGTAAAGCAAAATGATAGGTGGGGAATGTGCTTTGGGGGCTAGAGGAACAGTGGGGAAGGAAGCTGGGAGCCATTTGCTAACCTGCATAATAATCTTAGAAATCAGGGGTGGAAGTCTTAAAAGCTTGCTTCTCTTTGGAGATAATTTTTTAAGAATTCTAAAAATGGTTTCCAATTTAGACTCAGATTCACCATCACAACAGCTCTGATATGCATCTTTAAGCAGCTAGACAAGTATTCATATATTTTTCAGTTTTTGTTTTGCTCTTGAGAGTCAATGGGGACCAAAATATTTTGGCACTCAAAACATTTGAATGTTATACCTTTAAAAATCTGGTAAAATTTTGATGAAAGCTGTTATGTAATGTGTACACAGTACACATTTGTTTAATAAGGGTTTTTATAAAGTCTTTTTAAAAAATAGCATTACAGTTTCTGTTCAGATCTTGGACATATGATCCAATTGCTTACAAGACACATCAAAGGAACAGTAGCAAGCCTTGTTACTCAGATGTCTTGAGTGCTGTAACTTTAGGTACTCTTAATCCTTAAGAGTTGGAGTTTTATCAAAACATTTTTATTTGCCTTTTCAGATTTTTGTAGCCTTTCACCCCTTCATGTCTTGTAAACCTAAAAATATCTGTATATATGAGTGGCATAGTTTTGCAGATTCATACCTAGTAAGAGGCTATTCTAGCAAAATAACCATCTGTCAACTGAGTGCCATGGATCCACTTTTTAAGCTAGCTCCTTGTTCATACTGTGCCATTAAAATGGTTTGAATGGTACTTGATTTTTTTTAACATGTAAAAACTTGCTTTAAACTTAAATTACCTCTTAAAAAGACCAAGGTACATTTACCTCATTCTGTATATAAGGTTTAATATTTTTTCAGAACATTCTCAAGGTTGGCAATTACATGTCTCTTTAAAATATGAGTATTATATGCATAAACCTAAAACCTTGCTGGTTCTGCTACAAAGCTCTGTGTGTGCTCTTGCAGATCTGTTAATGTGAGCTTTCCTGTTGGCTTCGGAGATGGATGTACTTTCAAGGCTCTGATGCTGGTTTTGTAGGAGCTACGTGTGCACACTGAAGCATCTGCATGTTTAAACCAGCCCTGGATCAAGCTGATTGTATATTTTGTCTTGTGCCCAGATTGCGCATTTCTTTTTTCTTTTGTATTTTTTTTTGCAAATATGTTCTCTGTTTTGTTGAAATAGCACCAGCTCTTTCAGAGTTATATGGGTAATGACACATACATTTTTACATTTTGGATGATAAATTTTGAGCATCTGTACAAATGTGTTACTTTTAAGCCTTACAGAATTGTTCATTGCCCCATTTATGCTTGATAATGTATGTGCAGTAGAGTCTACGACAGAGGATTGTAAATAGTCTAAGAATGAGTATTATTGTTAAGTGCTAACACTACAGTAGAAAATAATAAAAGCAATTATAGATTTTCTTTCTTCTTAGTAGATAACATACTTGTGCTTTCTTTTTGGGAAATGAAGCTGCTTGCTGTTCCTGTACATTGATTTGTTTTGATGCCTGTTCTCTCTCTGCCCCCTGCCCCCACTTTTTAAAGTCATCGTAAATCTGTGAAAATTAAACAGAACTGCTTAGGCTCACACCAGGGCCCTTTGAACAGCAGTCCCCAGCATGTAGTATCACAAACATCTATTTAAATTCCCCTACAGTTTAAAAAACGGATTGCCCTGCAGGGTGGGGGTTCTGCTCAAGGAGAAAATATCTATAGTCCTCCTGTTCTCAATGACCATTATTTGAATTCTGAGCTTGGATCTGTTGACTTTTATAAGCACTTTGATTTGACAAAAATGGAGGTGCTGGTTGGGAATAGAATTTAGTTGTTCATGGTGTCTTGAACTAATTAACATCTGTCCAAACAGGTATATTTCGTAAAATATCCTGAGTCTAAAATAGATAACCAGCTGGAGTTGACAGAAAAGTTTTGAAATAATTGCATTACCTGGGGGAACATCAAAATTTTAATATTACTGCTTCAATATATTCATTTTTAGGGAGCTATACAGTTGCCACTTCCCACAGCAATCCTAAGTTATGCTAAACAGAATGATTTGCCTTGTTGCATCCTATCCATTGTGCATTCTAGCCAATCTTGGATATGCTGTATCTTCTCATTATTTCCTGCATCACATTGGCCACATGTCTTGGGTATAAGACTGATAGGCTGAACTTCAAGCATTGCTCTACCCCATGTAGCTTAATGGCACATGCCTTATTTTCCTAGATAAGGCTCTTTTATTTCTACGCAGCCTTGATTGCTGTTCTAATTGGCTCAGACATAACTGCAAACATAACTGCACAGCTTTCAGAAACTTCATAGTGGAAGAGGTTTTATGGGTTGGGACTTAAACACAAGAGGGACCTTATGAAATGAATTGTAATGTACTAGTCTTTAATATCTCATAGAAATCTCAAGCAAAGAGCATACATCCGTGGCTTAATCATGGATGCACTGCTATGTGCCAGAGTGGTGGTGAAAGTCAGCTCTGTCTCATCTGAGGTGAGAAAAGCTGCCCAGGTTCTTGACAGCAGTGGGCTAGATAAGGGCCACTAAGCTGAGATTGAATCCTATGGACTTCGCTACCTCTGCCAGCCCTACAGGGAAACATAACCATTGTAGTGTTCACTGGAAAAAGTTTTCTGACTAAAGGATTTGCTAGTAACTTCCTGATACCATGTATATTGCTTAATTGTATGGTAGAAAGAGATCCAGAACAATGCTGAATTTTTCTAGGTTTACGGCATAATGCCGTGCCAGTGTTTGTGTCTGGTTCTGGAGAGGAGGGATTTGATTTCCACTCCCATCAAAGTACGCCTGGTTCCTATCTCTTAGTGTGTAGTTATATCCAGTGCTTTTTTTCTAGGGGGGACGCAGGAGGACACATAACCCTAAACATTTTGTGAATCTTTGTACTTTTGTCCATTTACTGTATTTTCCCCGATCTGAACTATAAAAAGTTGATTTTCTTGAGCCAAAATGAGAGTACCCCTAAACATTTTTAAAGGAAAAAAAAGCACTGGGTATACATGTTTAGTTATTGTTGGCATCTGTCTATCTTGAGAGATAAAGTCAAACTGCTGTGTTAGCGGCACTGAAGTGGCCTTCCATGGTGTGCAAGCCAAGCCTGGGCAGTGTGTATGGAGGTCCTGGGCTGCTCAGACTGCAAGATGTGGTCCAAAGGAAAGCCAAGCAATATGTTTGGCAGCAGCTTGGTGGCAGGAGTTGATGGAAGTAGGTGTACAAGGCTCCATCCAACTGTCTTGGGGGCTCCACTCCAGATTTCTTAGGGTTTACTCCTTAGCCTTTTCTTCTACTGAAGATATCCTGCAAAGCAGAGGAGATTTAGGAGTTTTTCTCCTCCTAGATGGGCTACCTTCTCAGGTTGACAGGCCCCATCTGCCCTCACTTTGTCTGCTCAATCTTCTAGAGGCCATCTTTGCATGCAGGGGAAGTCCCTAACTCACTGAGGGTTTGAGGCCCATTGGCTACCCTTACCTGCTTTAGTATTCGAAATAATAATAATAATAATAATAATAATAATAATAATTTATTATTTATACTCTACCCATCTGGCTGGGTTTCCCCAGCCACTCTGGGTGGCTTCCGACAAAATATTAAAATGCAATAGTCTATCAAACATTAAAAGCTTCCCTAAACAGGGCTGCCTTCAGATGTCTTCTAAAAGTCTGGTAGTAGTTGTTCTCTTTGACATCTGGTGGGAGGGCGTTCCACAGGGAGGGTGCTACTACCGAGAAGGCCCCCCTGCCTGGTTCCCATCAACTTGGCTTCTCACAGCGAGGGAACCGCCAGAAGGCCCTCGGCACTGGACCTAAGTGTCCGAGCAGAACGATGGGGGTGGAGACGCTCCTTCAGGTATACTGGACCAAGGCCATTTTTGTTCCTAGGGTGTGGGGACACAATGTGGAGCAGCGGCAGGCTTCACCATTGCTGCTAACGGGCCACAACTACTGCAGGCAAGAGTCTGTCTTAGCCTAAAGGCAATGCTTACTGGAACAATGGGAATGCACAACTGAATTTACCCGCTCCATTCTTTTATTTATGCTAGCCCCATCCCTGGTATGCGTATCTAGCATTTAAAGAGCATTGAAACTGCCCTACATATCAGTGCAGTGAAAGAGGTGGTGCCAGCAGGTCTAGGCATGCTGACCTTGGTTGGCACCATTGCCAACATGTCTGCTTGTAGTAGCAGCAGTCCCAGTAGAGGTGGGAGCACCACTCCTCCATGCATGGCGCTGCTAGGGGAACCATTTTAATTCTGCTCCCCATCATAACAATGGCTATTTGTAAGCAACAATTGTGTTGACAATTGGTGACTTTGGTTGGTTTTACTAGTTTGAAAGGTGGCATTCATTGGAAATCTGTTCAGAAGCTGATGTTCTGGGCCAACCCGTTCTGTTCCATATGGGTCCTGATTAGAAAGGGGTTTAAAAAGTACAATACAGTGGTATCTCAGGTTACATACGCTTCAGGTTACATACACTTCAGGTTACAGACTTCGCTAACCCAGAAATAGTACCTCGGGTTAAGAACTTTGCTTCAGGATGAGAACAGAAATCGTGCTCCGGCGGCGTGGCAGCAGCGGGAGGCCCCATTAGCTAAAGTGGTGCTTCAGGTTAAGAACAGTTTCAGGTTAAAAACGGACCTCCGGAACGAATTAAGTACTTAACCTGAAATACCACTGTATATTGGAATGGTTTCTGGTCGAAAATACTGTTTCCAAGTGCCTCTGAGCATCCCGCCATTTTGGCATCAGTTTTATTTATAAATAAATTTATCTGCCTTTTTTTACACCATACTGGTAAGAATGCAGCATTGCACAAGGAATAAGGGGGAAAATCATCTGGAGGAATTGGATTGGCTCTTTCATATGCTCAGTGTTGCTCTCTCCCTCTGGGTTACAAATCCTTGTGCAGAGGCACACATTCATCCATTTTAAAAGAACATATGCAAACAGCTGAATGTTACCATCAACCCAAGAAGCCTCTTTAAGGAACAGAGGACACGGCAGAGGCAGCAACAACCCAGTGATGAACTCTCTTGGCAGGAGGCAAACCATATTTATGCCCAAGCACCCAGGCGGCGTAACTGATTTTTCATTGTGAAGAAAGACCTTCTTGTTCCAGACGGCTTTTGGGAACGGACTGCTTTTAATGAGGAGCTGCTGTTTTGGTTGCCATTGTCTGCAAGCTTTTAATAGATCCCATAGATAGATAGATAGATAGATAGATAGATAGAATTAAAACTATCTATCTATATCTATCAGTGTTTAATTGCTTTTTAATGACGCCTGGTTTTTAGGCGTTCTTATTTTGTCTGTAATCTGTCTTGATACCCTGTCAGAGATAAAGGCATAAATATAAATACCGGTAAATATATAACACTAATGAGTTAAAGTGCCAGGATTACACGCGGTTTGATTTCTATCAACGCTCAGTTGTTGTTTTTTTAGCGATTGTTTTATTTTCCATGTTTCCAGCCGTTCTTATTTCTATCCGTAACCCGCCTCGAGCCCCCGTGAGAGCAAAAGGCGGCTTAGGACTCAATTCCGGGCTCCTCTCAGCCGCCGAGCCTCCTCCGAGGGCCCCTCCTGCCGCCTCAGTCGGCCGCCGCTCCGTCCGGGGAGCGAAGCGGCCGCCGCCGGGTCTCCCTCGCCCGCCCCGCCCCCTCCCGGCGCCATCCTCCCCGCCCCCGGCGCCCGGCAGCCAATGGGGAGCCGCGCTGGGCGGGCGGGGGACGGCGGCGGCGCGGCGGGGACCGGGCGATGGCGGCGCTGACTGGCCCTGGGCGGCCGCCGCGGCAGGGCGATGGCGGGGCCCGCGGGACCCTGGTCGCGGCCCTGGCGCTGCTGCTGCTGCCGCTGCTGCTGCCGCCGGGCGTGGCGGGTGAGTAACGGTCTTGGCGGCGGGGCGGAGGGAGGCCGGTCCCCTGCCTGGGCTGCCCCACCCCCGCCGGGCAGCGGCCGGAGCGCGGCCGGGGGGCCTTCGAGGGGGAGGGAGGACCAGGCTCCTTTTCAAAATAAGAATTAGAAATCTCAGCGATGCACTGTGGAGAGAAAGGGAGAGCAGGCAGACACGTGTCAGAAGAACGCAACGTGAGAAGAGTCCTTCAGGGTCAGGCCACTGGCCCCTCTGCGGCCAGCCGGATGCCTCTGGGAAGCCTGCAAGCGGGAGCGGAGCCCAAGAGCCCCTCGCTGCCATCCCTGACAGCCTCCTCCTCCTCCTCCATGGTTTTGTCCAGTCTTACATTAAAAGCATCCAGGCGGCTGGCCGTCGTTCTCTCCTGTGGGAGTGAGTTCCATAGTTTGTGCGCTGCATGAAGAAGCCCTTTCTTTTCTCTGCATTCAGCTTCCTGGGATGCCCCTGAGTTCTCCTGTCATGAGAGACGGGAGAAAACTTTCCTCTGTCCTCTTTGTCCGTGCCCTGCATAATTGCATGAACTTCTCCCATGTCTCCTCTGGCTCGCCTTTTCTCTAAACATATGTGACCATTTAAGCAGGGCAGGGCGCAGCTGAGCCTCCGGTTTGAACAAAGGGCCTTTTTGCGCTCCTTAAGGGTGCAGTCAGGGAACAAATCCCCCATTGGGACACTGACAGGACAGGGAGGAAAGGGTGAGCTTCTCCCACTCTGGTGTTGATCATGCAGACATCCTTTTGCATTTAACACATGTTGTGTGATGCAAAGCCGTTGAACTTTCTGGTGTCTTGCCGTTCAGTTTTATATTGCAGCCTTCCTTTGAAGTTCCTTTGTTCCAGTTAGGGAACCTTAGAGTCAGATACAGAGTGTTTTTGGAAATGTTCTTGGAGGTTGAAATGTTACCTTATGATGAAGCACACATATTTTCCTGGCTCACTTTGATTCAGTTTTCTTTTACTTCAATGCCCTTAGGAAGCAGTTGAGAAATCTAGAATTTCAATGTACAGTCGTACTTTGGTTCTCGAACAGAATGCGTTCTGGGAGTCCGTTCGACTCCTGAAACTGTTTGAAAACCAAGCGTTGCTTCCGATTGGCTGCAGGAGCGTCCTGTAGCCAATTGGAAGTTGCGGAAGCCACGCTGGATGTTTGGCTTCTGAAAATCGTTTGAAAACCAGAACACTTCCAGATTTTGATCGTTCGGGAGCTGGTTTGTTTGGGAGCCAAGGCGTTTGAGATCCAGGGTACGACACTAACTTATTGGGCGGTAGGTGTTCCACCCCAATGAAGAACTCAGATTGTGTTTGATATTTGTATTTGTGTGTTTTTAGATTTATTATTATTTTACGTGAGGGGGGGATTATTCTACTAATGCATATTAATTGCACCATTATGGTACCCATATTGCTGTGGGGCATGCTGTGCCTGTGATACAAGGCTCATGTAATCCTTCCCAAGTAACTCCACTTTTTTATATCCATATTGCTAGGAAAGAGAGCTGAAAGAGATACTTGTGTGTCACAGCCCTGCAGTGTAGTCCAGTGCTGAGCTCCTGGCATTTTGCTTTCCTCCCCAGGAAAATGCAGTTGAGAAGCATGCCTCTGAAACTGTAGCAGTCATGCTGGGGTGGTGGTAAAACAGGTGATTAATTTCTTTCCATCCATGGGGAAAATTAGGAAGACTTGTGAGTGGGCAGATGCATGGAATGTGTTTGTCAAAACAGCCATGGGGGGAAGTCTTAATCCCTCATCCCCCAGTGCTTCTAACTTACGTGGTCAATTCTCCAGCCCTCCCCTGCATTTCTCCTAAAAACAAAAAGGCAAAACAACAGTGGGCAGTTTGAGCTTATGTGTTGTTTAAATTTTCTACTCCATTTCATCTGGTCTCCAGCCATACTGTCCCCCTCCCCCAAGCACAAACCAGAGGTCTTGACAGAAGTTTGCTTAGTTCACTTGCTCCCTCTCAGCCCAAATCCAGTGCCCAGTGGCATCCAGAAATCTCATGCTCCATTTTTTTCTTTCTTTCATGGTACAGAAGATAAATTTTGAGAAAACAATTGTTACAACAGTAAACAACAAGTAACTTGTTCTGATAAAATTACAGACTCATGCCACGTGTTAAAGTTTCATTTGATTACTCTAGATCATGCCACATTTCCCATGAGTGCAGGGTAGATTCCTGCCACAGTCTGAACAATTTATGTATTCAATAAACATTTGCCATATATTATGAAAGGAATATGGATTGTGTTTACCTTTGCTGCTCTCACATGGCATGTTAGTTTCTCAGCCAATGCTATTAACCATACTCTGTTATACCAAGAATCAATGTTCAGCCCATCACCAGTTTTCCAGCATCTAGCTATCTCCAGAAGAGCAGCAGTCAATAGAAAGGCTAAGGGGTCATCTTTAGGATAATCATGAGCAGACAGGATAATCTCATGCTCCATTGACTTACCTGCAGTAACATACATTGCACTGTTGTCCAAATGTAGCTTAAGAGTTTCACAAAAGGCACCCTCAAAACCTGCTTTCTGTTGCACAAAGGTACATGGTGCTTGTTCATTTTTTGTTTCACCCCTACCTGATATCATGAAGCAAACTTTTAGGACAAAAAACCCCCACACCCTTCCTTATGGATTGAAATTGACATGGCTTTAGCCATTTATCAGGTTTATTAATAAATGAAAGGAGAGTAGCCAACAAACAGGCCCACCAATTACTGTTCTGTTTTAACTCCAAAGCGTGCCACCTGGCCCTGGAGCTTTGGCAGGATTTTGACTGATGGATCAATTGCTTAACTTCATTTCTCATAATGGGAAGCTTTTCAAGAGAGTCATGAGGCTAATAAGAGGTATGGGTTGTCGGAAGATTTTGAAAATAATTAGAAATTGACCAAAAAGGCTCTCTGAAACCCAAAGCTCTCTGGCAATAGATGACAGTGTTCCAGAAGTGGGAGGCAGGTATTGGTTGCTGCCACAAATTCCTGGCAGTCTCAAGGTTTTGTTTTGTTTTTTGTTTTTTACATCTTATACTTCTTTACAGCTTATTCATACAATAATGGACATATAGGCAGTGTAGTTTGCTCATATGATTAGTTCACAATCTGTCAAACCAGTCCATAGCAAGTCCCACTAGCCAAATTTCAACATAAATTGGCCGCTCTCTGGTGAAGGTCCGCTACTATTTGTCTTTACAATTCCATTGTTTGGGGAGAGTCAGTGATTCCGAGAAAAGTAGCCTCTGTTGCATTAGATCACCTAATTATTTTATTACCCTCTCTGACACTAAGCATTTTAGAGGGTAAATTCACATCTGAATTTAAGTTTGATTCCTTTGGTAAGACCATGGTCTACTTGAAGGACAAGGGGTTGCTGTGAGTTTGCTATCTCAATTACCTTTGGATTGTTGACAATACCCAGCTAATTCTCCTTTACTGTTGACTTAGTGCAACATTTAGGACTTTTGTGGGGTCTTGATTGTCAGTCCAAACATTCAGGTGAATTGAAAATGCTGATGGTTAACTTGGCTGCCCAGAAAGCAGCCCTCTGATTCAGATCAGATTATTTGAAGGTCCATAAGGATGACAGCAGGTGATAGGTAAATTACCACTGGCAAATACACATTGTGCAAAATTTGGGACAGTTCTAAAGCTCTTAAGTCTCAACAGCAATGCAAACAATAGTGTCTCACAGGATGAAAGTTCTGTCTTTCATCTTGTACAGGACACCTGATACAGAGAATGCAGCATACCAATTCAAGAACATAGTATGTTGTGTGTGTGTGTGTGTGTGTGTGTGTGGCATAATCTATAAGCAACGTTCCAGGCTCACAGCCTTAAATGCACACAGCCTGCCATATAATTTAGTCTGTCTGTCCCAGAAATATTGTTATTTTCCCTGTCTTTGTCTTCAAAGACACTGCCATTTGACATTTGTGGATTCACTACTGTATGGTTCAATGTTATATACTTTTAGGTGGGAGTTGAGAGTTCATACGGTTCCAAGTATTGATAGGCCCACCAGTTAAGTGTTTTTGAGTCTATAGCCTTGGAAGCTACTTTGTTGCCTGCTTGAACTGGGCATTCCTTTGGTGTGTGATCTCCCACATTTGGTAATCATCCTGAAGGATAACTTAATATAATACCAATCATAACTTGTTTTCAGTTGTGCTATAAGATAAACAAACAAACAAAAAAACCTGTAGCAAATTAAATAACTGTTTTTAAAGGTTTAGAATTTTTTACTTAGTACTATTATTAAATTGGGATGGGAGTGGCGCTGTGGGTTAAACCACAGAGCCTAGCACTTGCCGATTAGAAGGTCAGCGGTTTTAATCCCCACGACGGGGTGAGCTCCCGTTGCTCGGACCCTGCTCCTGCCAACCTAGCAGTTCGAAAGCATGTCAAGTGCAAGTAGATAAATAGGTACCCCTCTGGCGGGAAGGTAAATGGCGTTTCCGTGCGCTGCTCTGGTTCACCAGAAGCGGCTTAGTCATGCTGGCCACATGACCCGGAAGCTGTACGCCGGCTCCGTCGGCCAGGAAAGCGAGATGAGCGCCGCAACCCCAGAGTCGGCCACGACTGGACCTAATGGTGAGGAGTCCCTTCACCTTTATTATTAAATTTATTACCTGCTCTTCACCAGCAGGTCCTCAGTATTAAAAACAGTTAAAACAACAGACACAGAAATAGAGTGGATCCTGAAAACACATGTATGACATGCCACGTGGCAGGGTCTTCAACATTCACAGCTATCTAGTGAAGATGCCGGACACACCTTTGTAGGGAGGGAATTCCACATATTTCAGGACTGCCACAGAGAATGTTGGCTCCTTCTGCACTAATGTGGGCAGAGGAATTACCAAGAGTGCCCCCTTGATTTGTAACACCTGAGAGGGTCTATAGAGAAGGAGGTGGTCTCAGATTTCTGGTGCCTATGTCTTTTAGAAATGTTAGCACTAGTGTGAGCTCCTTGAATTGGGCCTGGAAACTGGCAGCCAATGCAGCTCTTTTACAATGAGTGCTATGAGTTCTAAAGGGAACCCCAACTGGTACTCTGGCCACTGCATTTTGAACCAGTTGAAGTTGCTGAGTAGTTTGCAAGGGCAGCCCCATGTTGCTGCTTATTGACACTAAAAAGTAGCCAGACTGGTCTTTGCAGAAGCCATGCTGGTTCTTTGACAAACATGTTCTTCTGTATGCTTGGTAATTTTATCTTCAATAATGCTTTCCACCAGATTTCCCAGAACAGATGTCAACCTAGCCAGATATTTTAAAAAATGAGGTTATGTAGCTCACTTGCCAATCCTCAGGTACAATAGGCGGCTTTAGGAGCAAACTACATATTTGAATGGCAAAAAACAGTTACACTTCATCAAAGTACTTTGAGAGCACCAGTATTTTACTGATATTGACAGATTTATTTTTCCTTATAGGTGCATCATGTTGTTACCTTGCAAAGGGTAACTTAATGTGTCGCGATGTTTGTGAACAGGTATGTTGGTTCTGAACCTGCACCACATTTGAACCTGTATATCCATAGGGCCTGTATCAGGGGTAGGGAACCTTGGGACCAGGGCAGAAAGCAGCTCTCTGAGCCTGTCTATCTAGCCCCAAGCACACACTCCAGGCCACAAGCCTGCACCCCTCACCCTGAGTGCTGACTGGAATGTGGCATTGAACTCTGACAATGCCCTTTTCTTGCCTGGGCAGAGAATAGAAGGGTGTGTGAGCATGTGCAGATAGTAGCCTACTGTAGAAAGGTAAATTTTACATTAATTGCTCTGCCCGCATTTGCCTCTGACCCTGCCCTCCACTGACATGTGGCCCCCAGAAGGTTCCCAGAGGGAAACCTTGGGCTGAAAAGGTTCCCCATCCCTGGTCTATAGCCATGTGAGAGAAGTATATTAAAATTATGTATGCCACTTTCATCCTGACCTTGAAGCAGTTCCTTTAGTGTTGTAAGAATGTGCTGTCATGAATACATTTTGACTTGTAAGGCTGTGATAGGCTTCCTAACATATCAATATATGCGGAGTCACATTTGTTGCCATCTTACCTATGAGCCTAATTTATAGGGCCAAGTTGTTTATGACTGAGAAAATTCTATTTTCAATTTAGATAATGCACACCCTGCCTGATCTTTGAAAGTCAGCCACATCTCATCGTAATATATTTAGGTTTGATAAGCTGAAACTTGGAAGCCCTAAGGAGATAAATCTGTAAGGACAGTATTCAACTAAATAAAATAGATCCACTAGTGCAAGGATTTTTGACTGCACAAGGGAACTCCCTCTCCTCTCCCTGTGTGTCTGTTCTGGAGTTTCCCCAACCTACCAGAGCAGATTTGGGGAGGGAGGGCTGGGAGAGGGGAACTGAAGTTGCAAAAGTAAAAATTATTGTGATATCAGATCTGTTTAGTTGGATGCCTGTTTAGTTGGATGCCACCCTAAGAGTGTTTTTATATACAAACCAATAATAAGTAGTTCAAATATCATAAGATAAACATTATTTTGGTGCTAGTTTAACTGCCATGCCTTTCCCGAAGAACCTTGGAAGTTGTAGTTTGATGATGGTGCTTAACTCTCCCAGGTCCCAGAGCTCTGGTTTTTGTGTTTTTTAAATAAAAAACAAAGACTTAAAGTGGTTTAAGAAATAAAAGAGGGTTGCAATCTGGTAGGTTCAGACATTAGATTCCCATAGTGCATGACTATTTCATCATTATAGAAACTAAGGACAACTCCAAAAAGGAGTATTCTGTTGCTCAAAATCAAATTCCACTTAGCTTCATGGGTTTCCTAAGTAAAGATAATTAAGTTTTGCGGTACAAAAGTGATTTTTCTAATTATGCTTTCTTTTAAAAATGCTTTTGACAGATTTTGACATCAAAGAGTGATTCTCATTTGAAACACCTATTACAACGTGCACCTGAATATTGTCCAGAATCAATGGTTTGTATAATTGTGTTTGGTAAAACATAAGACCATTTTCGGCCTGAGGGTTCAGTTTCCTCATGGGAAGCCTTCTGGGAGCCACGTGCCAGTAGGAAATGGGACTGGATCCAAAAGGTGGCAGACCAGTAGAAAAGCTGGATAGAGCCACAGCCTCTCTCCCCCCCCCTTTCTCCCTCCTTTCTTTTCCTTTCCTTTCCTTTCCTTCCTCTTCCCCCTTCCCCCTTCCCCTTCTCTTTCTTTCTCCTCTCTTTTCTCCTCCCTGTCCCTCCACAGTTGTCTCCCCTCACATCACTAAGGTTTTTAAAAAGCTCCCCTTGGCCTCAGTGGAAGCTTTCTAAAAGGCTAATTGCTGGTTCCAGCTAAGAGAACAACCTGAGCAGATGCATATAAGCAAACTTGTGTTTTCTACTTTCCCCTCCTGTTATAGCCTGCTGTGAGCTCTAATGACAGAATTGCCTTACCTTGAAAATGGTACGCTGTTGCTTCTTCAGCTCTGCTTTCCTAGGGAGAAAGAAATCATATCATAATGCAGTCCAAAGCTACTAAAAAGCATGCTGCGTCCTCCCAGAATACACAAGTCACTTGTGTTTCCACCCTCTGGTTCCAAGGGAGAATCAGAGGAAGTTGTTCTTAAAAAGATGGCTGCTGATTTAACAAACCATCCAGTGCTTTAGTACAACATTTGAAACTTCGGTAAATGGTATTATCTCCCAACTCGGCACATTTGAAAATGAATTTCAGAGGTTGAGGACAGACACAATTCTGGTGCAGGCATATCTGCCTTGCAGAGCACTAATAAATCCTTACAGGGGAAAGTGGCAAATTTGGATTTTAGGGGTGCCTTAGCAAGCAGAACAAGGCCACCGAGGCCTTTTGCTTTCTAAGTCTTCCCTATTACTCTGTGGCAGGAAACTTCTGCCACTATGGCTCTGGTTGTTTAGCATGCCCACCTTGATCTGGAATTCCTCAAAACACATGCCTTCAGGATGATATGTTACACACATTAAAGGGCAATGTGTGATTAGGGGCATTTATTAACAGAATAACAGAAAGTGTGGTTTAGTTCTGCTCTTCCTCATCTTGTCCTTAGGATGGTTAAACCCCTCCACCTTCTGTAGATCGAAGACAGAAACTAATTCTGTTGCACTGCTGCTGTGTCCCGCTGCCTCAGTCAGGTGCTCAGCCATTTGCCCTTTTGCAGGTACTGCTCAGGAAATAGTAACAAATGAAACAAGTCTGCCAAAGTCCTGGTCCCAAGCACTATGATATCCAAAACTGAATACTCTAGATGAGGTCACCTGATAATTCGTTATTTGTGCTAGATCATCTTGTTGCATTTAAAAGTGATAATCTGCTACATACAAATATTTATTTTGATCTTATTTATTTATTAAGTGCCTGCCATCCCACATGGTCAACTTAGTAATTATACTCATTTATAAAATATGTGGAATGTAATACAATTATGTGGAATGTAATACAATTATGTAATACAAAATACAATTATTCTTTTTTTCAGGGAGAAGTTTGGGACTGTATAAATTCCTCTTTGCCAGGTAAGAGACAATACTATATTTAGGCTGCAATCCTATACACACTTAACTGGGAGTAAATACCATTGAACTCATTCAGGGCTTACTTCTGGGTAGATATGCTCTGTTAATTTATTATAATGTACTAAGAGTATATGAATATCAGGGATGCGGATGGCACTGTGGGTTAAACCACAAAGCCTAGGGCTTGCCGATCAGAAGGTTGGCGGTTCGAATCCCCGCGACGGGGTGAGCTCCCGTTGCTCAGTCCCTGCTCCTGCCAACCTAGCAGTTCGAAAGCACGTCATAATGCAAGTAGATAAATAGGTACCGCTCCAGTGGGAAAGTAAATGGCGTTTCCGTGCACTGCTCTGGTTCGCCAGAAGTGGCTTAGTCATGCTGGCCATATGACCCAGAAGCTGTACACTGGCTGCCTTGGCCAGTAAAGCGAGATGAGCGCCGCAACCCCAGAGTCATCCACGACTGGACCTAACGGTCAGGGGTCCCTTTGCCTTTTTAAGAGTATATGATCCACATGCAGGGTGGGATCAGTATAGGACTCAGGGGAAAAATGATCAAGTCGTATGATCCTAACTTATTTAGACGTAATTATGTTCTTTTAACTGTAAAAGAATTTAAAATAAAATATGTTTTAAAAAATATTTATCTGGACAGTCATGCATGACTAAAACATTCTACCACACCCTCCAAGAAGTATTGGCATACTGTACATGCATTGTTGCAAAAAGAAATGAAGTCAAGTTTATACTTTTTCAATTACATATCTGTTTGCACAAATACGGAGCTTCAGGTTGAATAAGATGTTTCTTAACTGATCACACAGCCCTCCTAGCAGGAAATGTGAACAAACTTCTGCAGTTGAGCAGCACTTCCCTCTGTGTTGTCTGCTAAGCATAGGATACAGCCCTCCAACACACCCTGCAGTGATACTGTAATGTGTTCAGTAATTTTATTTTTCTTTAAAGGTGTTTTGAAGAAATCTGATGGCTGGGTTGGCTTAGGTTGCTGTGAGTTAGCCATTGTTGTAGAATGTCGCCAAGCATGTAAACAGGTAGGAATTTATCTTTTATGCAGCATGAATAAAGTAAGACATACCTTTTTTTGGTTGAAAGTATGATTGGCTGTAAGAGAAAGGTCCTTCACAGTGGCCACACCCAGAATGTGCAATATATTTCAGCAGGATGTTGATTGCTGTCTTCTGCTGTTAGTTGAAGACTTTTCAGCAAGCCTTTGTCTTGCTGGGCAGAAAATGTTTTCTGTGGTGAACTTTGTTTTTATTTGTTGAAGCTATCTCAATTTTAAATTATTACTTTATAATGAGATTGTGTTATTTTAACTGATGATGAAATATGAAGTCTCAGATAACTAAAATATATGTTTCCCCTACTTGTATTATTCTCCTATGTTTGCTGTCTGCTAGGGAGCAGTGGAGTAGAGCTGCTTTTTATGTATCCCTCCATACAATCCTGTGCATATACCCTCCTTAAAAACAATTAAAACCCTCTATGAAGCACAGCTGGGGTCCTTTGGCCCCTGGGAATGAATAGGCCTACAAGGAGGTCTTCCAGGTCTCACAGCCAAGATGGTCTCATAGAATCATAGAATCCTAGAGTTGGAAGAGACCACAAGGGCCATCGAGTCCAACCCCCTGCCAAGCAGGAAACACCATCAGAGCACTCCTGACATATGGTTGTCAAGCCTCTGCTTAAAGACCTCCAAAGAAGGAGACTCCACCACACTCCTTGGCAGCAAATTCCACTGTCGAACAGCTCTCACTGTCAGGAAGTTCTTCCTAATGTTTAGGTGGAATCTTCTTTCTTGTAGTTTGGATCCATTGCTCCGTGTCCGCTTCTCTGGAGCAGCAGAAAACAACCTTTCTCCCTCCTCTATGTGACATCCTTTCTCTCTTGACTCAGAAGTTAACACTCTGATAGTACAAGAGCTAATATTAGTATAAGAGCTAATAATTAGCAGCAAAATCAACAAGCAACTCAGACACAACTGCAGCTAATGCTTCCCAAATGCTTGAGTAAACATCTTTATATTAAGTGGGCCCCATGGCGAGACCGACCAATGACAGTGCCAACTGAGACTCCAAGGGAAGGGGCTTCTATAGTTGGAATGCTATAGTGGAAGAGGCTTTCTCTTGCATCTTCACATAATATTCATCTCACGTGGGTGAGATACAGAGGAGAGTCTTCCTTCCAAAGATTTTAAATTCCAAGGGAGGTGCTCCCTCAAATATTGAGGTCCCAAACCATGTACGGTTTTAAGCATCCTCACTGACCCACTGAATTGGGCTGGAAATGTACTGGCAGCCAGTTCAGCTCCGTTACATGGTTCCTATAGAACCAGGGCCAGCCCACCCATGAGCTATGGTGAGGCACCTTCCTCAAGCAGCAGAAACCCACACGGCAGCACCCCCACGGGCACCCCTCCACTGCCAGTGGCACCAGATTCCGGCAAGATCTCACCAAAATCTTGTGAGATCTTGATGGAAGTGGCACTATGGCCTGGACTTTGTGGGTGCCCCTGTGCAACACATAGGGAGGCATCAGTGATGGCAGGGGAGTGGGGCAGTCCAGCAGAAGCTGGACTGGGGTGGCATGTTCCTCTTTCACCTGAAGTAGTGAAGCGAGATGTGCCACCGCTGTATACAGTGATCACACTAATAATCTAACTGCTGCATTTGCGCAAGCCCTGCGCAGAGTGAATTGAGGAAATCTCAGCAGGCATCACCAACAACTATGGCCAAGAATAGTCATAACTGGCAAACCAACTGAAGTTGGAAAAAACTGTCTGAGCCATGGAGGCTCCTTGAATCAAGCCATTGTGGTTGAATCTAGGAGTACTACTCCCAGACTGCATACCTGCTCCTTCAGGGGAAGTGCAACCCTTCCTGACTAGAGCTGGTTGCTTACCTAATTCCTGTACCTGGAAAGCATCAACCCACAGAGCCTCCATCTTACCAGGATTCTGTTTCAATTTATCAGCCCGTATTACAGATTCTAGTTAGTGGTGCTGTGTCGGCACAGCCTCACATGACCCAGATGACAGGAAGAAATACTGAAATACTTTGTTGTTCTTTATGTTAAATCCCAGTCATTTAGACTTTAGAGGTCCATTTGACCCCAGTAGCAGATTGATACTTGAAAAAGAGTTGCTTTTGATTATGTTCATATGCCAGAATTGAGAACATCTAAGTGATTCAAAACTGCTTCTAAAGAAGAAATTAGATATATTGGTGGGGCATCTCAAAATTATCACAATAATAATATCTTCTATATAATTTATTATTGTATAATTTTGCTCTTGAATAATATGAGATATGTGCTGGTAATGAAACTAATGTCTTTCAGGCATCTTCAAAAAATGATATTATGAAAGTTTGCAGGAAAGAATATGAGGTAAGTGCATTATAGACAGTGGGTTACCCCTCCCTGTCAAGATGCTTAAGCTTTCCTGATGTTGGCACACTTTGAAGGCTCATAACAGTTTCCAACTCATAAACTTTTCTGGAGGTGAAACAGACCAAGTTGACCTCTTTCCTCCACTGCAGATAAGATACTGGTTCATGGCAAACTGGGCTTTGCAAACTGAAAGCCAGCAAAGTAAACAGCCACTCCCTCCTGATCCTCCCTTCCCTGGAATTTCCCATTCCTAATTCAGCATCATTGATGTGGGGCAAAAAAAAATTTCATTCTTTCCAGGGCTTTATTTTTCCATTGATATTTTTCATAAGGTCATTAGTAACAATGAATAGATGTCAATTGCAAATACAAAATTGGACAAGATTGGCAGTTTCAAAATGTTTAATTTCACATAGAGTTGGAAGGGATCCAAGAGTCATCTAGTTCAACCCCCTGCCATGCAGGAATCTCAGATTAAAGCATCCATGGCAGATGGTCATCCAAACCTCTGCTTAAAAACCTCCAAGGAAAGAGAGACCGCAACCTCCTGAGGGAGATTGTTCTAATGTCAAACGGCTCTTACCAAATTCAAGTGAAGTAAACACGCTAATATGCAGCTCCCACAGACGGGATGCAAAAGAGAGATCACGCCCTCTGATATCAGAAAAAATTCTGATGCAATTCAAATTATTCTAATTTGCCAAATTTTCTGGAAAATTGCATGTAGACCCACAAACCATGGTTAAAGCAAACGGTTAACTTTGCAGATCAGAGTTTGCATTCACAAGTTTGGTACAGTCCATGATTAAAATGGGTCTTTTTGTGAAAGCCATGGTTTTTGTTGGTGTACCTCCACAGAAATGAGGGTAAGAATTGCTCTGGAGAGAGAAGCTTACAACAAGAGTCCTGATAGATCACAGCAAAGGTCTGCCCAATCCAGTACTCTTCTTCCAAGAGCGTCTGGGGGTTAGGGAGGGGCTACTGCATTTGGAGAGCTGGCTTCATGTCTGCAAATTAGGGTTTGCTGGGATCCAGAATTACATCATCTGTAGGCCAATTAGTCAGATGCTTGGGATTTGGTTAGTTCAAATCTTACACTATAAGCAATGCGCAGAAAACATGTTTGTGAACTACGGATCCTGTCTATATGTCTGTGTTCTGAAATGTCCCGTTTTTTATTTGAATACAAGCTAACTTAGCTGGAGTAATTTTATCCTCTTAAGTGGGAACATGCTTAATTGGTAAAAGCAGTAATTGAAAAGAAGAAGTTTTATATAAAAAATAGTAGCCTTCTTAGCATACAATATTTGTAGGTAATCAACAATAATTAATTTTCTGTTCATGTGCAGCTGAAAATTTTTTGAATAAATCTTTTAAATCAGTTATCTCCAAGTATGTGATTGTATTCAATAATGTATAAAAAGCAATGGTATTTTCAGAAAACTTTCTCTAGCATACCTTCTCTTCAGAATATAAATCTCTTCACATGCTGTTTTATCTTACCTCCTTCTGCCTGAAAGAAGAGCATTCACTTTAGGATTGTGCTTTTAGATTCACTCAGATCAGAGTAGGCAATCAATAAGACATTGGAAAAAAGAAGGGAAGACCTTGCAATTGAAAGTAGATATCTCCAACCCAAAGCCACAGTGGCTGTTGTCCTTAGGTTCAAAAGTAAAGGAGACCAAGTCCCATAATCGATTAGACTACTTGGTAAATTAACAATCTCCATATTGATTCTTTTTTATGTCTTTATTCTTTAGATTAAGAAATAAATTCAGTGGCCTGCTCATTCCCCAGCAAGGGATTTAGATTAAATACTACTTAGCTTTTTATCTTATTACAAATATGCCTTAGAAAGCTTTTTTTTTTCTTTTCCTAATCTCTTTAGCTGCTGAGATTTTCATAGCTTGTGTTCTTCTAAACTGTTATCCCCTACATTAAATAGCTTTATCTCTTCTGTATTATACTTCACTGCCCGTATCTGTAACCTTTCCTCTGTTATGCTAGTTTCCTTCTCTTTTCTGGATTTCTGCATTGCTGTAGGAGGTTGACCAATGTTTGTTGGAGAACAGAAAGGACAGGTAAGAGAGTTTTAAAAAATGGGAATGAAAAAGTGATCACTGATCATGACAGAGTAGTTTCTCTTTCTAATTCTTCTTTTCTCTTTCTTGTTGGAATCATTTTGTAGTATTTATTTTATATAAATAAGTGGACTTATTTCAAGAATGATTACAAGTGAGTACATAAAACTACTGTCTAGTGTTTTTCAAACATTTATAAGAGAAATATGTTCTTGTACTTCCATACTTTTCTTCCTCATATATGGGTGAACCATACTTCGCTGCTTTGATACTGTCTATGATAAAAGTCATGGGAAACAACACTCATTTGTAGATTGGGGTTTGAGGATGAGTGTGAATCTCCCAGAATATATTTTCAGCATCTTTCCAGATAGTAGGATTGGATCCAGACATCTGTCCCAATGGGACACTCCGCTATTTCAGTTATTTCCCTTCCTCTTGCATCCCAAAAGACTGTCCCATGGGATTAGGAGAGATGGTGCTGTGGCTGAAAAAGGGGTCAGTTTAAACTGTTCCCCCCTTTCTTCCAGCACAAGCCTCCTAAGGCTCTCGGTCCCTTCTGCTAATGAAAGGAATGCTCCATTTTGTAGGAGGGCAAGACTGGGTGCAACTCATTTCAAAGTTTTCAAAGGACAGGAGTGAAATATATCCTCTGGAGTCAGGTTACTAAAGTAGCCCACAATACTTTCTTGATCTGCATCGATGAATAAGTCACCAGCTACTTGTAAGAGACAATACTTTTCTTAGAAGTTGTTTTGGAATGAATACATTTCAGTTCTAGAAAATGTGTCAATAAAGATATTTGCTGAACTCTGCTGAATAAAAGAATAGGTGGTAATAGTATTTTTTTAAAATGTGAGTTATATCCTTCCACACTTACAGATTCAGACATGTAATTACCATTTTTGTTTGTGTGCTGATTGTCTGTCTTCCTGTCTCTTGACGGGTTTACTTCTGGTGATTTCCACTAACAAGTGAAAACTTAACATGCCATTTAGGGATCAGCCTGAAGGCTACTAATTTGGCAGGCACCTCCCCCAACTTACACGTGCATGTCCAAACACAGCCTTGGGCTGCAGTTCTAACCCTACTTATTGGAAATAAGCATCTTTAAATTCGGTGAAGCTTACTTCTAAGTAAACATGGTTGCACTTATTTGTTTTGCTGTTGTTTCATGTACCAGACACAGCTCTTGAGCGATGTCTTAGAGATATTTATTGAAGATAAATTCACAAAAGGAAACAAATTATATGAAGTTTAAATGGCTGACAAAGCTGGGTTTACTGTGAGGCAGAGCAGTTGGTAGACAGGTTGAAGATTCCACTGTTTGAAGCTGGCCTCCCAGGCAATCTTTCTCAGCTCAGCTTGCAACAGGTAATGAATTGTCCTGAGGAACCAAGCCATTGATAGCACTTATGGAAGGCATGTTGAGATCCTATATAGTCTTTAGATCAGAGGTTGGCAACCTAAGGCCCATGGGCTGGAAGCGGTCCATGAGGGTCGCTTAACCGGCCCATGAGCCACCCCTGAACTGAACCGCCTGCTCAGCGAGTCCCTGCACGTTGCGTTAAACCGGCGTGGGGACTCTCTTCCGCGGCTCCAGAAATCGTTTCTGCACATGCCCAGATGCTGAAAATCACTTCTGCGCAGGCACGATTTCCTGCCTCTGGGCATGTGCAGAAGCAATTTCCAGCGCTGCAGACATGCACAGACACGATTTCCGGCGTCGCTGGAGATCGGGTGATCTCTGCGGGAGTGATCCGGCCCATGCCCAGTAAGCCGACCCCTGCTTTAGATCACCTGATCCTGCTGTCCTGTAACCTGAAATGTACTATTCGTTTTATTTGGAATTTTCTATCCTCCTTATAGCCCCGAGAGGCTCCTTATGCTGCCCTGTGTGAGGCCAACATTTGGCTCTCCCCACACCCCTCCCCACACCCCTTGCAGTGCTGGCTTAAGCCAGGTAAACAAGATGCTGGGGCTTCGGGAAGCAGGCACGTGGGTCTGGCAGGGTCCTAGAGCCCTCCTGTCTCCTTCCCAAAGCTTGCTTGCCTGGCTTTGTGAAGTAGGCAGGAGGACTATAGGACCCTGTCAGAGCCCTCACACCTCCTTCCTGAAGGTGGGCATGTGCTTATCAGGCTTTGAAAAGGCCCCATCCTCGGCTGCATGCCCAGTGCCCCTGCACCGCTCAGGCTGCCCTAAAGCCACCTCCGCGAGGGGCTCTCAAAAGTAGCTTCCAAAAGATTATGAAAATACTGAATTAATGTGATGTCCATATGGAACTAGGGTTTTTCAGGTGGCCCTTGACCCACCAAAATCCTCTGAGACCAGGATTGTGTAGCTGAATCTTGCTTGGCCCTGCTGGAACCACTCCTCCTTGGCTGGCAATTGCTGGTTTAATGGCCTCTGCTTGTCCTGACACTGTAGAGCGGAAAGGAAGCACATTCTTAAAAAAAGCAGAGACATCACCTTGACAAAAAAGGACTGTATAGTTAAAGCTGTGGATTTCCCAGTAGTGATGTATGGAAGTGAGAGCTGGACCATAAAGAAGGCTGATCACCGAAGAATTGATGCTTTTTGAATTATGGTGCTGGAGGAGACTCTTGAGAGTCCCATGGACTGCAAGAAGATCAAACCTATCCATTCTGAAGGAAATCAGCCCTGAGTGCCCACTGGAAGGACAGATCCTGAAGCTGAGGCTCCAATACTTTGGCCACATCATGAGAAGAGAAGACTCCTTGGAAAAGACCCTGATGTTGGGAAAGATGGAGGGCACAAGGAGAAGGGGACGACAGAGGACGAGATGGTTGGACAGTGTTCTCGAAGCTACAAACATGAATCTGACCAAACTGCGGGAGGCAGTGGAAGACAGGAGTGCCTGGCGTTGCTCTGGTCCAGGGGGTCACAAAGAGTCGGACACGACTAAACCACTAAACAACAACAACAGTCGGGTAGGCAACCTAAGGCCCATGGACCACTAGGAGCTGCTGTGGATCTCAGGACACTCCAGGCTCTTTCAGTGGAGCAGAGCTGCATCCACAGTGCCTGCATCTTGCCAGGATTCAGCTTCAGCTTTAGCACCTGAACCTGTACCTCATCTTGCCTGATTCATGGGGGAAAGGGAGAAAGAGCTATGTGTCACCAGCATTCTGATGACACTTCATTTGTGCAAAAAAATAAATTATGAATAATAATATTAATTTTATTATTTATACCCCGCCCATCTAGCTGAGTTCCCCCAGCCACTCTGGGCACCTTACAGCATATATCAAACAGTACTGTGAGTAGTCAGTATCTTTCTCCAGGGATCTGAAGTAATTTGTGAGAGTAATGAAGGTGTAATCAGGTAGAGACAGGCAGTATATTTGGAAAAGGCTAAAGGCTTAAGAATTTAAAGCCTTATAAAAACAAGGGGAATTGTGGAAAGTGTTTTAGAATGGCTATATTAATTGCTTTATTATTTTATTAATTATTGCATTTATTTTCCACTTAAAATATATCGAAGCAGTTCACACTTGCAAAAGCATGTATAATACAAAATTTAAAATAAATCGAAGATAAAAGAACATAATTTATGTTAAGTGCTATTTAGAGAATAAGGCATATGTTTGGAAAGGTATCATAAAACAGGCTTGATTGATTTTTCAGGCAGGATCCAGAGTATCACACTATTAGAAAATTTTCTCCCCCATGTCATTGTGTGTGCTAAACCATTTTTTAAACTGAGAAGACTTTCAAATACAGTTTGTAGAATAGTTTTTTTTGCAAGGGCAGCTATTGAAAGTCCAAAATCCCACAGGATATAATCAGGCTCTTTAGATCCTGGCAGTAAAATCTTGAGTGTTAAAAGATTCTGCATTCTAGAGTGATGAAATGTCTTAATGGTAAGAGTATTGGACTAGGGCTTAGGAGAACAGAGTTTGAATTCCCACTCAGCCATGAAGCTCCTTGAGTGAGCTTGGGCCAGTCACCATCTCTTAGCCTAACCTTCCTCACAGGGCTGTTGTGAGAATTAAATGGGGCAGACCAGAACCATGCACAGCCCCTTGAGATCCTTGGAAGAGAAAGGTGGGATATAAATGCTAATTATTATTATTATTATTATTATTATTATTATTATTATTGAAGGGTGTATTTCAGATCATTGTATAACCATTAAAAAGAGTAATTGGTAAAACTAATGTGTTGTTTTGGTGGGCAGTTGTCTCTTGGGGACAGTAGTTTGTCCTCAGCAAGACTATTCTGATGGCAGCTTCAGACCTTTACTATAGACACCCTAGGATTATCCTGCTCATATGCAAGAATATGTGTAGCTTTGTTTCATGGCAAAACCACTAAACTTTGTGATATGTGACAGATTAACATTTTAAAAGAATGTTAAAAGACCTTCTTTTAAGCTCTGAAAGTATTTTCACTGACAGAAGGAAATTGTTTGAACAGAAAAGAAAATGAAACTGCTTAGAAAAACAGTGTTGAAATTGAGACTATTCATAACCTGCAGATTACCAGGCTATAACTTTTATTTACATATTTATGACATCTATGCCTCACTCTTTTAGTCTAAAAGGTTCTCAGAGCAACTCAGCAATAAGATGGTTACAGCTTTCCAGCTTACAGTTGAAAACACGTGGCACACCGGGAGGAAAAAGCAAGCTCAGTTGCTGGTTCTTAAAAGTTATATATAATATATATGATATATAATATTCTGTGCAAATTCTGTCTGTCTTAGACAGCAGCCCCTCCCCAGGGGAACAACCCTCACCAGTCACTTGTGAGAGTAGAGTGGATGCCAGTGTCTGGACCACGAGGGCAGGGATGCAGCTGCCACACAGTTCTTCCCTCTTGTCTTGATTGCACCTGGAACCATCAGAGGAGGATGTTGTGCAGGTGCCCCTTGGGGCTGGTAGGGTGGAGGCAAGGAGGCCAACAGTAGGGGGAGCCCAAGCCACCTGCTGACTGGTTGTAATTAAGAAAAGCAGATGGTGACTGGCTGAGGGCAGATTGAGGTTGGTGAGGCAGGCATAGATGATGATGATGATGATGATGATGATGATGATGTATACCGGGCTTTTTTACCTGACAGGGACTCAAGGCAGTTTACAGATAAAAATTACAGATGCCCTGGTCCTGTTCTGGTCTTAAAAGCATTATGGAAGGAGGAGACTGGGAGCCCTGTGCCACCAACACCCCAGTCAAGACCAGAAAACAAACCATTGCCCTCTACCACAGCTTGAAATGTAATATCCTCTAATGGACCAGCCTCCACTGATATTGAGGAAATTTCAGTTTCCAAAGCTTAGTCATCACAAAAGCAATAGAGCACAATGTTTCTGGCAACCTTTCTGGCTAGTATTCTGCACAGTTAAGCCATATTTGCCTGGTGGAAGGGAACCCACAGCTGAACAGGGAGGCATCTGGAAGCTACCACCGGGTACGCAAAAAGCAGAAGCAGCAGCAGTTTCTCTACAGTGGTACCTCAGGTTACATACGCTTCAGGTTACAGACTCCACTAACCCAGAAATATTACCTCAGGTTAAGAACTTTGCTTCAGGATGAGAACAGAAATCGTGCTCTGGCGGTGCGGCAGCAGCAGGAGGCCCCATTAGCTAAAGTGGTGCTTTAGGTTAAGAACAGTTTCAGGTTAAGTACGGACCTCCGGAATGAATTAAGTACTTAACCTGAGGTACCACTGTACTTTTTCCTTTTTGGATTCCTAAACCTGAACAGCGAAACGATGGGGAATTGCTTGCAAATAGGTTTCTTTGTAATGAACAGATTGTCAGATGCGTAAATAAAATCCCTAAGTTTAGAGGATACCATTTTGAAATGCTGTCTGAGATGCAATCTGTGGGGTGCACTTCAAGCCACAGGTTATTGGTACAGATGATACAACAAATCACAAAAGCTTCTAATCCTCCCAGCTGCGTAGGAGAGGGGAGGGGTCTGCATAGACCCCTGAGCAGGCATAGGCAAACTCGGCCCTCCAGATGTTTTGGGACTACAACTCCCATCATCCCTAGCTAACAGGACCAGTGGTCAGGGATGATGGAGTTGTAGTCCCAAAACATCTGGCGGGCCGAGTTTGCCTGTGCCTTCTCCAGAGGCTCCCTGCAGCCTCTTCCTACTTCTGCTTGGTGTGCTATCCATCGTGGTGTATCAATGAAGCCTTTCTGACAGAATCTTTGTGACATTCTTCTGGAAAACGGTTTGCTATTCCTTTGATCTGTCCCATTATAGCTACTGTCATTCCTGGAAGTTCTCAAGGGTCTTCAGTATTTAATTAGCCATAGGATGTGCAAATTAAGGCAAATAGGAGATTTTCATGTTTATTAATTGTACTGAACTTTAACTCTTCATATAATTATATATGTGTGTGCATATGATTCAGTTATATTCTTTTCCTCATCAACAAAAGATGTAGTGCATTTGCCATTTAATTTTTTTTACCAGTAGCTATTTGAAAGTGATACTTTTTGTTTTTGCTTTTAGAATGCACTTTTTAGCTGCATCAACAGAAATGAAAGTAAGTATACCTTTTAAAAAATAATCCTTCCTAAATACTAGTTTATCATTTACTCCCTTGTTTCATTGTCTGCTTTTTGAGATGTATGTTCATTTTTTAATATCAGATGATAGCATAACATATGTTGCATTTCACAACTGCTTGAGCTGGTTGACAGTTTGCCAAGGGAAAATGTAGTGTGCTTCCTGTAAACATCTTAGCTTGGGGCTTGGAACTTTTTCCACCAACTGCAAGTTTGCAGCCAGTTGTATTCATATTCTGTTAATTCTGGAATCCTGTCTAGATTAGTGCATAACATACCAAGGCCTGACCAGTGCAGCAATATTAACTGGATCCTTCAGTCAGGATTTGGATTTGCTCAGCATTGATTCAGTGGGATAGCAAGTAAAGTATTGTGAGTCATACCTGCTGACTCAGGATTGTGACTGAAACGCATCAGTTGGTTCACTGGTGTACAAAGCTTAATGGCATTATAAAAAGTAAGGGGAAAAGGGTACTTACAGAGAATAAAGCAAATTGCATAATACGACATTTATGAAAATAAAACAAGTTACGTATGATTGTTCAAGCAACTTCAAGTAATATAATATAAATTGCATATAAAGTAATGGTTTATTAATAATATGAACTAATTGCATGTACTTGTAATAGCACTGACAAAGCAACCAGTCAGTCAGTTGTTAACACAGTCTCCTCCTGACTTCCTCCAGCTCATCTAGTTATAGTATCCATAGCATATTAGAGGTTATAGTAAAATTCATAGTTACCAATCCAAGACAGTAGACCAGGCCTTGTGGCTTTCATGTATGAGCAGAGTAAGTAGAAGGGAGTAGGAAAGAAGAACAAAAAACCCAGTGCCTGCCCCTGAACTAAAAGAAGTAACTAATCAAAAAAGGGAAAAGAAAAGAAAAGTTTGCTTTACACATTTTATAACAATTAGGAAGTGGATGAGGGGATGGAGTTTTCCATCATTTGCATTAATATATTCCTATGGGTGGACACACTAAAACATACATTGTAATCTATCTGGGTGGGAGCAGTTAGAGTAACTGGATCCCTTGCTTTATTATTGGTTAGCACATTGCAGCACTGGACTACCAAAACATTTAATATTTTAATGGTTTTGGTTTTGGTTTGGCTTCATGGCTGTTATTCTCTACTTTCTAATTTTATCACCCTCCAGAATGCCAAGTTCTCATATAGTAGGCAAAAAAATCTAGCACAACACTGCAAGCAGCTTGCACAGAAATAACACAGCAAATTGCTCTGTACCTGGCTTCACAGGTACCTTGGCAATCAGCTGCTTTTCCCATCTGGCAGGACGTTGTGCATGTGTGGGCACAATGTCTTTGTGACAGTGGGTGATTGGCAGGTGGGTGGCCCCACTCACCTGTCAAATTTGGCCTATCCAGAACACTGACTAGATTCTGCCCCTTCCCCACGATAGAGTATAAACATATTTCTGTATTTTCATCACTAATAATAAAGAGTTATTTGTGATGCGTTGTTTTGCTTGTGTTTCCCTCCTCTAGTGGGATCAGTTTGTTGCAGTTATGCTGGTCATCACACAAACTGCCGGGAATATTGCCAGGCAATCTTTCGAACCGACTCTTCTCCAGGTCCTTCTCAGTTCAAAGCTGTTGAAAGTTACTGCGCCTCCGTTAGCCCACAATTAATTCATTGTGTGAACAACTACACACAGTCCTATCCAATGAGAAATTCAACAGATAGTAAGTATGAGTGTGTGCGTCCTATGGGGCGAATGCAGGCTTTCGCTGAAGCCTGGAGAGTGAGAGGGGTCGGTGCGCACCGATGCCTCTAGCTCTCCAGGCTTCAGGAAGCTATCCGCAAGCCTTGCAAGCCCGAAGCACGGGGCGCCCTCCGGAGGGTGCCCCCTGCTTCAGGTGGGTGTCCGCAAGCCTTGCGCGCCCGGAGGGCGCCCCGTGCTTCGGGCAGGTGTGCCCAAGGATTGGGGCTGCAGCTGCGGCTGGGGGGGGGAATAATTTATTTTTATTCATTCCCCCCCCCCAAAAAACGAGGTGCGTCCTATGGGCCGGTGCGCCCTATAGGACGAAAAATACGGTATATATTTCTCTGTATTTGCTTTCAAAAGTAAAAGAATTGAAGACATTCTCCTGGAGTAGAGGTGGTAACCCACAGGACCTGCCAAACTGAGGGAAGTGTCCCTCAGGCACCCACACCTTCCTCTCCTGATCTGTGGTTGCTCTTTAGAGAGTGATCTGTTTTATTTCTGTATAATAAACATGTAAGAGGGTCATCATGCTGCAGTTTGCTTGGCCACAGACAGGTGGCACTGAGAACAACAGCAAGATGACAGTCTTCAGGGAGCTGCTGGGCCCTTATAGCAGCATCAGAGAGTATCTGCAGACCCAGGCAAGCAGTGGAGGAACAGTCCCTATAGAGTGAGGCAGTAATTGTGGCAGGAGAAGTTCTAAGGGGAGGGAGGCTTGGTGTGGTCTGAGTTGGGAGGGAGGCATCCATCTCTCATGCCTTTCAAGCCTTTTCCCTCCTTCTGTGTAAGAGCATTCTGCTCAAAGGCACCTGCTTTGGGGGCTCTCCCGCTCAATGCAGCCTTCAGATCTGTACCAGCAATAGTGGCATGAGGTGGAACAGGGAAGGTCTAACTCAGGCATCCCCAACCTGTGGCCCTCCAGATGTTTTGGCCTACAACTCCCATGATCCCTAGCTAACAGGACTAGTGGTCAGGGATGATGGGAATTGTAGTCCAAAACATCTGGAGGGCCGAAGGTTGGGGATGCCTGGTCTAACTAGTTACTGTTGGGAGGGGGGGAAGATTGGTGGGAGGTTGGGGGAAGGGTTGGCAAGTGGAACAAGCAGGGTGCAGTCACTAATCTGAAAAAAACAATCTTTCTGCCTGCTCTTTAAAGAATAGATAATATGCAGCATTTTTATATATAAAGCAATTTTTAATTGCATTATATTAAATTTTAACGTGCTGATGTTTTGACACTGTGATGTAAACACAACTATGTGACAGGTAGCAGTATTTATTTCTTCTCTGCTATTTAGGTTTATACTGCTGTGATAGAGCAGAAGATTATGCCTGCCAAACAGCTTGTAAAAGGATCCTGATGTCAATGAAAACAGAGCTTGAAATTGTGGATGGACTTATTGAAAGCTGTAAAACGATGCCTCTGCCACAGGATCCTCTATGGCAATGTTTCCTTGAGAGCTCAAGATCTGTTCACCCTGGAGTCACTCTGCACCCTCCACCTTCAACAGGTCTGGATGGTGCTAAATTACACTGCTGTTCTAAAGCAAATACTTCCATATGTAGGTGAGTACATTTTGCATTTCCTTTCCATCTTTTATAGGCTCTCCTTTGGGTGCTTGATGTTTCAAAATGGGATTCAGCTCCTCCTACGGCTTGGGGAGGCTGGGAACCTTGTGATTTCAAAGGATGTTGTGAGCCCTCTCCTTGTGTTGGAGCCTAGAAAATGATCTGACCATTCTGTCTTGCAAAGCCCTGTGGCTGGTTCCCCATAAGACCCAACAATCGTCTGATTGTCCATGCTTGCAGAACGCTTATATACAACAGGACTTGCGGATTACCAGTGCTTGCAAAGCCCCATGTCAAACATTTTATAGAACTCAGCAATCAGCTGATTGGTGGCAGCTGAGCTGCAGGCGGTGCTTTTTGCCCATGTGGTTTGATTTCAAATGCTGCAGGCAAACTGCAGCAGCAGCAGCACACACACACCCTGCCAGTGCCACCAGCCAAACTTGGCCCATAGGGAATGGAGGAAATAACGATCTGGCCAGACCCAATTTCTTACCCTTAATTACTAGATCAACTACATCCTGTAACCTGGAGAGAATTGCATATGTTTTCCATGGTATAGGAACACCATATTTTGAGCAATACATCTTGTGAGTTAAATCATAAGCATTATAATCCAAGGTTTTGTCTTCATTTTATTCCCTTGTGTTTCTTTTTCCACAGAGATTTATGCACTAAACTTTATAGCAGCAGCTGGGGCAATACACAGAGCTGGCAAGAATTTGATCGCTTTTGTGAGTATAACCCAGTCGAAGTTTCCATGTTGACCTGTTTAGCAGATGTACGTGAACCTTGTCAGCTGGGCTGTAGAAATCTTACTTACTGCACTAATTTTAATAACAGGTAGGAAAGGTACACTTGAGTATTTTCTTCAGAATATATTGTTTTTGGATGAAATGTATAATTAGGTAGAGCTGGTATAGTTTACTTGGTAATGTGGGATTTGGAGAGCTCCCCCACCCCCCCATTTTCAATATGGTTGCTTTATAAAGAATGTTAACAGATGTTATTGGGTGCTGGAAGAAGAGAGTTCAATCTTCCTCCAATATACTAATACTAATATACTGCTTATATTATTCTGATTGATACATGTCTCAGCTGTATCACTGTGATTATAAGTTCTTGTTATAATACTATATTTTGATTTAAAGATAGAATGATTTCTATGTCAAGTTGTGTTTGATTATGTGTATTTTAATAATTAATAATAATACATATTATGGGTTTAACATGCTTAATAATGTATTGCTTTGTGCCCCTTAATTTGAGACATTTTAAGAATTGATTCTTAACGTATTTGTCCTCAGATGCTGGGCTCTGACTTCCATAATATTAATAATCTATTATTGATCACTTGTGTTTATGTACAGCACCTTCCTGACAAGGCACCCAAGGTGGTTTTTCAATTTTAAAATACTAAAATAAATAAATGGCATAAGCTATAGAGAAGTACAGAATCCTTTCAAGCTGACTGAAGACCATTTCTTCAGGAGCTGATGTCACAAGCTTCCTGGCTTGGGCTTCCTCACTTTCACCTTCCCTCAGCACACACAAGCAGAGGTGGCCCATCCCGTTTCACCGCCCAAGCCAAAGTGGGAAGATTCTGCCCTGTGAGTGTACCATCTGACCCCCTTTGCCACCTGCCACTGAAACCTCATTTACCAGTGTTGTGTGGCTGCGGCTACTGGATTGCAGCGAGATCTCATGCAAGCCCTGTGAGATCTTGTGGCAGCCCCATGAGATCATGCAGAAGCCTCCACACAATCTCACAGGGCTTGCATGAGATCTTGCCAGAATCTGGTGCAACCACTTTTCACTTCTCCAGTGGTGGTTGGGGGGGCAGCCTTGGAATCTGGCACCCGGGATAGGACGGCCCTGCACACAAGTCTAAAGTATCCTCCAGGAAGGGACTTAGCACCAACAGCTCTCTGACCATTGATTTGTTAGGAGATGGTGGTATTCAGTCCCTGGCCTGGATAAACATTCATATAGAGTTCAAAAGCATTTTCTGTATGACTCCATACTGTATCTTTCCTTGAAGGCCAACTGAACTCTTCAGGAGCTGCAATGCCCAATCAGACCAAGGAGCCATGAATGACATGAAACTTTGGGAGAAAGGAACAATTAAGATGCCATTTATCAATATTCCTGTTCTTGATATTAAAAAATGCCAGCCGGAAATGTGGAAGGCGATTGCTTGTTCACTGCAGATAAAGCCGTGTCACAGTAAATCTAGAGGGAGCATAATCTGCAAGTAAGTGGGTGGCAGGGTTCTTCCAGTTGCTGGGAACTGCAGGAGAGGAGAATCCTGCATCTAGATGGCCGCAGTGAGAGCAGGATTAGATGGGCACTAGTTGATAATAATAATAAAAAAGTATCCAGAATTTACAGTCGAGCAGCAGGGACATAAATCTGGTTTAACAATAATAAAAACTAAAGCAGAACAACTTAATTTTGAGAATATGGAAATATAATCTTAAACTAAGGCCAAGGTATTGGGGGTATTTAGAAGAAGTTATTAGAATTAGACCAGGATGTGTATTAGGGGTAGAGAGAGTTTATTGGATTAACTTGGCCTATGCAATCTGAGCAGTGTACATGTGTGTAATGTGTAAATACTTTGTTGTTTCTGAAGGTCGGATTGCGTGGAAATTCTCAAGAAATGTGGAGATTTAAGCAAATTTCCTGAGGGACACATGGCCGAAAGCATCTGTGAACTTCTGTCTCCAACCGATGACTTGGAGACTTGCATACCTTTAGATACATATGTTCGTAAGTACAGGCATCCCCTCACTTATGCGTGATCGACTTGCACGCAACCACGTATATGCGCAGTGGCGGGAAGTTAGTAGATGAATAGATTCAAACCAGGAAATGGTAGGAGAGAGCTGGTGATTCCTTCTGGCTCATGAAGATACCCTCCCTGGAGCCTGAAGCAGATTTCACTGAGGGTGGACAAAGCCCTAAAGAGACCAGAAGCACAGCAGGGCTTTGTTTAGGCTGCTTGGCCTCCCTGCCTAGCAGCTGATACACGTGGTAGCACAGCAGCAGCAGCTGTGTTCCCAAGTGCCCTCCAGCCTCCCAGCAGCCCCAGGGCTTCAACTCTCTTCAACTGGTTGTGTGGAGAGAGCGGGACTGAGAGCAGGAGAGCAGGAAAAAATGGGCTTTTTAGAGGGTGCTTCCCACTTAATGCAATTTTCACTTATGTGTGCGGGGCCCCAAAACATAACTCCCATGTAAGTGGGGGGACGCCTGTACTGAAGAACTAACCTTCTGTGTTGAAGTTAGAATTCACAAACACGTCTACAGAATTGTTAAAAAGCAGAATCATAGAACTAGAACTGGAGGGGATTGTAAGGTTGGAAGCATCCTAGAGAGTCATCTAGTCCAACCCCCTACATGTCCCCCCCCCCTCCAACAACACAGGAAGATGAGGGGGAGTAATTGAGCTTTTTTAAAAAAAAACACACAAGCATTTTATTGATGCTGATAAAGAAAAAGAAAATACTCTGAGCATGTGCAGCTTCACATTTTGATCTCCCTTAACTGGCTTAACTCGTCCATATGCACAGGTAGCCTGTAAAGTGAAGCACCGCGCAGCCTGATGCCCAGATACCTGCCCAAGGAAATCTAGGAAGGAGCTGCCAGGCACTTTACATGCACTCAGCAATCTTTTTTTCTTCTTTATTGAAAGTTAGAAAAATACATAATGATGTGTGCACTCAAGATGGTGAGACATAAATAAAAGAGAGACAGCACCCGTGTAGAAGGCAAAGTCAAGAGGGAAAGGGAAGAAAACCAAAACTCTATACTTTACAAAGTTGTTACTGTAATTCACCAGATCTTAACCTATTACATTGTTTGTAAGAAGGGATTCCAAATATCATTGAATTTGTCCATGGCAAGTCTGTGTTTATATGCAAGTTGTTTGTATGTTGTGAGTTTGTATAGGTCTTCGATCCAACTGTAGAAGGGAGCCGCATTTTTATTTTTCCAATTCATCAGTATCAGTCTTTTTGCCCTGGTAAGGGAGCGGAGAGTCCACACATACTGTCCTTTTGTAAGGCTCCATGTGCTGCGCATATGTGCTGGAGTGCTTGAGCCTAGAGGCTTTGCTCAGGTTTGCAGAGGCTTATATGCACATAGTGCTCACTTACGGTTTAGCATTACACTGGTACCTTGGTTTACGAACTTAATCCGTTGCAGAAGTCCGTTCTTAAACCAAAGCGTTCTTAAACCAAGCCATGCTTTCCCATAGCAGCAGGGGACTCAATTTACACTGAACAGGAAGCGGAACATTTTCTGCTTTCATGGCAAAGTTCACAAACCAAAACACCTACTTCCAGGTTTGCAGTATTCTTAATCCAAGTTGTTCATAAACCAAGCTGTTCTTGAACCAAGGTACCACTGTATATGTGAACTAGGCTACCATGTCACCACTTTGTTTTCCGCTCTGTAGATGACCTCTATTTAACTCCCTTGTCTTTTCAGGCCCAAGCACTTTAGGGAACATTGTGGATGATGTTACACACCCCTGTAACCCAAATCCTTGTGCTGCCAATCAGTTATGTGAAGTCAATAGAAAAGGATGTCAGACTGGGGAACCATGTCTTCCTTATTTTTGTATACAGGGTAAGTAATACAATAGTTGCACTCCCAGCTATATTCGCAGGTTTGTTTTTAGAAAGAACTCTGTTAGCTGTATGTAGGATTCTGATAATCCAAGAACAACATTAGAATTTTCAGAATTGATATTAAGGCTCTTCTGGTTTGCCCAGTGCCTAATTAACTGAGAACGGGGGGCAGAAGAGAGAGGCCTTTTCCTGTAGTGTCCTTTGGCATCCGCCACCAATAGTATCTTTCTCAGGTGGCTTTTAGCTAGGCAATGTTATTCACGTGTGGAGATCTTTTACGGCTGTTTTTTTTAATGAATATTTTATATAATTTGTTGTTTGACTTGTTCTTTGGGAGTTATGAGAGGGAGCTATTTTATTTGATTACAGTTAACATACTCTTACTTTAACAAGTCAACTGCCTTTGATGATTTAGTCATGTATTCTACTCAATATTGATACAGAGCAGAACTCCAGCGCATAGTTAGCAGAGTAAAAACTTAAACATGTTGCGGGATTCCAAAAAATAGACCAAAGGCAATTGTAGTTCACCCAGCAGAGCTTTATTGCTACTGAAGGCAAATGAGCATAATGGTCACAAATCCAATACGTTCACAATTGGCATTGTCCATAAGAAATCCAGTTGCAGCAGACTTAACTTGTAAGTTTAAGCAAATAATTTATAGTACGACACTTAACACTTATACAGAACAACACACGAGAAGGAAAGAGAGACAGAAAAGAGTGAAACCCAGTCTCCTTCTGGCCTTACTGTTACAATCAGCATGACCTTGACAGAAAAGATAACAGGACCAGTTCATTTTTTTTAAAAAAAAGATATTTATTGAGAATTTAAAATTACAGAGAAAAAAAGAAAGAAAACAAGAGAAAAAGAAAAAGAAAGAAAAAGGTAGACAAAAATAACAATTGAACAATACAAGTCAATAAAAACCAAAGTCAAAGAAAAAAAACACACACAATACATCAGAATCAAAAAACAAAAATAAACAAAATTTTTAAAATTGGTTTAAAACAAATCCAATATTCCCAAATCCTTATTTTCCATTAACTTATTTCATCGACCTCCTCACACCTCCCTTTTTTGTATTCTAGTTATTAATTATCTCAGCAAATCCTTTCCATCTTTCACAATATTCTGTCATTAAATTACCTTAATCTATTTTGACCTTATCTTACCATAAAAGAACCCTAAAGCTTAAAACTTAAGTCTTATTTATACCTAATTCTTTTAAGCATAACGTATTCTTACATAATTCTTTTTAACATTTCTACTAAAGCCAAATAATTTCATTCCAGCATTTTTCTAGTACTCATTAATTTTACGATTATTTTCTAAATAAATTCTTAAAACTTTCTTCCAATCTTCATCCATCGTCTCTTATTCCTGGTCTCGGGTTTTGTCAGTCCTTTCTATCCCATCCAACTAGTCCATCAACCTGGTGACCTTCTATCCGAGGCTCTTAAGTCTTTTCCATGTCCCTTCCGCAGGTCTTCTTCATGTTTGTACCTGTACTTTACTTTGTCTTCTGCTGATCTTATTCTTAATTTCCTTCCTTTCTCTCAGGGAGACTCCAACTTGACCATATCTTTGTCCCTTCTCGACAAGTCAGCCCATTCTCCATAGTCGACATTGAAATCCATATGATATTTAGAGGCATGTTTCAAAGTCCCTCCAAAGTTAAAGGCCCCCACAACTCACAACTCCCCCTGGCCCAAAGCCAAATTCGAAAGGTCAAAACATCCCTGCATAGGGGGATCTATCCAGCTTCCCATCTCCAAGCCAAACAGAACTCCATCTCTCCAAATCTGACTTTCTCCAGATTCATTCGTCAGATCCAACAACTTATGCTCCTGCAGGGCCGCAGCTCTATCCATTTCTGCTACTTGAGTTTCAGCAACAACCTCCTCCTTTATCTTCTTCACCACTTGATCTGTCAAAGCACATTCCTGGATTAATTCCTGAGTGGGTTCTATATAGGTATTCACTGTTTGTTCAAGATTTCCGACTGCAACAGTCATCAAATCCATTTTCTCATGTAGCTGTTCCAGTAAAGCACTTGTCTTGCAAAGAGCAAGCACTAACGCTTGTTCTAGGCACATTCTTGTTCAAGGTCAAAGTCTGGTCCCACGATCTTTAATCTCTACAGCTGCAAAGCTCCCCAGATCGACTCTAATAACAGTTTCACAAGCTCCCTCTAGGGGAAACAATTTCTATTTGTATCCGTCTTTTTAAAAGCAGATCTAGCAACAAAGTTCCTTTCCTTTTTCAGATATTTTGTTTCTTTTAAATGCAAGAGGGAACATTGGAATCAATATGTTTCTCTTTTTTAACTATCTGTCAAAAAGTTTGTCCACAGTCAATGAACTTCCCCAAAACGTCCGTCCTGACACCCCGCTCCCAGGTTCAAGACGGTGGAAATTTATCTTTCTTTACTCTCTCTTCTGCAGGTTTAAACAGTCTAAAAAGATTCCCCCCCCCTTCTGCTTCCAAGGGGGTTTAGTAATTTTAAATGATGAAAATTTAATCCTTTACAGACTACTTTCCAGACTCTAGCTTGCAATGTCTTTGCTTCAATCTATTTACAAAAGCGGAAGGCGGACTTCCTGTTTAGACCTTCCCGCTTCTGTGCCAAATTAAGAAATTTCATAGTCCAATTTTCCCTTCTACTAACGGGCAGTTGTTTAAAATCCAATTGTCCACAGGAAAAAGTCAGCGCTCTCCGGCAACAGCAATGCGGCTTCACTCCGTGAAAAAAGCAGTCGATTCGAAGCACCGCGCCACTCACCCCACGTCGCTCCGGATCCCCAAAACAGGGTTTCCCCGCGAGTAGGGGGGGCGCAAAGGTGCCAGCCGAATCCCACGTCCACAGGCTTCTCCCGCCTGTGGTTTTTAATGGGTCTCCGCCTCGCCGCGGCGGTCCAGACCCTAATTCTCACGAAGCGGATTCCTCCCGATCAGAGGAAATCCGCCATTGCCAGAGGCACTAACCCGGAAGTCTGCGATAACAGGACCAGTTCAAGCCAGCGTCTCTGAAGGGATAACTCAAACATCATGAATTGTTTAAATTAAAAAATTGTCCAGTAGCACCTTAGAGACCAACTAAGTTTGTTCTGGGTATCAGCTTTCGTGTGCATGCACACTGTTTCTTTCACACAGAGAAGCTTCCAGAAAGAACCCTCTTGAATTAATTAGAATAGGAAAGATCTCTACACATCAGATCAATACTTTCTGTACTAAGAAATACAAAGTGACAGATTTTTTGTTTAGAAATGTAACATAATAAAATAAAATAAACCTCCAGTGAGGCCTTTCCCATGTAAATGTGTTTAAGACTGAAGTGTTAGACTGAAAGGCTAACATTTTGAACTTTATAGTAAATCCCAATGAATTCAGAGAGATTTACATGTATTGTCTTCATAAGCATGGTGGGCTTGAGGTGAGACATCTTTATTTTCTAATGTACATTGTAAGAGCAGGATAGAAATTATTGAATGAATAAACAAACAAACAAACAAACAAACATTGATGGTTCTTGCTCTTGAAGACACATTTCTGGAGATGAAACGGTTCTATCTTCCAATTTCTTCTGTACCTTCAAATGTAAAGTAGTATGCTACACCTTTTCCCAAAATAATTTTTTACATGTGTAGTCTTTCTTGCTATGTAAAAGCCTTTAAATATTTCCGGAACATAATCGTCTGTAGTTCAGTAACACTTTGTCATCTTTGCACAGGCTGCAAGTTGGGCGAAGCTTCCGATTTTATTGTCCGCCAAGGTACCCTCATCCAGGTTCCGTCTTCTGCAGGAGATGTTGGTTGCTATAAGATCTGCACGTGTGGCCAGAGTGGGCTGCTGGAAAACTGTAAGGAACTGCACTGTGTTGACCTCCAAAAATCATGCATTGTTGGAGGGGAAAGAAAAGGTATGTACTGTTGCAGATTATTAAGCTCTGAAAATTTCCTGTTCTCTGGTAGCATAAGGAAGGGCATTTGAGAGTGCAACTCCCAAACTGGCTCAGCCTCAGGAAGCAAAGTTTATGTTGGGATCTTCAGTGTCTTAGACTTGGTGGTTGTTAAAAGTTTTGTTCCTGGCCAGCTTCCCTAGGTAGGTGAAGTTATATACGTGAGGGAGAGCAAGGAGTCCAGAGTAAATGTGGGCACCTTGGGGCCTTTTCCCCACCTTGCTTTTTCTGAGGAGGTGCAGGGTGACAGAGCAGTGGCAATAGTTCTCTTGCCTGCCACCTTTCGTCTTTGTCCGGCTATTCCTCTTTCCTCCCCCTGGGACCTTCCAGTTGGAGAGTTTTGCTCCCTGTAGGGTGCAGACTGTTGTTTCTGCTTTTCCCTGAAGCACCTCTTTATTAATGCATTTGTTTTATTTTAAGGCCACGGAAAACCTTTCAAAATAGGTTGCAATGTCTGTTCTTGTTTTGCTGGGAATCTGATCTGCTCCACTCGCCAGTGTCTAAATGAATACAACTCAGATGATGAGCATGACATTACAGGTAGGATTTGTGTTGTGTGGTGCGTTTTATTTTCTGGCTGTACTTTGCCCAGATATTCCCTGTAGCAACTTTTTGAGGCTGCTATTGAAGACAGTTCAGTGGCTTGTCCAGTATTCAGAATCCAGCAGTTAAATGCAAAGCAATTTTTGCATTTTTCTAATTCTAATAATTCTAATAATAAATGAATGTTCATATCTTCCTGTAACAGATTTAAAAAAGAAGAGCCATGCTCCCAACACAGCTGTGCGATTAAATTCTTTTATTTCAGTGGGCTTAAGTGTGGTTAAACTCTGTGTTGGATCATGGCTGTTCAAATCAGGCTTGCTAGTCTGCGCTTTTGCTATAGATATTAGGAGAACACACCTCAGAATTCCAGCCTCTTTGGGAATCTGCAAGTTCCTAACAAAAGCTTTAACTCTTTCAGGTCTGCCATGTAACTGTGCTGATCAGTTTGTCCCAGTGTGTGGACAGAACGGTCGTACCTATCCAAGCGTATGTATAGCACGTTGTGTTGGGCTTCAGGACAATCAGTTTGAATTTGGATCCTGCATCTCCAAGGATCCTTGCAACCCTAATCCCTGCCTTAAAAATCAGAGGTAAATATTTAAGAAAATCTGTAGCACTCTAGGAAATTAGCTTGCTTATAAAAATTCAGTTGTGCCATAACATAATTTGGCTTACGTACAGACAAGGATGAATTCAAACTAGTCACCATATCAGTCAGTAGGTGTTCTGCTTAACTTGTACATTGATCATTTTCAAGAGGAGATTTCGATTTTGCCCATTTGTTTTTTCTTGCAGTTTCCTTCCTATTGTGTTATTTTTTGTAAGTAATTGGTTGCCGTAGATTTGCTATTGGGAGAGTCGTGAGAGGTCCCACCTCAGAGAATGTGATCTTTCACCCCGTCTTCCTGCACCCTGGAAGTGAAGCATACAACTACATATGCAGTGCCCTTCTGTCTACAAGAACAACATAAATTCTTAGGTTTATAGAGGACTGGAATTCTTTTTGTGTTTGTAATGCAACTGGGTACTTAAATATTTTTGGCACATTACTTTTCTGCCACTCTTTTGGGGCCAGTGTTAACCTCTGCTTTTTTCAAAATTATCTCAATCTGTTTTTTTTATATTTTTGGAAAAATAACAAATAACATGAAAACATTATTTAATCCAGATGTATACCAAAGCCACAGGTTTGCTTAACGAGTTTTGAGAAGTTTGGATGTAACCAGTACGAATGTGTGCCCAGACAATTCAATTGTGGTAACCAGTTGCGAGATCCTGTTTGTGATACAGACAATATAGAATATAGCAGTCCATGTGTTCTGCACCAAAAAGGGAAAAGTGTATCATACAAAGGTCCATGTCAGGTATGGAATAATCTTTCACATTACTTAAATATGGTTTTTATTGTTAAATAAAGGTGGACCCAACCAAACTTGTTCCTCTCTGGGTCATTTTTCCTGCTTTGTGCTTCCTCTGTGTTATATTTAACCAGGTGAGAGAATTTGAATGCACCATATATTTTATTAAAAAGGCATTTATTCGCACTGTGCCACCTGAGCCGAAACTGCTAGTCACTATGGATAATGGCACAGTCCTTCTGGGGCTTTGAGGTGTTAAATTACTGATTTGGAACTTCTGTTACTCCTCAAACTCCATCTTAATTTTGATATTTATAGTACTACTATAATGGTAGAAACCAAAGTATTGGGAGTATTAATACCACCTAATATCTGTTAGTTGGTTATACAATTTCAGACTGGGTCAGGTGTTTGAATCCACCTCCATAAAAATGTTTCTCAGACGTGCAGAAGTGCATGTTAAAGACAAAACTAACTTTCAGCCTTCTTGCAAGTTTTATACATGTAAGGAGTATTCTATTTCGGGGAGTGTTCATTCATTTGACTCTCCACCTGTACTCAAATAGTATAGCTGAGCATCATCTTGGGCATTTTGTCTGCTTTCTCTCCGTGGCTTTTAAAATTATTACTGTTGAGCCAACATGTAGCCATGTCAAACAGCCCATTGGGGCTCCCTGTCAAAAACATAGGTATTTTTATGATGTCCTGGGGATTGTAAGAGATCATACTAGCTAGGAAAAAGATACCGTATTTTTTGCTCTATAAGACTCACTTTTTCCCTCCTAAAAAGTAAGGGGAAATGTGTGTGCGTCTTATGGAGTGAATGCAGGCTGCGCAGCTATCCCAGAAGCCAGAACAGCAAGAGGGATTGCTGCTTTCACTGCGCAGCGATCCCTCTTGTTGTTCTGGCTTCTGAGATTCAGAATATTTTTTTTCTTGTTTTCCTCCTCCAAAAACTAGGTGCGTATTGTGGTCTGGTGCGTCTTATAGAGCGAAAAATACGGTAGTTTGCAGTCTACAGTTGAAAGCAATTCAGCACAGTATTGTAGGAAGGTTCTTCAGCTTTCCTTTTTTTCTGGCATCCTTCACTATTTTAAATTCAGTCAGAGCTTTTTTCCACAATTCTTTTTTTTTTTTTTTAAAGCAATTTATTGGATTTTACAATAGGAATAAATGTAATAAACAATATAACATTCGTCTTAACATAATTTCACATTTTCTTTGGACTTCCTCACATCTCCCGCTCCCACCTTCATCATTATAACATTTTGTCAGCAATTTATCATCTTATTTAAATTCTTATATCTCTTCGATATTTCATGATCTTATAGTTCTCATAAAGAGTTAAACTTTCACAGTTTTTCTTATTTTCTTAAAAACTTCTAAGTTAAGTGGTGCTCAGTTATTTAGTCTAGCATCTTATTCAGCATTCAGTCAAATCACAATGTTTTTGTAGGTAGTTCTTAAATTTCTTCCAATCCTCCTCGATTCTCTCTTCTCCCAGGTCACGGATTCTGCCAGTCATTTCAGCCAGTTGCATATAGTCTATCAGTTGCATCTGCCATTCTTCCAGTGTGGGTAGATCTTGAGTTTTCCAATGTTTTGCGAGTAGTATCCTTGCTGCTGTTGTTGCATACATAAAAAATGTTTGGTCCTTCTTTGCCACCCCTTGGCTGACAATACCCAAAAGGAAAGCCTCTGGTTTCTTAGTGAAAGTATATTTAAATACCTTTTTCAATTCATTATAAATCATTTCCCAGAACGCCTTCACTTTAGGGCAGGTCCACCAGAGGTGAAAGAACGTTCCTTCACACTCTTTACATTTCCAGCACTTGTTATCAGACAGGTGGTAAATTTTTGCGAGTTTGACTGGGGTCATATACCATCTATAAATCATTTTCATTACATTTTCTTTCAAAGCATTACATGCAGTAAATTTCAATCCATTACTCCACAGCCTTTCCCAGTCCTCAAACATAATATTATGCCCAATATCCTGTGCCCACCTTATCATAGCCGATTTAACCATTTCATCTTGTGTATTCCATTCCAACAGCAAGTTATACATCCTTGAAAGTATCTTAATCTTTGGTTCTAACAATTCTGTTTCTAATTTCGATTTCTCCACCTGGAACCCTAGTTTCTTATCATTTTTAAAAACTTCTTTAATCTGAGCATAATGTAACCAATCTCGCACTTTGTCTTTCATTTTCTCCAAACTCTGCAATTTCCAATTGTCTCCATCTTTTCTAGTATTTCCCAATATTTTGGCCATTTGGCCTCCATATTGGGTCTTTTTCGGGCCTTAGCTTCCAAAGGTGAAAGCCACCTTGGTGTTTTATTTTCCAGCAAGTCTTTATATTTTGTCCAGACATTAAACAGTGATTTTCTAACAATATGGTTCTTAAAGGCCTTATTTGCTTTAACTTTGTCATACCATAAATATGCATGCCATCCAAAAACATTGTTAAACCCTTCCAAATCTAACACATCAGTGTCTTCAAGAAGTAGCCAATCTTTTAGCCAGCAGAACGCTGCGGCCGTAATACAACTTTAAGTCCGGCAGGGCAAAGCCCCTCTTTGTTTTGCATCAGTTAGTATCTTAAACTTAATTCTGGGCTTTTTGCCCTGCCAGACAAACTTCGAAATGTCTCTCTGCCACTTCTGAAAGCACTCCATTTTGTCCAAAACCTGAAGTGTTTGAAATAAAAACAACATTCTTGGCAATACATTCATCTTAATCGCAGCAATTCGGCCTAACAAAGAAAGTTTCAATTTTGACCAACTGTCTAAGTCTCTCTTAATTTCTGTCCAACATTTTTCATAGTTATCCTTAAATAGACTTAGATTTTTGCTGTTATGTTTACCCCTAGGTATTTTACTTTTTAACCACATTAAGTTCCGTCTCATTCTGAAACCGTTCTGACTCTGTCTCAGTCAAATTTTTCCCAAAACCTTGGTTTTCTGTTTATTTAATTTAAATCCCGCCACCCGACCAAAGTCATTAATCAATTGTAATACTCTTTTCGTACTAGGCTCTGGCTTCTGCAAGGTCAAAACCAGGTCATCTGCAAAAGCTTTTAGTTTATATTGTTTCTGACCAACCTGAATTCCTTCCACCAACTGGTCCCCTCTAATCATGTTCAATAGCACTTCCAGAACCGAAATAAATAACAAAGGGGAGATAGGGCAACCTTGTCGTGTCCCTTTTTCAATTTTGAACTCTTCTGTAACCACATTATTAACTATCAGTTTAGCTTTCTGTTCTGAATATATCGCCTCAATCCCATTCTCAAAACCCCGTCCCACTCCCATCTCTTTTAAGTTTCCCATCATAAATTTCCAAGAAATATTATCAAAGGCCTTCTCCGCATCTATAAAAATTAAAACTGCTTTTGTATTTATGTCAGTTTGGAGAAGTTCCAAGATATCAATAATGTTCCTTGTGTTAGCAAACAGATGTCTACCTGGGAGAAAACCGGCCTGGTCCTTATGAATTACTTCATTTAAAACTTTTTAAATCTACTTGCCAAAATATCTGCAAATATTTTGTAATCCACATTTAAAAGGGAGATGGGACGGTAGTTCTTCAGTTGTGTCTTTTCAGCTTCTGACTTTGGTATCAATGTGATAAACGCTTCCTTCCACGAATCCGGTGCCCTCTTCCCCTCCATAATTTCATTGCTAACCTCCATCAAGGGTTGTATCAAATAGTCTTTTAGTGTCTTATAATACTTGGAGGTCAGCCCGTCTGGCCCTGGAGATTTGCCAAGTTGCATGTTCTGAATAGCTTGTTCAATCTCCTGTCGTGTTATTTTAGAGTTCAGGGTTGTCCTATTTTCTTGTGACAGTTTAGATAATCCATTTTTGCCAAAAATTGTTTAATCTCGACTTCGTCTTGCGGCCCTTGGGTATATAGTTTTTTAAAATATCTCTGGAAACACTTTCTAATGTCCACTGGATTCTGAATGTTTCTTCCATCGACCTCTAAATTTGTAACCGTATTTAATCTTTGTCTTCTCTTCAACTGCCAAGATAGCAGTTTTCCACATTTATTCGCCGACTCAAACGTTTTTGTTTCATTAATTTAATCTTCCATTCAATTTCCTGATTTATCAATTTAGAATATTGTGTTTGATACAGTTTAATTTCTCTCAGAGTTGGCTGTGACTTTGGATTCACTCTTAATTTCTTCTCTAATTCTTTTATTTTATCCAAGATCTTGTCTTTTTCTCATTTTGTGTTTTTTTCCTTACTACATTCTGTTGTATCAAGAATCCCCTCATGACAGCTTTGCTTGCGTCCCAGACGATTCTTTTTCCACCGAATTATTCATGTTTATCTCGAAATAGTCTTTCAAAACTTTTTGGGCCTTCTTGGTAATTTCCTGATCTCTAAACAAATTGTCATTCATCTTCCATCTAAAGGATCCAGTTGGTAGTAGTGTCATATCCATCTTTACTGCGTTGTGGTCAGAGCAGGTCTTTGGGCAGATTTCCACTTTTCTAACCCTAGGTGCCAGGCCTCTAGAAATCCATATTTGGTCGATTCTTGTCCAGGTCAGTTGGGCTTCAGAAAAGAATGTTCCTTCTCTACCTAGTGGGTTCTTTGTTCTCCAAATGTCGATCAAGTCCATATTGTCAGTCATTTCAAAAAAAGGTTTTAGGTAGTCTGCCATCTTTTGTAACATTTTGACTTTGCGACTTGTCCATGTTAGTTGATACGACCCCGTTCATGTCTCCCATCATTATGATGTTGTTGTAATCCAGATGATCCAGCATTGTCCCCTGCAACTTCTTGTAAATTCCGATTTCCCTTCATTGGGTGCATAGATTCCTAATATCAGCAGTTTCTCTCCTTGATATTTGTATCTCAATAGCCAAAATCCTTCCATGTTCATCTTTAAATAGAAATTTAGGTGACAGGCTCTCTTTTGCGTATATCACCACTCCTCTCTTCTTCACTTTATCCGACGAAATAAATTCCTGGCCCAATCTTTTATTTATTAACACTTTTCTGTGGAGCCTCGTCACATGTGTTTCTTGTAAACAGATAATGTCCAATTGTTCTTTTTTTAATATATGAAATATTTTCTTCCTTTTTTCCGGAATGTTACAACCATTAATATTCCAGCTCAACAGTTGCAGAGACATCCTGGATCTGTCTGGTTATTTCTCCCGGGGTGGTGTCTTCTCTGGATCTTCAAGTTCCCCAGGTGCAGGTGTTAATGCTGGCTTTGCCCCAGGCCCGGAAGGTAGTTCAATTCCTTTTTGTAGGTCCTCTCCGTATGTAGCCAGAAATTTATCTCTCTCTTCCAATGATCTAATTTTGACCTTTCTCCCTTTAAAGGTAAAAGATAATCCTTGGGAAATTCCCACCTGAATGGAATTGCGTTGCTCCTTAATAGTTTAGCAAGTTCAGAGTAGGCGGCTCTGAGATCCAACAGTTGTCTTGGAATATCTTTATATATCTCAATTCTTCTATCCAAAACCTCCAGTGACTTTTCGTAATGTAGACCCAAAATCTTATCCCTTTCCTCCTTCGATCTCAATGTAATCAAACAATCCCTGGGCCTCTCCTTCTTTATAAATCTTCCAAGTCTGAAAGCTGACACAATTTTAAAGTCCTTTTCTTCCAAATTCCAGAACTTGGAAAGTTCTTTGGTCAAAAACTTTTTTCCACAATTCTTTTAAAGTTGAGCTACTGTGACCTGCAGGCATTCACAAAGCCTAAAGTAGGGTCAATGGCAGCGTAAAACAATGATTTTACTAATGAAGTCCATAGCTTTTCACTTTCTCAGTAGGCTTAGAGAAGTTTTCACAGAACTGCTTTTTTCTTCCCTGAAGTGGCTTATTCAAGTCACTTCCCCCAGTATCAACAGTTTCAGGCCCCACAATAGGCAGGGAACCATTGATGGTACTGCCACTGGGAGGTGCCTGGAAATGCCCTCCCTGACATACAGCTGTTTCTCTAACTTTTAGGAAGAACTTTAAAACATTCCTGTTCCCCCAGGCATTTGCTGGCTGAAAGATACAATTTCTGGCAACCTTGACATTGTTAACTGTGAGGGCATGTGACTGCTTTAGGCATTTTCAAATGTTCATTTTTTAAAAGGTTTCAAATAGATGTTCATTTTATTTTTAATAGTATTGATTTATCACTTTGGCATTTGCTAGCTTAGGTTATTTTGGGAGAAAGGTGGAACAGAACTTTAATATATTTTTATCCAGTTTCTGGTAATTGTATACAGATAGTTTGCTGAGTAGTTTCAGAGATTACATTATGCATTTAATTTGCTATGAACTGTAGATCTATACTGTTTCCATTTTCCGCTTTGTTCCATTTTCCAGTCATTTTGCAAATCAGTTGATTTGGTATGTGGCCATAATGGTGAAACCTACAACAATGTGTGCGCTGCGTATTCTGATCGTGTGGCTATAGACTACAAGGGACCTTGTCAAGCTGTAGGAGTCCTTTCTGACTACAGTTATCAAGGAGAATGTGCGTCTGTTACATGTCCTCGTCTTGCAGCAACTGGATACAAGTCAGTAACCCCACCAGGTCAGAAAACGGATATTGCTATTCTGAAAGGCAGCGATAGAAAAGTAGTGGAGTGGGACCTATTAGAAGGAGCATAGTTTTGGATGCCTTTCTTACCTGTATTAGATTTCCTGATAGACAGTCTAGTGGGAGCAGTTCTTGGGTGAACCCATAATCATACGTTTTCTGTTTTCACCTTGGGGAGGTATGTGCACAGAGTGGCCTGCTCTCCAGTGCAGTCTTTCTCCCCTCTTCTGTGGAAGAAAAGCAATCTGACAAATCCGGAGATAGTTCTCACATTGCTGTGTAAATCTGAGGATTCAAGAGCAGTTCAGCACAAGTCATGTACAGAAAGGTGCCCATCCTGCAAACCAACACCATACAAATTTGCCCTGTGTAAAACGGATGTGCACTCAAGCCCTGGCTTGTGCTTGAGTCACAAATGTTTAGAACAGAAGTAGTTGTAGAATCCATGAACTGTTCATTTTCATTCTTCTTTCAACATATTTTTAACTTACTAGAATCTGCTGCCATAAGACATGTTTATAGGTATTAGCTTATATGGTATAAGCTTAGAGAATTAGACCTGCTAAGGAACTATGGGACACGGGTGGTGCTGTGGTCTAAACCACTGAGCCTCTTGGGCTTGAGATCAGAAGGTCGGCGGTTCAGATCCCCGCGACGGGGTGAGCTCCCGTTGCTCGGTCCCTGCTCCTGCCCACCTAGCAGTTCGAAAGCATGTCAAAGTGCAAGTAGATAAGTAGGTACCACTCCGGTGGGAAGGTAAACAGCGTTTCCGTGCGCTGCTCTGGTTCGCCAGAAGTGGCTTAGTCATGCTGGTCACATGACCCGGAAGCTGTATGCCGGCTCCCTTGGCCAATAAAGCAAGATGAACGCCGCAACCCCAGATTCGTCCGCGACTGGACCTAACGGTCAGGGGTCCCTTTACCTTTAAGGAACTATGAGAGAATTGTAGAGTTGGGTCCCCAAGGGCCATCCAGTCCAACCCCCTGCAATGCAGGAATCACAGCCGAAGAATCCGAGACAGATGGTCATCCAACATCCGTTTAAAAAATTCCAATGAAGGAGAGTCCATCGCCTTCTGAGGGGGTCCGTTCCACTATCAAACAGCACTTACTGTTAGAATGGTCTTTCTTTTTTATCTTTTAAAAAAATGCATATTTATTATTATTATTAATTACGTTATTGGGTTTTTTTAACAGTAACATGATAAATACATCCGAGAAAACAAAGCAAAACTTGGTCGGAATATTCTTTCTAATATTTAGTTGGAATCTCCTTTCTTGTAACTTGAATCCCTTAGCTTCTTCCTACCCTCTGGCTCTGTCTCCCATGTGACAGCCTTTCAGATATTTGAAGGCGCTATCATGCCACCTCTCTGTCTTCTCTCCTCCACTGTTCCTCATAAGGCTTGCTTTCCAGACACTTTATCCCCTTGGTCACTCTCCTCTGCCTGCACACATTCCAGCTTGATGACATGTATGCAGCTATGTCCATGAAAGGGCTGTTGCCTTCGCGTTTTGCATCTGGTTGATCACTGTGTGAAGCAGGATGTTGGATAGATGGGCCTTCAGTATCACCCTCCAGGATCCTTACAGTCCTCTGGCATTTTTAGAGAACTCAAGATGAACCCATAAGCTGTACATTCCTTTTACAAGTCACTCTACTCTGTCTCTCTCTGGGGGTCTGCTTGTTATGCAGGAGCTTGCTGTTCTTTGTATGCTGCAATTCTCAGGGTCTTGTATGATAAAGAAAAGCTGGATACCTTCGCCAAGGTAAGTACCTCAAGTTTTCTTATGACAACTTTATAGTATTATGCGGGGCTTTTTTTCAGCCAGAAACTCTCAGGTGAGCACCACTGCCATTCTAAGAGTGAAGGAAACCTTCATAGTGAGTTCTGGCACCTCTTTTTCTTGAAAAATGGCACTGCTATTATGGCTGTAGTCCAGCCCCCAGTTCTGTCTGAAAAGGCATTCAATGTAATTTACAACTGCATTTGAAATGGGGTGAGTTCAAACAAGGCTTTACTAGTGGATGCTATGATCTTAGTCATAAATAAAAAAGGGACGCTCTTGCATGTGCACTGTGCAGCCTACATCTGCAATGGGGGTGGATATTGAAGGCTACCTGCCAAGTGATTGCCTCCCATAGTGTGTTTATAACCACTTGGTATGCCAGACACCCAACATTCTTGTAGTGAAAAGGAGGACTTTTCCCAGTCCCCAGATCACCAGATTTGGTTATATATTATTGAGTGTGGAGTTGTCCGAAACGTGTACTTTCTGTAATGGATGAAAAGTTAGTAGAGTTAGGAAAAACGATGCCTTTTGCATCTGAAAAGATATTTGTACTCACTTGGCAAATCTCTATTGATGGGAAATGCATCTTTTTTCCTAATGATACCAGCTTATTATCTCTCTAGCAGATTAACACAATTTTGTAAAATGTCATTAATGGTACAGAAATTTCATTCTTCTTCTAGATAACCAACAAAGGGCCAATCACTGTACTTGAAATACTTCAAAAGATCCGCCTCCATGTGTCTGTGCCACAGTGTGATGTTTTTGGATACTTCAGCATAGAATCTGAAATCGTGATCCTCATCACACCTGTTGATCAAAACCCTAAGCCTCTTCAGGTATAATTCACCATGGGGGGCGGAGGATTGCATGGGGCTTTATCTATCTTGTTAGGCATAAATGTTAATAATGAAACGCTGCAAATATGTAAGAACAAAACAGCTTAGAGCTCCAACCAATTGCTCCAATGAGTTAATTAGACTGCTGTGGAGACTATGCACCAGAGCAACTCTGTCTCACACCTGCTTCCTGAAGCTGAAACTTGGCAGATGCCGTGGAGCTAACTACTAATCCAAAGACTGGGTGAGATCCCATGGACAGTAATACTAAAAGGAAAGGGAGTTCATGATGGCTGGGAGTTTGTTAAGAGGGAGATAGTAAAAGCACAACGTCAGGCAATACCAATGAGACGGAAACATGGAAGGTGCCTAAAGAAGCCAGGGTGGCTATCTAAAGAACTTTTAACTGAGTTAAGATTAAAAAGGATGTGTACAAAAATGGAAAAGGGGGAAACCACCAAAGAGGAATTCAAACAAATAGCCAGCACGTGTAGACACAAAGTCAGAAAAGCTAAAGCACAGAATGAACTCAGGCTTGCTAGAGAGGTTAAAAGCAACAAAAAAGGCTTTTATGGGTATATTCGTAGCAAAAGGAAGAACAAAGAAACAGTAGGGTCACTCAGAGGAGAAGATGGTGAAATGCAAACAGGGGACACAGAAAGGGCTGAACGTGTCCAGAGGAGGGCAACCAAAATGGTCAAAGGCCTGGAAACGATGCCTTATGAGGAACGGCTAAGGGAGCTGGGCATGTTTAGCCTGGAGAAGAGGAGGTTAAGGGGTGATATGATAGCCATGTTCAAATATATAAAAGGATGTCACATAGAGGAGGGAGAAAGGTTGTTTTCTGCTGCTCCAGAGAAGCGGACACGGAGCAATGGATCCAAACTACAAGAAAGAAGATTCCACCTAAACATTAGGAAGAACTTCCTGACAGTAAGAGCTGTTTGACAGTGGAATTTGCTGCCAAGGAGTGTGGTGGAGTCTCCTTCTTTGGAGGTCTTTAAGCAGAGGCTTGACAACCATATGTCAGGAGTGCTCTGATGGTGTTTCCTGCTTGGCAGGGGGTTGGACTCAATGGCCCTTGTGGTCTCTTCCAACTCTATGATTCTATGATTCTATGAAAGACTGGGAGACCACCACCAGGAAGTGATGCTGACTGCCCATCACTGACTGGAACAGAATCTGGGTCCTAGAGAGAGTTCTGGTATGAAATCATATCCATTCCATCAGAATCTGGGCTAGGATCAAGAAATCCACTTTTTCCAATGTCTGTATTGAGGATCACAGAATCAGAGAATCGTAGAGTTGGAAGGGACTCCACGGGTCATCTAGTCCAACCCCATGAAATGCAGGAATCTCAACTAAAGTATCCATGACTGATGGCCATCCAACCTCTGCTTAGAAACCTCCAAGGAAGGAGAGTCCATTACCTCCCAAGGGAGTCCATTCCCCTGTCAAACAGCTCGTATTGTCAGAAGGAATCTTCTTTCTTGTAACTTGAAGCCACTGGCTTGAGTCCTCCCCTCCAAAGCAGGAGAAAAGAAGGAGAAAAGAAGCCTGTTCCCTTTCCCATGTGGCAGCCCTTGAGGTATTTGAGGATGGCTACCATATCTCCTCTCAGTCTCCTCTTTTTCAGGCTAAACATACCCAACTCCTTCAGCCGTTCCTCATCAGGCTTGGTGCAGGTGCAGAATCCCAGTTCTTTTTAGGAAGTAAGAAATGAATAAAACGCAGAGTGCCTCTGGTCTAACAAACAAACTGGTTTTATGGTTTCCATAACTAGCAAATTTTGAACCACTTTTATGACTAGCTGATGCTTATCGGGATTGCAGCAGATATGTTCTGAGGTTGTCTTTCTTCTGTCAGTAATTTATCCTGGGGTACCTAACGTGGTACTCTGCAGATGTTGTTGGACTCCAACTCCCATCATCCCCAGCCAGCATGACCACGGGTCACAGCTGATGGGAGTTGTAGCCCAACAACGCCTGGAGGGCACCATGTTCTCTACACCTGGACCAGAGCATTTAAGGATGCCATCTGAAATTGGGGGAGAGGGGATAGGTTAAGGGGGAAAATGCTATTGGATGTTTTATGTAGTAGAAAGATACTTTGGAAGCTCACTCTTCTTTTCCCTAGATTGAAGCCTGCAATAAAGAAGCAGAAAAGATAGAATCGCTGATCAACTCTGACAGTCCTGCTCTAGCATCCCATGTGCCACTTTCAGCACTTATCGCAGCCCAGGCGGAAGTTTCACGCAAGATGTCTTCTTCTTGCAGCCTGGTTATGCAAGCACAGTGTACTTTCTTCTGGAGCCTTGTGCTCACTTTCACAGCCACAATATTTAATACGTAGTGGCAAGTGAGGTTTGTAATTTGATTTGCGAAAGACATTCAGAACTTAACGGTGTATTAATAATGTAACATTAATAATGTTTCCGAGAGGAAACTATATGACCAAAGTGATTACTCCACCCAGCACCAGCAATAATGTACAATTTAGCTGGAAGACCGATTCCCCCTGCCCTGAGTTGAAGGCTCTGCCTCTGGTGTGCACATTCGTTTCTTTTGATCCTCTTGTCATTTTTCGTCAAACAGTTTTGGAGAATTTTGCAATGCTTCAAAAATCAGGAAAATGTGTTGAGTGAACATGGTAGCAAGACAAAAGAAATGACTGACTGGACAGTTAAAGTGCTAGCATACCGCTTTCAACTATATGGAAGAAAAAACATCCTCTGTCTCAAGCCTTAAGCTGAAGTCCCCCACTCGAGCCAGTGCTATGCACAGTTATTTGGAAGTAAGTCACACTAAGTTGCATGGTGCTTACAATGCGGTACAAGTCAGGTTTCACATTTAGGAGCCTTGCCTTACCCTTGCATTTGTTAAAACAGGGATAGGGAACCTATGGCCCTCCAGAATTTGTCAAACTACATTTCCTGTCATCCCTGGCCATTGACCATTGCTGGCTGGGGTTGATGGAAGTCGGGATCAACAACATGTATAAGAAGGTGGTGAGCAGAACTATCACTGCAGTGGAAACAGAAGTTTTTCACTTCCTGTGACTTTCTGTTCCTTTTGAGTGGAGGAGGCCAGCTAGTGACTGGAGAGGCTTGGCCTCAGGGGACTGCAGCCTTCCCACACTAGCTAGCCTCCTATCTTTGGAGGGGTGGAAAGCAAGACAAAATAGGTCTCACGCAGCATACAGGGCTATGCATTCCTCCCTATATCAAAACTTGGATGAAAGTGTGCACTTTTACCTATGCAGGGGTGGCTTGGGAGCACATGTCTCTGCCAATGTTCCTCCACAGCCACATAGATAAACTACACACACAAAGCAGCATCCTAAGCTTACTTATGGGCCTGCTCGATTAGTCTCTTGCTCTGTCCAGTCTCCAGGGACAGAACACCTGTTGTGAAGGCAAAGTAACTGTTGGAAGATATTTTGATTTCCATGTAAGAGGAAATCATTATGCAAGTTCCCCCCCCACCAACCAAAACTTTGCAATAATTTTATACACTATTTGTCTATTACTAAGAGGAGGGGTGGCTAACGACCAACCTGGGGGGGGGGGTGCAGTCCCCAAGCAAATTTATCTGTGCTCCCCAACACCCTACCAATTATGCTGGCGGCAAAAGCCAGGAAGCGGGGGTTAGGGATAATGCAGACATGGAGCTGAGGTGGGCAGAGGTTTAAACTTCCCCAACTGGCCCTGATGTGGAAGATCACCCCTCCCCAGTCAACAGATCAATACGTTGATGAGTGAGGAGCAGGGAATAGCCCTTCCCCGTCAGCTGGTCTACACGGATCAGCCAAGGAGAAGGGAGGCTCTCTGCGTATGCATGTTTGTGTGCGCATGTGTGAGTGTAGGGGGGCCACACCCACTATTGCCCTGCAGCCCCCGGTGGGTTGGCCAGAAGTGAATGTGACCCTCAAGCCAAAAAAGATTAGCAACCCCTGACTTAGAGGTATATCATTCAGAATATTTTAAAACATAAATTTCTAAGTGAAACAAATTGCTGCTACTTAACTTACCAAAAAATGAACTGAATAACTCAACTGTAAATACATTCTATATTTTATTATGAAGAATATAGCCATGAGCCTAATTCTGCAAAGAGTAGCATGTTTGTGTAAAATTCTACATGCAAAGAAGGGTTTTGCAGAGTGTCCCTCCCGCAATGTCAATCATGTTTTAAGCTAGCATCTTTCTTACATAAAAAATGTATGCAATATACAGATGCAAATGCAGTATTCTCTTGACCCTTTTTTTATAGAAGCAAAGTTATGAAGATTTCAAGCTATTTATATGTCATTCTAAATATTACAGTATTTGCATACTATCTAAATTTACACTTTAGTGTGTTCATATTTTATACAAAGCATATGTTTTAATTCTTGGGGCTCAGTCAGTGGGAAGATCTCCGGTAGAAGCCTATTTGAAGTAAATCTGAGCTCTTGCGCAGCTCCTGTTCACTTCAGGAGGACATTCCCAGGAGACCCATTTGCTGGCTTGTGCCCTGTTCTTGTGCACCTGAACTTTATCTATATGAAGTATTTTGTATCAGTATTATGGTAGCCAACTTTTGAAGTGTATACAGGTTGCATCGTCTTTGCCAAATTGTTGAACTTTAAAAGGAGGAACTGAAAATTAATTTCAACGTTTCTGTGTCGTCAAATGTCGTGGCAAGTGTTTTGTATTCTTACAAAAAGGAAAAAAGTCTTTGCAATGCAATATGAAAACCTTTATTTTAATAAAAATATTTTTTATTTTCTCACGTGTCCTTTAAATATATGGCAACTTCATAAAAGGTATAAAATGGCATACTTGAATATTGGAGCTTTCATTTCTATAAAACAATAGGCAGCTGTTGGATAAGCAGCATCTTCTCTTATGCTGCTGGAGGAGACCCAAAGGGGGGAAAGGACCATCACGTATTATTCTGCATCAAAGCAACAGCACCCCAGTCCACTATGTGAGATGGGCTGTTTCACCGAATAGGGACTAGTGCTAAAGTGAGCACAGTACTAAAGGAAAAATCTATTATGCGCATTCGCCCTTAAACAGTGTGCTCTGAACTGCATTCCTACTGCTATGGGTTGGCTGGTTTCACCTTTTACATGGAAGGGGGAAACAGTATTGTAGAAAATCTGGTAAGCAAAGGAGGTGTGGAATGGCAAGGCCTCAGAAAAGAGCCACTACCTTAGACATGCAGCCTAGGGAAACTTGGACCCTGTAACTTTAATACATGTGTTAAGAGAAATTTCAGCAGATGCTGTTTCTCATGCTTACATGTTGCCCCTTCAAAATCCTTTTTCTTTCCCACAAAATCCCAGTTATTAGCAGTGAAGAGCCCTGTCCTTTTCTGTATTAACTCTCACTGCCCAGTGTGCAGAAAAAAATCACTTCATTCCACAGGCCAGGGTGGAACTGAAGAAAAAGCTAAAAACCTCTGTGTCAGCTGATTCCCGAGAGCTCAAACATTCTCTGAATGGATTTTAGGTGCTGTTCTGCTCTTTTAGCATCTTCCTATCCATAATACGTAGCACTTCAGCCCCCTGCCCAAATGCCGATTCTGAAATTTGGCTCAGGAGCAGCCTCGGAGCATGAGGAGCTGAAGTGAAAAGTGGGAATGTTTCCATGTATGAGTTTAAGGGCTTAGGTTGCATGTGTAAATGTGATTTGGAATTCAGTACGTTACGAGATTTCAAGATAATTTATGAAATATTTTGACAAAATATTTAAAAACACCTGTTAGCAGTAGCTCATTTCCCCCTCCAGGACATTAAGGGATTGTGGGTTCCATTGTACGTTTTGCCCTTCTTTTAGCAGAACAATGGGTCAAAGGCAAACAAGGTTTCAAGTTTGTATAGGGTGAAACAGGGGTTGCTCTGTCGTTTGCCAAGCAATCTATGGTCCCCCTATGCTAGTGGCTGCTAATACTGGTATTATTTGGTTTAGACTTTATACATTACAAGCAGCAAAGCAGATAGCAATATTAGACAATTTATTCAAGGGGTTCTTTTCTCTAACAGGCTCTTAGACTTTTCAGTATTATGATATGTGCCCGTCACGTTGCTTCAGATTAACCATTTTGAACATATTCTTCTAACTACTACTAGCAATACACAATGCAAATCACATAGAATACACAGAGATTATAGTATTGTATATGGTATATCCTTACATTTTCCACTTGGCTTACAGAATACAATAGTTCTAAACTCAGCATTGCTTTTGGTCTAGATTCTTCTTTGGCTCTGTAGCAAGTTCTTTGTAAAGTAAGCTTCTTCAACAATTTCCATTATCTGCTAAACTGGACAGTTTGCCAGTTTGAGGGGAAAAAATGAGTGTACTTCAATGCACTGCCCTCTTGAAGCTATATTATCCTGCTGAAGTGCTCTCCAGAAATAGAGTGACTGAAAATTGCTTCCCAATTGCAAGCACTAAGCAAGCTCATTTTTCAGCTTTCTTGCGAATATTGTTTAGGAAGTTATTCCTCTGTTTCCTAATTGCAGGTTTATGCAAATCTGTGAAGAACCTTACAGCAGCTAGGGCAGATTGTGCTTCATTATGTCAACTAATCTCTGCTGATTGGGTGGCAGGTCCTTTGGAATAAAATTGTCATTGTCCAGTGTGGGTATTGACTTGTCTTCAAAGCTACTTTCTAAATCGCTTAGTCCTGTTTGGACAGGAGATGGACTTGTACCAGCAGTGGTGGGTGGTTCTGTCGCTTCATCGTTGCTTAACAATCCCACCGATTCATCTTCTAGAAAATCAACTTTGTTTCTGTGCATTTTGATGGGGCTTAATTTGCTTCTTTGCTCTTGTACTTCTGCATCACTTGCAATATTCGCAAATGCCTGCAGCCTCCTCTTAAGTCCAGATTCTGCTTCTCTGATGTATTGAGCAGCTATTGTTTTTTTGCAGCACCTACCTATGATGCTGTGTGAGAGATGTGGGAAAAATTAGTCAGCTGGTATTACAGGTGAACATACTTCCTATCCACTGCTAAGTAATTCATTTGGGGCTAGGCTGCCCTGGAATGAAAGGGGTTTAACTATAAAGGGGGTTGGGGTCAAGCTGTATGATGGGGAAGGAGATTTGTGGCCTTCCAAATGTTACTGGACCACATCTCCACACACTGACCATTTGGGCTGGGGCTAATGGGAGTCCAGTAACATCCAGTAAGACCACAGATTTCCCACCTCTCCCGTAAGATACACTTACCCTGCTGTGGCGAAAGCTCACAAAATGTCCATTCGCAGTTTAATGAATTACATAAAGTGTAATCATGTAAAAACAAATAGACACATCAACAGCACAGAAAGTTAAGTGCAGCATCCAAATTCCACTGTTATAGCACAGCCCTTTCATGAATGATGAAGAATTCTCAATCGGCATGATATTGACATTATTCCCCCTGAAACAGATGGGAGTCATGCCAGACACCAGCACATACATCTCTACCAAGGAAAAGGAAATTCAGGGCAGTTGATTTTCTTCATTTGCTTTTTGATAGTTCACCACCCTTTCCCCACCCCACCCTTGGCCGTCATAGTGAACTAGAGTCATATACACACCATACATTTCAGGCCCATGGCTTCTCCCCCAAAGAATTATGGAAACTAATTTACTCCTCACAGATCTATAACTCCCAGCACCCTTAACAAACTACAGTTCCCAGGTTTCTTCAAGGGAGGCCATGTGCTTTAAATGTGACCCTGGACATCAGCTGAAAGTTCTACACAAAAGTGTAGGAAAAGCCCTATGGCTCATTCCCTTGTTACAAAGCAACACTGGAAGCTGGTGATTTGAAGGACGGAAACCAGAGTGGGGTTGCCTAACTGGAATATGGCAACCCTAGGCAAGGATCACAGGCTGACGGGAGTGGTAATTCAAAAGAGCTGGAGGAGCTTGGAGAAGTCTGCCCCATTCCATTTTCCCAATCCTCTTTGCTTAAACAGAATAGGGCAGGGGAAGAACTAACGCCCATTATCAGTGTTGCTGGCCAGTTCAAGCTTTGGCTGCTTTAAAGTTAAAATCAAAATGTTGTGAGAACTGATAACAGATCTCTTAAGCACAGGCTGGGGGTCCTCAGACTCAGGGGCCAAATGTGGCCCTCCAGGTCTCTATCTAGCCTTTGCAACTCTCCTTGGGCCACACAACCATGCTTGAGTGCTTTTGCCTGGCTCAAATACATCCTTGAACTCTGGCCAGGCCTCCTGCTGGTTTGGACTGAGGGTGAGGAAGGCTGTGTGAGTATCTGCAGAAAGCAGCCTACTGTACTGTGGTAAGGCAACATTTCCATTCGTTGGTCTGTTCCCTTTCGCCTCTGGCCCTGCCTGCTGCTGGCAGGCAACCTCCAGAAGATTGCTCAGAAGGCAATGTGGCCCCATGGCTGAAAAGGAACCCCCTTCCCCACTTCTAGCATAAGATGTCGTTTTGGCCCTCGGCAAGGATTCAAACTTGCACTTCTCATCTTCAAAGTCAATGCAGCAACTGCTCTGTGGCTTGTGCTGCAGTTTTGTACAACTGTGTGGAATGTAAGGGGATTTTAAAGGAAAAGCAGAAGTTAATTCAAATCTTTTGTAAGAAATTCTAGGCATAAAACTGCTAGCTGCCTTCATACACATGTGGAGCATCACATATATGACACCTATAGAACTTGCTATGGAAGCCATATTTTCCTAAAGTGTCCAGCAGCAACAGGCTTCAGCTCCTGCAATGCAGGGGAGCACAGGGGTTAGAGGTGATAAACAGATGTAAAGTAAAAGTTCAGTGTAAAAGGGTAGGGTACTTACAGCCAAATTGTCACAAGAATAAGACTGGTTCCTGCGGAAGATATTAAAAAAACCATCCACATTGGTAGAATTTCTGAAAAACATGAACAAGAACAGCGATCTATTTAGCATGGCGACTATACACAAACATCACACACACAAGCCCTTGAAAAGGGCTTGCCAGCCCACCTCTGCCCCCTGCTAGTGGGACTCAACAAGGATGCTCTTCCAACCTTCGTTCCGATCCTCAGAGCACGAGGTAGGGCAGGGAGGTAGCATCACACCCACACCCATTGTCCTCTTTTCTTCATGCCTCAGACCGCTCCTCTTTGGAATACAACAGCAGGTCCCACGGCAGCAGCATCACCCTTCCTCCTCCCTGTTGGGTTGTGCTGCTCTCTCTTACTATAGGGGACATAGGATGGCCATCAGCCTTGGCTGGGCCTTGCTGCTGTGCAATTTAAGTGGATTTGTATTGCAAATTCTCTCGGCGCATAACACCACAGCTGTGAAGGCAGGCAGGAAAGTGTGTGTGGTGAGGAGCTAGAGCAGACTTCCCCAACACAGTCCCATCCAGATGCTAGGGACCACAACTCTCCATCATCGCCAGGAAGGTTCAGAGATGATGGGAGTGTCTGAAGAGCACCATGCTGGAACAGGCTAAGCTAGAGGGAGAGTTGAGCAGGGATTCCTGTTGTTCAGTGCCGTCCAGCTAGCTATCTAGCCTGCTTTCCCCCCTGAATGGAATCTATAGTTCTTTCTTCCTCCATATGACTAGCAGAAACATTGTGAATTAGGCAGCAGGTATGGAATTCTGCAAATCTGCTTAGTGATAACCAATACATATCCTGTAAATATGCTATAGCATGATCAACAACCATTCTGGATGACTTAGAATTTCAAAAACAGGAAACAAAATCACACAATAAAACCACTGAGCAAGCCACATACAAGAACCTAACCCACCAATCCTCTAATCATGCTTTTCCCCCCAAAAGAAGAGTTTTGTGCTGCCCTCTAAAAACAAGAAGACTTGGACTTTTGCTAGATATGAACATTTCCCAAAAACCAGCCAGAAGGACAGTCACTGACGCCAAGGAAGAAAGCCTGCTTTGGTGGCATCAATGATCGTGTGTTTGGCTGTTTCATTACAGAAATCAGAAGAAGCATCCAATGAAAATCAGTGAAGCATTCTTCTAGTAACTAGATGATGCCATAATGATTATGAAGACTCCAGAACTAGCCAGTGCACACCACTTTAAATTTCAGTATGTTTGATAAACTAGCAACCTATGCCAAGAGAAGTGCAGAGTCGAAGTGCAGAGTCTGTGTGTGTAGTTCAATATGACCATTAAGACACAGAGAAATGCTTTTTGGTCAATGTGACAACTAAAGCTAAATGAAGTCTTTGGGCAAGAAACTCTTCTTTCATTTCTGCAACGGCCAATAGGGTTGATGAACAAGCTGTTATGAAGGCCAATGGCCCCCTTTCAAAAAGTTTTCAGAAAACGTTGGGAAAGGGTAATCATACCCTAGAAGAGGAGGGCCAGCTTGTCTGTCTCAGAACTTTAGACGTCAGTAAGAAGAGCCCTGACATTAAACTTCACCTGCCAAAGCATCAAGACAGCAAGTGATTTAGGCAGCTAAGCAAGTTCAGCAGCAGGGCTAGGAAGCAAGGGCAAACCACTCAGCTTCTCCACTCTTAGTCCTAACAAATCCCAAGCTCCCAAGTCAACTAACTCAACAAACGGTAAAGAAAAAAGAACTGTAGATTGAAGCCAGTACTGTATGGGTGAGGGGGCTGTCCTGTGTAATGTCATCTGTACACCTATTGGTCTAACTGGGTAGAAATTGTTATTGAAATGAACTCCTGGTCCCCAAGGAATGAGTTCCCTTGAGTTCCCCAGGTGACTGACCTAGGGAAGCAGAGAGGCAGAGAGACTGTTGGATGAGGACTTGGGGGGTGGGGTGGTAGCTGTGTCCCACTTCCGAGACTGCAGCTCCTCTGCTGCCATGGAGAAGCAGGGTGTGGGGGAAGGAAGGCATCACTCTGAGGAAGACAGAAAGGATTCCTTCAAAGGAACCCTTTCCTTAGAGATCAAGCAGGAAAACTCTCATGCCAAGGATACCCCTTCTGGTGGGAGGATCCTGGTAGTGGGTGATTTGCTCATTGGATAGCTGGGTGTGTGGTGGTTACGCAGACCACAGGGTGACTTGCCTGCCCAGCAAGAGGGTTGTGGACACTGAGTCAGGGGTCACTCCTGGCACCAATATGTGGGGGGAATGTAGCTGAGAGATTCTGGAGGCTGCTGGGCTTTCTCTGAAATGCTATCAGTTCCACACACGGAGTCAGCTACACAGGTATGGCTGTGCTGTTTCAATGCGTGAATGAGAGGGTGATGGCCGGAGAAGGGGGCTGGATTTGTTAGGCACTAGGGAATATTTTGGGACAAGCCAGATCTGGGCTGCTCTTGAACCAGCTCACAAATAGGTTAACATTCTATCCAGTAACTTCATTCAAACTCCATTCAAAAGCAGCCCCAAAGCTGATGACATTGGTATCTAGCAACCCCTCCCCCAATCTTTTATACCTCAATCCGAAAGGGCAGAAAGTCCCCCTCAGAGTTCTTCTGGCTCCATTTTGCAGGCTTCCAGGGCTGGACGGTGGGACAAGGCAGGTGGAAACACCCATCCCCGATAGAAAACAGAGTCTCTCTTCCCTCTCCTCCACTGCTTCCAAGCACCAGTCCAGCGCCTGCACAACCTCTCCCAATTCAGATGCGAAGGAAAAGTAGACCTGCATGTCATCAGCTCCCAATGGCTCCATACAGATGTTGAATAATGTGGGAAACAGAATAAAATCATGCAGGACCCCACACCCCAAAAGCCGTGAGGGCAAGCAGGAAACACCCAATTCCACTCTGTGATAGCGACGCTGCAGGTGGGAGAGGACCACTGCACCACATTGCCTTGAAGCCTTAACCCACCTGGTCGCTCCAGAAGGAGACCGTGCTTATGGTGCCAAAAGCCAGAGAGAGATCAAGGAAAATCAACAAGGTTAGAATACCCTTAGATTCTCTCTCTCTCTCTCTCTCTCTCTCTCTCTCTCTCTCTCTCTCTTCCCTGAAAGAAGTCATCAACCAGGGCAGCCAAAGCTCTCTTGATGCCATGCTCAAGCCTGAAGCCTGAAGCCATAATTTGTTTCCTTCACTCAGACTACTTTGCTCTCCAAAAGGTCTTATCAACTGGGTGATAGTTGTTGAATACCTCAGGGTTCATGGGGTACCTCTTAGGAGGGATTAGTAAATATCATTCTGTCCTGTAATGACACATCAACCACTTCCTAGACTCCTCTTTCTTTGTGCTTTCTTTGTGCTAGATCATCTTTGACACGATGGGCAAGGCTGCAGAACTCGTGTTGGACCAAATCCCTGCACTTCCACTTCCTCAGGATGCAACAAGTGAAGCTGATCCTCACAAATCAGACTGGATCAGACTGTCCAACAGCCTCTGTGGGCTGCCATAACTGTGACCCCAAGTTCAGAGCTGTCACAAAGCAACTTTGTCCTCAAAGTGTAGTGCAAATTTACCACAGCAGGCTACCAATTCGTCAGTTAAGCCTTCCACCCCACTGGATCAACCTTAAGCGGCACTCACTATGGGGCACAACAGTGGCAGCAAAATATGCTTCCTCTGCCACCATTACTGTCAGATGGTAGCCATAATCAGGCACTCTATTCTGTGTTTGGTCCTATTTGCTACAAGACTTCTGCCACTTGCACTCTAGTGCACTCTATTGTGCCAAGCTTCTCGGGAAAAGAAGGGGCTTTCTGAGCTCCCCTTGGCCACAGGGCATTTTCAGGGGCAACCATTCCATAGTGCCATGGGGTGGTGAGGGCACCAAGGCTGGCAAGACAAGGAAGTCCTTGGGACTCGGGTCAGGAGACCTCAGCACTCCTGTGGAACACAAAGAGGTGCCAGAGGGGCTGGGGGATGAGGGGCCAATGTCAGAGCAGGAAGACAGCATGGAATACCAGGAGCCCAGGAAAGAAGAAATCACACAGAGGAGGCTAGAACCCTGGAAGAACCTGACTCCCCCACCCCACCCCACCCCCCGAGCCAGGAGGAGGATTAGGAGGGCAGAACAGTTGGGGCAGTGGCTATTAAGGCATGCAAGATTGAGAGCACATGACTCATCACCAGCTGAAGTCAATTGAGAGTCAGGCCAACACCAATGAAGCCAAGTCTCAGGTGCTGAGTCTCTGCCCAGCAACTAAGCAGAGAGGGAGCAGGCACTCTGATCTGACAGAGGCAAGAATGATGGAGGGAAATGAGGAGAGCATTGCCGGAACCGCGGAGGACTGCATGGGTGGAGCCAGGGAGCTGCTGTGACTTTGGATGCAGGAGGCAGCAGAGGCAAGGGATAACATTCATTCATTCATTCATTCATTTAAATTTACTTGTACTCTGCCCATCCAACTGACACTTAGGAACCACTGGTGTAGAAGACTGCAGTGCTTCTGGGGACCAGACATTCTAATAGGTTCCCCCACCCGTGTGGGGGCAGTCTGCTACAGCCAGTCAATATCTCTCCAGGGGTGAACTGTCCACATATTTCCATACAAGAAGTGCCTGATTTTGTGTGCACCAAGAGAAGTTACATGAAAAAATCTGAGCCCCATATAATAGCTGTGCTAGGGGTTTAGCTTGGAACACTTCCAGGACTGTGGGCATATGTTTGCCACCTTTTGTGTGGAAAAAGCTTGTCAGAATTTTGGCGCTTTGGGATGCTTTTTCTTTTGCACATTTCTGGTGTGCTCCCCATGACCCCGTGGCCTGGAAAATAAGGCCAAGATATTTGAAAACTTTAACCTGTTCAATTGGCTGGTTGTCCATGCGCCATTTATGGGCTCTATAGTTTCTTGAGAAAACCAAAGTCTTGTAATTCATGGCTGGCACTTACCATGGATCCATGGAAGCTGTCCAATCAAAGTTCTTAAGGCAATTTTTTCTCCTGTACCACCCTGTTTCCCAAATGCATCATTGCGCCTAGAGTCTAATTTGCCAAAGCCTAAATAATATTCCTGCCAACCTAGCAGTTCGAAAGCACATCAAAGTGCAAGTAGATAAGTAGGTACCACTCTGGCGGGAAGGTAAACGGTGTTTCTGTGCGCTGCTCTGGTTCGCCAGAAGTGGCTTAGTCATGCTGGCCACATGACCCGGAAGCTGTACGCCGGCTCCCTCGGCCAATAAAGCGAGATGAGCGCCATAACCCCAGAGTCGTCCGCGACTGGACCTAATGGTCAGGGATCCCTTTACCTTTAAATGATATTAAGTGTCAGAACGACTTGGCCACAGTAAGGACATTTTGCCCATGGTATGACCATTTCCCATCCTTCTACTTTGATGCTCTGGCACCCTATCTGTATAACCTAGCAATTCCAAAATATAGATGCACAAATATAGATACCCTCACAAGACTGAATGTATTGCCCTTGGCTGTACTTGCGGAACGATCTCAACAGATTCCATATGAAAAACGCTTATGTCCCTGCAGAGATGGCAGCACCGAATCAGTGGCGCATGCTCTCCTGGCTTGCACTCTTTACAAAGACCTGAGGAATGAGATTATCACCCCTCTTCTATTGTCCATTCCGGGTCGCCCAACCACTGCCACAGTGTCTTCTCTCCTGGCAGATCAAGGGGAGCAGATGACAGCAAAGTTTGCAAGGTTTTTTTACCTGGGACAATCAGAATAAGGTCCACTATTTGACTGCTGATTCAGGACCCTAAACTGTGTTTTATATAATCAACTTTTTATTGTCTTCTAAGTACATCACAATGTTCTTTTGTTGCTATGGCCTATAGCTGATGCAAATAAAGTTTCATTCATTCATTACATGAAAAATGTATTTCACACCTAGACAACAATATACCCTGAGCACAGCGAAAGTGGGGAACTAAAGTCAGTCAAAATCATAGAGTACTGCAGAACTGCCTTCTAAATATGGGTGTTGTATCAGCATCACAAACTGACTGAAGCAAGAACTACTTTAGCCTCATGTGAAAACACCCCACCAGATACGGAAAACCAAAAGACCAATTCCTACAATGCCTGTGGAGATAAGCTACTTACTATGACAACTTCTTCCTGTCTTTGCACCCTCTCCATCACTGCTTTGTGTTTTGGGACAATTTTCACATGCTGCTTGACCATACTTTTCATTGTAGGATCCAGCAGGACACAGAGTGCAGATGGTACCATATTCTGCACTGAATCTACCTGGCGGGCAGGTGACTATCCAAAAATAAAAGACATGGGGGCAACACACACAAAATTACTACGGCTCTCATTCACTTAAATTTATGAGCAATTATTAGCCTGCTTTTGACTTTCATTCATGGCAGGCTGAATGTCCAGCTTCGGACGTTACACTGGTGTGACTAGACATGCCGCCTGGTGCTCCATTCACAGTAATTTCAGAAATGGGTCCTTTGCATCTCCCTCTACATAGGGAAATGTACAACCTCACTGGGGAATTTAGCCACATGTACCTGCCCACAGAGACAATCCTGCAAAGACCAAGTACACTAATACCTCTGCGAACATCTAGTGTCCATTCCAGTGAACGTCCATGGCAAACCCAGAAGTACCGAACAGGTTACTTCTGGGTTTGCCGCTCGCGCATGCGCAGAAGCACTAAATCACGCTTCACACATGCTCAGAAGCACAAACCGCTCTGCGCGCGTGCACAGACTCAGTGCTTTGCCCTGCATCCTTTTTAGCTAATGGCCAGGGTTCCGGAACGGATCCTGGTTGCAAAACAAGGTACGATTGTAGGTGAGTTACATAAACAAAATCAGCACTCATTTGTTATAAGTAAGCAAAACACTGAGAGCATAGCTCCCAATTTTGCCCATGAAGCAGTTTCCCCAAAACCATGCCAGGTGTGAGGCAGGTAGAGATACGGCTGGATCAGCTCCGAGACTGAGTTCCCCACAGGGAACTGGGTCACACAGCCGATCCCTGCAGAAAGCAGCCTTGAATTCACTGCCCATCAACAGGCAGCCTGCTTCTCAGGGGCCCTGCATGGTGCCTTGAAGTCCTGGTGGCCATTACCTGATGTCCCTGTTAGGTTAGTGATTGACAGGCGGGCACTAATGTTCATTCTTTCCCCCTTATTGCAATAATGTGTTTTTGCCATAATGATCTCCGTACCCCGAGAAATTTGTTTCCAATTTTAAAAATTAAAAGAAGAAAAATAGGTGAAGGAAAAAATCAGCAAGAAACTACATTTCATGAAAATTAGTCAGCAGTATCTTTTTTTAACATACAGACTCTGGAAACTCACCACAACACCCTGGGCACTCCGTGTTATTGCTGAGGGCATTTATGATCTTCCCAAATCCTGGCTTGCAGTGGTCTACTTTAACTGCATTCAGTGTACCATGAAGGTAACTTGAATAATCACTGTGAGATGAGTTCGCGTTTTCGACTTCAAAGAACTCACTGATCTTGGTATATGCCTAGGAGTGTGACAGTTAACAAGAGCTGCACATTAACATAGACCAAACTGTGACCTAGCTAGAATCACGGTGAGTTGTGGATAAAATACAACACAAGTGCCATCTTGTGCCCAAGACTGAGGGGGCCCGGCGTGTGATGTCACATCCATGCGCCTTGCACATGACGGCACATTGTCAGGCAGAGTGCGCGTAAGCCTGTCCTGCCCTCCATTCCACCCTCTTCCGGGTCCAAAAGGACCTGCGCATCAGCAGTCATGCGTGAATTGGACGTGTGCAAAATGGTTGCCACCTGTACTGCCAGCTTATGATCAACAGATGAAAGACCCACAATAACACAATTCATTTACACCTCACAAAACATGAGTTCTTTACATGGTTTGCGGTTAGCACTAGAGGACTCTTGTGGCTTTAACAGCTATGTGGCAGGCAGATATTAAACAGTATGGAATGACAGTTATGGGGAAAGCTTCACCTGTTAATATTCTGTCTGTTGGACATCTTATTATTTGTATGTGACCCCTGATTTATTTTTGTAAGCTCCACCACCACCTGCAAAAGAGGGTGCAAGTTTGCATGTGAGATAATATTACACAAATATTATGCAAATTTGTGCCTTCTTTGGCAACTGCAGCAGAGCTCAATCTACATACAGTATACCAGGTCCCCAAAATATTGTTGGACCCCTGATTTTGCACACTTATAAGTTATTATTTTTGCCATAAGTTCTGCAAAATAGCATGGCCATTATTGCACTGTGAACCTTTGGTATAATTTTACTTCACCTCCTCCATGTTGCTGGTGGAATTTCCACATTGAGCACTTCTACAGAGGTCTGCTGTGGTCAGGGCTAAAGGGAAAACTGCAAATTAAGAGAAAGTAAGCAGCAATTTTTCTATTTTAATAAAACTTTTGTATGATGCAAGTATTCTTCCCATATGATAAAACCCATGTCTAACAACACGGTGACTTCACCACATGTAAGAATCTGTCTGCAATGCCAATATTTTATATAGCAGCAACCTTCTTGCACGCTAAAAATTGAAAACTAACATCGCATAATATGACCCCAGTGCTTTAGGTTCATTGTACAGTGGTACCTCAGGTTACATACGCTTCAGGTTACAGACTCCGCTAACCCAGAAATAGTGCTTCAGGTTAAGAACTTTGCTTCGGGATGAGAACAGAAATCGTGCTCCGGCGGCGCGGCAGCAGCGGAAGGCCCCATTAGCTAAAGTGGTACCTCAGGTTGAGAACAGTTTCAGGTTAAGAACAGACCTCCGGAACGAATTAAGTACTTAACCCGAGGTACCACTGTATATAGATCTTGTATATATCTATTCCAAAATTTTACAACTCATCTTATACCACTTTGTCTCAGGGCAGGATACATAACTCATTTAAAACAATACATGGCATAACATAATGCTCCTTAAACAATAAACAACCAGCAGCAATCTTAAAATAACAAGCAAATTACAGCCCTGTATCAGACTGTATTCCCTCACACAAACCTGCTTGGATTTTGAGGTCTCTGAGGAAAGGCCCATCTCTTGGTCCCACCACCCGCACAGACACACTTGTTGGGGACGCAGGACAGGGCCTTCTTGGTGGTGGTTGCTCCTGACAACTCTGAAACTCCCTCCCTAGAGAAGCTAGACTGGCTCCCTCCTTGTAGCTATTCCAATGGGCTTTTGGGAGCTGACTGCTTTTAATGAAAGGACTGTGCCGTGTTGCTTTTAAAGTAATGATTTGTGTGGCTTTAATAGATTTTAATGTGTTATATATATTCTAAATTTTTAATTGTTTTTAATGACTCCCCCCCCCCCCCGTTTTAGCTGTTCTTATATTTATCTGTAAGCTGCCCTGTGTCCTTATCGGGGAAAGAGGAGGAGTGTATACTTTCATTTATATCCCACCAAGGAGCTCAAGGTGGTGCTTGATGTTCTCCTCATCCCCATTTTATCCTCACAACAAACCTGGTTAGGTAGGTTAGGCTGAGAGACCATGACCCAAGGTCACCCATGTGATTTTTGTAGCTGAAGTGAGGATTTGAACCCCACCAAAGTCCTAGTCCAACACTCCAACCACAACACCATTTATAGAAGGAGAAGGAGAAGGAGAAGAAGAAGGAGAAGGAGAAGGAGAAGGAGAAGGTGGCAGCTGGGCTCCCAAATGAATGACCTCCTGGTGCCCAAACCAATTGGGTTGGTGGCCAGCTGTCTCACAAAGGGAGAATGTGCCATAGCTGGCCTGAATTGTCACATAATATATGGCTCTTAGGGCTTTCCTTTTATTCTATTTCTATTATTTCTGTTTCTATTATCATTATTAAATACTGCATTTCATCTGAGGATAGCAGGGTGGTTTACCATATAAAAACACAAAAATACTTATCATAGTAACAAGCAAAAACAAGACCTCCACCCCAGTTTAAAAGGTCATATATTGTTTAATCAGCCAAAGGCCTGTGAGAAGAGGAATATTTTCACCTGGTGCCTAAAGACACTGTTTGTAATGGTGGCGCCAAGCGAGCCTCCCTGGGGAGAGCATTCCATGTGTGGGGAGCCACCACAGAAAAGGCCCGTTCTCATGTTGCCACCCTCCAGGCCTCTTGCCTACGGTATTTTCTTGCACACAATGGTCAAAAATAAAATAATGCAGAAGTAGTAAGATTTCACCTTACCTACAAACTGAAAGGTAAGCTTGTGTGTTATCTTCTCCAGTGTGTCTGTAGAAGCATGACACTGTGTACTCCACTGCTTGATCTCACACCCCAGGTTGTAGACTAAGCTCTCCAATTTCTTTAAGAAATGCTTTTCAAATGAAGCAACCGCATTGGTTTCACAGGTTTGAACTGTGAATTCAGATGACAGGCGGAGACTCTTCTCTGGCATATGATACACTAAGAAAAGGAAAATATTCTCTCTTAACATGGTACAGGAATTACCCAAAACCAGGACTAATGCATTCCTAAGCATAATATTTTATTTGTTTCTTTTTAGAGATACCTACAGCCTGCCCTTACCAAATGGACACAAAATATTGCAATTAGAACAGGTGCAATGCACATAAAAATAATAAAATAAAACCAAAAACTAAGCAAAATGGAAACAATAGCACTGAACTGCAATACGAGAGAGAAGTCAAAGATATAAAGAGGTTGTGTCTTGAACAATCATTGTGAAGTATATTATGACTGTGCAAGACGAAGCCCAGACATTGTTGTATATGTTACCTGTGTCTAGTTTCTGACAATTTGGTTGCAATGTTTATTTTCTGGGATATTAATGACCCTCATGACCTAATGCCTATGGACATATTTTTTCCCCTATAATGGCATGAAAAAGAGCCCTGTGCTCCTACCTCCATTCAGATCCAGTCCTAGAAACCTCTGTCCAACCCAAAATGAACATTGGTTCCTTTCCACAAACTTTGCCTAAAATTGCCGTTGACTGCATGGGCTCCATTTCAATCATTAACACATTCCTGGTTGGAGCACTTATGGGTATAAGACGCATGTCATCTTCTGCCAATTGAAGACGATTCATGCATCTGACAAAGTGTGACCTCAAGTCCACAAAAACTTTAGCCATAAAACACAGCTATTAGTTCTTATGGTGCCACAAGGTTCTCTTGTTCTTGTTGCCCCAGTCAGAAACATTGCGCTTATAGTGTACGTTCAGTTTCTTTCATAGATTCAGATTATCTCACAATGGACTGTGTCTTTCCATTGCTTTAGAGGCACAATTATGCAACAACTGTCATGTATTCTACTCATATTGATCCAGCGCAGAACTCCAATGCATAGTTAGCAGAGCAAAAACTCAAACACGTTGCAGGATTCCTCCCAAAAATAAGACCAGCAGAGCTTTACTGCTTTACTGCTACTGAAGGCAAATGAGCATAATGGTCACAAATCCAAAAGATTCAGGATTGGCCCTGTCCATAAGAAATCCAGCTGCGGAAGACTCAACTTAAACTTACAATGACTTATAATAAGACTAAATCTTAACACTAAGCATACTATGTACAGAACACCACACCAGAAGGAAAAGAGATAGAGAGAGTGAAATCCAGGCTCCTTCTGGCCTTATTTTTATAGTCAGCATGACCTCGGCAGAAGAGGCTATAATGTGGCTGAATGTTCCTTTTTTCTGTTTCATTCCTTGCTTGTTTCTAATTGTTTCCAAATGTATTTTTGTGTTGCATTGTCTATTTATGAAAATATTTTTCAGATGTCCTTCATCCTTACGAATATCCTTGTTGTTGTAAGGGTGGAACTGGGTAATCTCCATTCACTGAAAAGAATGAACAGTGAATGGACAAGCCAATATTCCTTTGTTCTTCACTTATGCACTTGGTGGTGCAGCCACCGCATCAAGACGGCATCTGTATGCAATATAGTACTAAAAAGAAGAGGTACGTGTCCAACAGCCCACCCTACAGGTGTCTAAACAAGAAACACTGGTTCTGAAGATAGCAGAAGATACCAACAGCTGAAAATATGCTAGGGAGAGGTGTGTGTGCATGCACATTATTTTCACATGCAGCCAGAATGCCCTTGAAACTTCCCCCATCCCCATTCTGTTTACCATCCATCCTCAAGGCTCTGCCCCTACTGAGAAAGCACCATAGTTCTTTGCAGCGCTTAGACTTTGCATAAACTAAGGCAACCCAGCCAGATGGGCGGCATACAAATAATAAAATTATTTTATTTTTAAAAATATATTTCTTGGTCTTTATGGGGGAAAGTCCTAATGTTAGAAACATCTCTTGATATTATTGTAAGTGAAGGCACATAAGAATCTTGCTGGTATGACCTAAATGAATGAATAACAGCCAGAGATCTGTGAAAGCCTTGTTGCTTGCTGCTTCCCTATCAGTACAGGTATTCCAGCCACGGCTATTACTCAACCAGGTTTCAGTCACTTCTAGAAAACTGAGGACAGGGACCCCCCCTGTGGTGCGCCTATGATTCTAGTTCCTCCCAAGTTTATCAGTCAAAATTAATTTGCTGAATTTACACACAGCTGCAGAGTAGGAGTTGCTAAATGTTAAGGCTGTTGTGCTTTTCAGAACAGTTAGTATATTAAATAATTCTTCTCCCTCTACTCAGTTTTAATTTAGAACTTCTGTTCTACTCTTAGGAAATGACACCTCAGAATAAGTTTTCCCCCAACTGTACCCAACTCCCCAACCTCTGCTATAGCATCCCTGATGAGTGATTGGTCACCTGCAGCTTACAAACCTCTAACAAAGAAAAGTCCATTACTTTTCAAGGAAGTCTGCTTGGACACTGAACAGCCACAAATCCTGGGGCTTTAGGGTGAAGGACAGGTTATAAATTAAATTATTTCTAATAACAACAAGAAGAAGAATTTGCCCATCTCCTGTTCCCAATATGTCACTAGTTCTCAATTATTTCTAAAACTATATGTAGATAGAGGCTCCAAGATGGAGATCATCTGCCCTTGGAGATGTTGTATCTTGTTTTCTGAGCAAGGCAGTGCAAATGTACTCATTTGCAATTGTTTTGGTATGTGGTTTTGCACCATTATTGCACTCAACTAATAAGACCCTGATGTTGGGAAAGATGGAGGGCACAAGGAGAAGGGAACAACAGAGGACGAGATGGTGGGACAGTGTTCTCGAAGCTACAAACATGAGTCTGACCAAACTGCGGGAGACAGTGGAAGACAGAAGTGCCTGGCGTGCTCTGGTCCATGGGGTCATGAAGAGGCGGACACGACTAAACGACTAAACAACAACAACAACAACAACAACAAGACACAATGCAGCCACAGAGTAAGACAATGCATTTCCACCAGGTGGCACCCTAGCTTAATTTTATTGTCCTTCTTCAGTGTTTGCCCACCCCTTGCCCTGCCCCAGGTACCTGAATTGCATGCGCGTACACTGAATAAACTTCCAGAATGCCTGGGCAGAGTCCAAATATTTCCTGACTATTGCTCAAGCTGATGGTGCTAGCTGACACTTAACCAAGAAGTTAGTAAGGCCCAATACATTTTTGTGGTTTTCAAGATACTATTTTCAAATCACTCTTTTCAAATCACTATTTTCAATAGTATTTAGGGGTTCTAGATTTCCATGCTTTCCTGAGTATTTTACAAATTAATAGCATGGATGCAAAACAACAAAATTAAAATTACTAAAACCTTACCATAAACCATGAAATGGATTTCAGTAGTCATTTGTTCAGCTTTGTATATATAATTCACTTTGCAAGTGTAACCTCCAGAGTCACTGCCTTCAATATTATAAATCTGCAAGCTACCATCATCCGTTAAAAGAAACCTCTGTGATTCTACAAATAAAAACACATCACCCAAAATATCAGCAATGGGATGCTCAATGCCAATGTCAATTAACTAATCATAAATCATAACGATGGACTTCCGTCAAGGCAAGATGGCGGGCGCCACGGCCATGTGGAGCTCTTGAGGTCCGCCAGCACCAACTGTGCTGCCTGGCTGGTCCCTGAGCCGCCAAAACCGCCACCGCCATGACTGGGGGGGATCCAGGGCACTTGGCGCAACAGCCAGGGGAGCCGCTCAGAGCCCCCCTAGCGGGAGCACCTGACCAACAGCCCAATGGAGCTCCAGGGTCTGAAGGCCTCCAGAGCCAGGCAGAAAACAAAACAAAGAGCAAAAGGAGACCCCCCCCCAGGGGCAGAGGAAGGGGTGTGTGGTGGGGGTGGGTCACCTTGGGTGTCACCTCTGAGGAGGGTGACAAAATGCTGGGCAGCACTCACTGTGGGGCCAGCAGCACACCCGAGCCACACGTCTCTCCTGGGAGTGACATGGTGGTTTGGGCACCCGCAGGCTCCGTGCTGCCCCAAATGGTCCACCCACTGCCTCCCCCTCAGCTGTAGGGTGGCTGAGTGGGAGGAGGCAGGCAGACTTCTCGGAGGCCCCGCAGAGCGTCCTGCCCCAGCTTGCCCCGCCATGAGGGCAGCTGGCCCTGCCCCTAGGCGCAGGGCACGCGCGCCACCCCAGGCGGATCGGCTTGCTCTGCCGCTGCCCCCTCCCCAGATGAGCACCAGCTAAGTGGACATGTAACTCAACAACTATCTTTTTTTAGAATGTAGAAAGCCATCCTATAAACAATCCCATAAACACAAGTCCTATTAAAATCAGCTAAGGCAGCAACGTTCTACCCACCTATCTGGGGGCAAGTCACATGACAAACACTCTCTCTTATATGGCCAGGCCATATAAAAATAAATGCAAGCTTCTTCCTGCTACTCACTCTCATCATGGATGTCTTGCTCTCGGAAGAGACAAAAGACAAAGAATGGACAAAGCCATAACTGCATTTCTTGGCGGAACTGAATTTCCTGAACTCTATCCTAAACTGCTGTTTCTGGAAGGACTACTGAATATTAACCCGGGGCGGGCACAGGGGAGAACGAAGGCGTCATGACACCCGGGGAGGGGCATCGCTATGTAGGGCGCATGTGCGGCGTCTCTACGTACAACGCATGCACCGTACGTAGCACTGCTGCACATGTGCTGTACATAGCAGTTTCCTGGCGGCGCCGCTCCAGCGCCATATGGGCGGTGCTGGGATCCCTCCATCGCCACTACAGCAGCAAACAGAGGATCCTCTACATGTGTCTGTAGAGGCGACAGAGGGATCCCACTGCACACGAGCAGCGCCGGCAAACCGCTATGTAAAGCACATGTGCGGTGTCATTATGTACAGCGCATGTGATGCCGCACATGTGCTGTACAAAGCGGTTTGCCGCCGGTGCTGCTTGTGGCTGCAGCCACGAACAGAGAACCCTCCACATGCGGCTGTGGTGGCGCAATGGCTGTTCACGCCGCTGCAAGCCCCTGCAGGGTGCCTTCTTGTCACCCCCCCAGACATGGCACCCGGGGCGCACCGCTCCCTGCCCCCCCCCCCGTTGCGACGCCACTGGGTGGGCAGGACCATGAGGCAAATCGAGGCAGGCATCTGAGGTGGCGTAATTCAAGGGCCAGAGAAGTGAGGAGAAGCCACACAGCACAGCCTAATGAGGTGGCAAAACAGGACCGGCTGCCCCAAGATGGAATGGAAGGCAAAGGGTCCCAAAGCCCTGCCTAGGCTTTCTCTTCGAAGGAAGGAATTGCATGAGGGGAGACTCCTCAAGGAACACGCAGTGGCTGCTCACGGGATGCAATTCTGTGCACAGACTTTCAGCTGTGGTGCCAGTGCAGGAACACAGCTCACCAGCGTTTCCTCAGTGAAGTGCTCTTAGGACTGTCTGTGCTTATCAGAGCAGCAGAGAAATACATATATCAGAATTAACTATATTTTTTTACAAAATATGCAGCAAAATCCTAAGCACGTTTACTCAGAAATGAGCCTCAGAATTGAACTGGGCTTACTCTTTAGAAACTGTGCTAAGGACTGTAGTCTTAACTTATGTACAATTAAACTATACTGTAGTTACCTCTAGTAATTTGTCCTCGGGGACCAGACCATACGTATTTGGGATCAATGATTCCCTCAATTAACAGCTTTTCAGTCAAACAATTTAGAATTAAACTGTTTGAATAAATAAGAATGTACGCTGGAACTGAAGTAGGGAAAAAAATCGAGTTAGAATGAGATATAGTAATACATAAAACTTAATATTAAAAATACATTGCATTCCACACAGCCTTGATGTGTAATACCTACTTAGCCTACTGCAATAAAAGTGCTTGACTCTTCCCTAAGAAGTCAATGAGAACACTGAACTTAAAAATAGTGAATGACTGGTGAACGGACACATTACATGTTACATGCAAATATATGTATGGCAGCATTCACTTGGGAGAGGGCAGCTGTAAACAGAGAAACAGAAATAGAGGCACAACATTTTCCTTATCTTCCATTTTGCAGCAGTGGACGCCCTCCACCAATGTTTCTGCCCATAAATTTACAGGCCTGCGTCTGAAGCCCAACGGAGGAAAATATGCTCAGAATGGGGAAGATGTGGAGCAAGAAACAGTGAGTTTTTTGTTTGTTTGTTTTTGTACTTGATTAATTTTATTGATTCAACCCTTGCAATACCAAACATGAACTTCATGGCCCACATGGAAAGTTTTTTGAAGTTTTATGCATGTAACAAGAAAACAATTATGCTTGCAAATAACAGCTAATCAATTTGCAAGAGATTAAGCAGAACATGTATGTCAAGCTAGTTTACAAAGAGGGTCACAGAAAAAGAAATTGAGGACTTCTCCTGACTACTTGGGACACGCTGACACCAAACCCTACATACATTAAGCAAAATAAAAGAAACAGTGAGTTGGGAAAGCGTTAAGCCCCCCCCCCACTTCTGCAATCTCAATCACCCCCTCCTGAATCATTTTCTAGGTTCTAAAAGGTCTGGTTTGCCACTTTTTTGCATCAATATGTAGTTTTGCACGTTAATGGTCTTTTTGCTGACCTTCTCAAATTATAGACCTCGAGCCTTTTACAAATAGGCTTTTTAAACTGTTGTGTTAAAACCACAACAATCTTATGATGTGACAACAACTGGGCCTGCGGTTTGAAAGCCAGTAAGTAAAAGTCACAATTAGCATCGATACATCAGAGCCATCTAGATGACCTGCTTATTCAGCATTCATCCTGCCTTGTCCAGTCTTTACTAAGCATTTGTTCCAATTTATTGGGTAGAACAAGCATTGGTCTTGCATTCATCCCAATTTGTCTGTGAGATGTTTACACGTCTTCCTGTTAACCCCTCACCTTCCAATGCATTTTTCCCATCTCTTGCCAGATTGCAAATGGTCCATTTTTTAAGAAGTGGATTTATTGTACAGGAGCAACAGAGGGATTTAATGCTCTTTAACTGGGCAAATCTGAGGTTCTACTATGTCATTGAATTCCTCCTGCAAAATACTGGCAGTGCAGTCCTACACAGAAAATTACCATATCTTTTGCTCTATAAGATTCACTTTTTCCCTCCTAAAAAGTAAGGGGAAATGTGTGTGTGTCTTATGGAGCGAATGCAGGCTGCACAGCTATCCCAGAAGCCAGAACAGCAAGAGGGATTGCTGTTTTCACTGCGCAGCGATCCCTCTTGCTGTTCTGGCTTCTGAGATTCAGAATATTTTTTTTCTTGTTTTCCTCCTCCAAAAACTAAGTGCATCTTAGAGCGAAAAATACGGTAAGTGAAGTCATTTCAGTTACCTTAGATCGTGATGTGCTTATTGTTAGACTGCAGATGATTTATTAACAATAATTGTAAACCACTTAACATCCAAAAATCTAAACGTAGTGCATAAGGAAGTGAAAGGCAATGCAATGCCAAAAACCAAAATAAAAACAGTGTAAGATGCAGTTCAAACTTAGCAATGACCTATAAGATATAATCAAATGATCAAGCAGAAGTACCTTAAAACAAAGAACTTTACTAAAACAAGCTTTTGCATCCAACTCCAAACTCTCTATCTCCTTCCTGCTCTATCTGTTTGTACTGAGTCACTTCCTGGTAACTGTGCCACTAAGTTTCACTCCCTGACTCCTGTCCTAATCCTTTTACTTGGTTCCACATACACTGATACAAACAGCTACTCTAGAACACCCAAAAAGTTCCTAACTTGGGGTTTTTAAACAGTGATCTTTACAGTTGCAGCGCTTGAGTTGGAAGTAACTAGAGACATGCAATAGAACAAAACTGCAGAAGGGGGAAAGTGCTTAATCCACTGTCTGAAATCAACAGGTGTAAGCAGCGATTTCAGTTACCAGTTCTTTCTTCTGCTCCAGTTATCTGGTTATCTGAAGCTGGCAGGTCTTCTGGGACAGATGAAGTGTTATCATACTCAGTCTCTGACTCTGCTGGTGTATCTCTGATTTCCCTCTTCAAGTGCATCGTCCTTCTTCTTAACAGACACATTTTATTCACAAAACATGGATTTCCAGCTAGAGCAACATCGACAACAAAAAAAGAAAGAAAAAAGTTTGAAAAACAAAAAAGGCCATCAAAACAAAACCTAGAGAATATTCAACAATTTATATTAAATTAATTAGTGATTTGAATCTATTTAATTTTATGCTTATCTGGCTACATGGAGTTTTGCAAGTGTGCAGTTTGCAACAACCAAAGATGCCTATTCCCAATCGACCAGCATAACACCGTTGCCATTCTCTTTAAGGCTGCTGAATCACTTTTGCTACCCAGCCAAGCTCTTCCTTATTTAATGCAGTTTTCACAATCCTTCCTGCACCAACCATAAGCATGGTTAGCTCTTCACCAGTATTTGGATCCAGCTTCAAACCATGGTTGCAAATCCTAGTTGCAGTGAGGCAACCTGCTCAGACAGCAGGATCCACAGGGGAAGAAGATCCTGATGTAGATCTTTATTCAGGGCTGGTCTACCCATGAAGCGAGGCGAGGATCCCCAGCTGATGGCAAGAGGTTCAACCCTCTCACTCTTCCTCCAGTCTTCTGTCACTTACAGGCAGCCCCTGAGAAAAGGAGGGGGAGCAATAACAACAGAAACACGAAAGCAAGCTTCAGCAGGCGAAGCCGATGCCGTGGAAGGCTTCTTCTTGCCACCATGGCCTTCGTTCCCTCCTTTTCACACATGGGAGGCAACCCTCCACCCAAACAAGCAGCTCAGGCAAGGTGAAGCAAGTGTAGCACTGAGATGAGAGACTCAGACATGCAGGATGTTCATGGTCCTTGGAGTCACCTGTGTAGGCCAGAACATTCCAGGCAGAGCACAGCGACAGTTGGGAAACGGCAGTTGGGCACTGTGGGAGTGAGACCACAGGTCTTCCTTTCTTCATGCCCTCCAAACTGCATTACAAGCAGGTATTGGTTAGGGTAACGGGATGGCCCTTAAAAAGCAGAGACATCACCTTGCCAACAAAGGTCCATATAGTTAAAGCTATGTTTTTCCCAGTAGTGATGTATGGAAGTGAGAGCTGGACCATAAAGAAGGCTGATCACCGAAGAATTGATGCTTTTGAACTATGGCGCTGGAGGAGATTCTTGAGAGTCCCATGGACTGCAAGAAGATCAAACGTATCCATTCTGAAGGAAATCAGCCCTGAGTGCTCACTGGAAGGACAGATCCTGAAGCTGAGGCTCCAATACTTTGGCCACCTCATGAGAAGAGAAGACTCCCTGGAAAAGACCCTGATGTTGGGAAAGATGGAGGGCACAAGGAGAAGGGGACGACAGAGGAGGAGATGGTTGGACAGTGTTCTTGAAGCTACCAGCATGAGTCTGACTAAACTGCGGGAGGCAGTGGAAGACAGAAGTGCCTGGCGTGCTCTGGTCCAGGGGGTCACGAAGAGTCAGACACGACTAAACGACTAAACGACGACAACAGGATGAAGCTTCCAAGGGCTGTCTGTCTCCACCTATCAGGTGCAAAGGATAGAGAGCCATGTTTTCACCACGTCTACTGGTGTAGGTCCTGCCTTGAGAGCAGGGATCTTGGGGAATCTCTGGCCCTCAGGCCTGACACAAGCTCCAATTTGGCCCACGAGGCATGACTTAGTTGAGCCTTTTCTAGCAAATTCAGCTCTATGGACTTCATGCATTAAACTAGCACTGATATGCATTGTTAGGTTTGCTGCAAAAACTCCCACAGTTTTGAGGTTGGTTTGGGGCATTTTCATTTCTTTCTCTCCTCTTCAGGAAATACTTCATCATGGGATTCAAGTTATGGCACTTCCTCACCTGAAAGTACGGTAAGTAAGAGTGTGCTCCCAATTCTTTCCTTTCAAATTGATTGACATGATTGGCGCCAGCTGATTGAAAGGTGGACAGCCCCCTCCACTTGTCAAAATGATTGGGATAGCTCAGCCTCTATCTCGGCAGTTGACATATTTTAAGTATAGCCTAGCCTCCAAAACTATCTCTTTCTCAGCTCTTAAACTAGGAAAAACATATTTTTTTTAATAGTGGATTTTCTCCAGAAAAGTAAGGGGGCTGTGGGTGGGCAGGCACTTTAGGCGCTAATAATGCAATTTGTCCACTGCAAAAACCATGCATTCGTGAGGAGTAGTGACTCTACAATTGATAACCACCTAGAAGCAGGTCTGCTCCATCTTCTGCATGACTGTCTTCAGGTACTTAAAGGCTGCTATCATGTCTTTCCTTAATCTTCTCCTGGTGGAAGTTCTTCTAACTGTCCCTCAGAACTTGTTTCCAGACATACTGCAGGTGCATCAGGCCTTGTGTCAGAATCCAGGCTGGTACATGGGTGTGCCAGGGTTAACCAAGACTGAATGTTGGTGGCTGGATGCATATTCTATCACTTTCACTTTTAAAACGTGTTCCCCTTTTCTACAATAAAACAGTGCTTATTTCCAAGTAAATGCATTTAGCATCAGGGCAGTTATTTTATTTAGCGTCAGTTTCATTCCCGTAGTCACGATGGTTGCAATGATTTAAGTGAATTTAAAATGCAAAAGTGCACATGCTCAGAATATTTTCTTCTTTAAATCTGCGTTGTCACACTGCCTTTTGTCTGCTTTTGCTCTGGCGTATTGGGAATCTGGAAACTGCTGTAAAGCATGGATGGGGAGAAGATAAACAACTATTGTGTGCTTTGCAACTGAAGCACCACACACCACTACCCAAAGTTGGGGGGGTTATAAAAGGTTTAAGTCTAAAATTACATAGCGGCCCCACAATCTGTGCATCTTGCTACAATCTTCAACAGCTGCTTTTCAAAGCATGTAGCATGTTTTCAATTACTTTTCACACTCCCCACCCACCCAAAATTAGTGTCGCCTAACTTTTCTGTTACTTGACTAAACTGGTATGCAAAATCATATCCAGTAGTGTTTTCCTGCGTTGCTGAGTATTTTAGAAGATAAATAATCCCTCCCTGACCACAGAGAAGCATCTCCTTGAGAAAGGAACAAATGGCCTTATTCCTTATAAGGCATCACCCGGCAGCTTGAGCCCTGTGAATGGGCAATTGCTCTCTGATTGTTCGCAGCCTCTTGCTTCACGCAGCGGCTCAGAGCAGCGCCAGGAAGCTGCAGGCGGCGGGCAGAAAAACCGAAAGCAGCCGGAGCCAAGAGAGAAGCAGCTTCTGCAGCTCAGCATCCAGGACGGGACCATGGGCAAGTCAGGTGGGTGAACGAGTCTGGACGACGCTAGGAGCTTTCCTTGCCTATGAACGCAGGACCCCCCAAACCTTACCCCTTGCTTCGATGTGCATAGATCTTAATGGCTCTTTAGCCGAGCTTCATCCAGTAGCCCGGAAGGGTTTTCTTTGTGCAGAAGAAACCCGGAACTCGCTGCCTAGGATGCGCGACTTTTATGCATTGGGTTTGCCGTGACATGGATTTCGGTCTAATATGCTTGCTAGAAACTGTTAGGCAGCTGTCGCTTGCAGGAATGGCCATGGGGAGAGTCCGTTAGCTTTCAAGCCGTGCTTTGCGTTTCCTCGGAGGATGTGATTAAGAGGGGGCAGGAAGCAAGCCGCGAGCAGCGCAAACCTATTTGGCAAGAATTCAAAATAGCTCCCAATATATGTTGGCCCTTAGCCTGCACAGCTGCACTGCCTAAGGTGAGAGGGAGCAACTTTCCTTTCCCGCTGCTTATGCAATAGGATTTTGGCATCCCAACCAGCTGTGGCGCTTCTGTGTTCTAGGGTTCACATTTGGAACCGATACACTCAAGTTTCCGCAAGAAAGGAGGCTCTGGAATTAGACTGCTGTTCTAGAAGCTGCTCTGGAGCAAGGAACGTTGTTTTCTGGAGCAGCAGCATCATTCGGCATCAGAAGCAAGGGGGTCTGTGCGAGGCGGAGGGAGGAGATGGTGATGCAAGTCCCATGGGGCCCCCTTCTCATTCCTGACAACTTCAAAAGCTGTAAAACAAGCAGGAATGTAACAGCTGCTGCTTTTCTTCGGCCAACAGATGCTGTGATGGCAAAAGCTGTATCTTTTACATGTCTACTAGCCTTACAGCTTTTAAATGCAAAACTCTGCAACTGTTATGTCTGGCAGTACCAAAGAACTAGGCCCCTTTAGGAGGCAGCTATGTTCACAACACAGCAGCCTTAGAGCTCTGCACGTGGTGGGAAAGTCCAGAATGGAGAAGGATATACACTGTGTGTGTGTGTGTGTGTGCGCGCGCGCGCGTGTGTGTGTGCACACACCAGGAGTATGAAACCTGTGGCCCTCCAGATGTTGGACTCACCACTACCATCAGTCCCAGCCAGCAAGGGTCAGCAGTCACAAACAATTGGAGCTCCAGTGGAGCTGTCTCAGAAGGCTTCCGCATGTCTGTTTTAAGCAGATAGCTTTCCTTGGTCTTCTGTGCCAGAGGCGACATTTATCTACCTGTTATCAGTAACACTTGGGACTGGAGCCCAGGACAGTGGCCGAAGGAACACAGCTTGACTTTCTCAGCCAATGCAAGGAGGGGCCCTTAGCCATTCTCCACGAAGTTGGGAGTCAAACAGACTGAATCCCTGATTCAAATCACCAAGACTGGTGCTCCTCTGGGTCCTCCTGACAATACCTCTTTCTCCCATTGTTTTTACTTGTGGGTGGAAGATGTGGAGAAAGGGTGTGTGTGTTTTCATTCTCTCTCAGTCTGCCATAAATAGCAAGAGGGGTGGTAATCACTAGCTGCATGTTGTAACTTCTGATTGTGTACAAGGCCTGGGTGTGGGTGTATTTAAACTGCACTATCTGAGAAGTCCATCTGGTTTTACCCACATGTAGGCAAGGCTAGAAGTGTGTCTTGAGACTTCATGCAGCCTGCTTTTAACTGCAGCATCCAGCCAACAGATTTTTGTGTTTAATGCTATGAGTTTCTCCAAGCCTGATAATTTCAGGGTGCACACAGATGTACCTAAAAACCAAGTGTCAATGTTCTTTGTGAAGTTGATGTGCAGAGTGTTGAATACATGGGTGGCTTTGATGTCACAATCTTATTGTCGCTGTTCCATGGAACAGTTTTGCAATGAGAAAAAGCAGAAAAAAGTGGATTTGTTTTTTTTAAAGGTGCAATCAAAACATTTAATCAGAAAAGGGTACTCTCTGTTATAGAAAGCTTTTTCCCTGGGTGATGCTCATCAGGTGCGGAGAGTCTGTTGTTTTTCTGAGCCAGGCACAAGCCCCTCAATAGTTTAAATTTGGAAATTAGGGGTAGTATTGAAACAAATGATCATTATGGACCTACATTATGTCCAATTTTTTTCAATAGGTCTACTCTGAGTAAAACACAGCTGATTGACACCTCTGGTCTGTGTTATGGTGTGATGCTTCTGTTATAATTTTCTGTTACTTTTCTCTTGATTTAGAAGAGGTTTAATAAAACTTGCAAGCCACCTTTGACAGTAGTTTGAACTAAAAAATTGATTTAAGTATTAAATATTTGAAATGGGCAAACATGAAATTGGTGCTTAAGCATTGGAGGGAAGGATCTGGAAGCCTGCCTGAAATATGATGTAGAGCAGAGCTTGTGTGTTAAAATTGGATGACAGGCCCATGGGTGCATTTGTATTAGACAGTTTCTAAATCCTCTGAAATTAGCTTGTGTTAAGAGCTAATTAAGGCAGACTGGTGCTTCCTGTGGTATACAGTGGTACCTCGGGTTAAGCACTGAATTCTTTCCGGAGGTTCTGTTCTTAACCTGAAATTGTTCTTAACCTGAAGCACCACTTTAGCTAATGGGGCCTCCTGCTGCTGCTGCGCTGCCGGAGCACGATTTTTGTTCTCATCCTGAAGCAAAGTTCTTAACCCGAGGTACTATTTCTGGGTTAGCAGAGTCTGTAACCTGAAGCATCTGTAACCTGAAGTGTATGTAACCTGAGGTACCACTGTATTAAAAACTAATGCACTCTGGACTAATCCCCCTTCGAGATGGCAGCCTGGTGGTAATGGGTCATTAGTAAGACACAGGATCAAATAGGCTTTTGATGATTGGGGGTTACAGTACCTTGTTAGACAAACAGCACATTTCTCCACACAAGTAAGTCCTGTTTTGTTCAATGGAGTTTATTATCAGGAAGAGATTTTATCATTTTATTGGATTTTATATAATTTTAGAAAGCTAAAATCAATAAGGCATTATAACAGCAAAGGAACATCCTGTATTCCCTGCCCTCCCATCTCCCCCAGGAAAGAATTTTAGACTTCTTACAGTATGCAAAATTCTCTTAATATCTGTTATGTACCCTTTGAGGGTTCAGACAGTCATTACATGCAGAAATATCTAAGAAACCCCAGCCCTCTCTCTCATTCCTCTACAACAGAGGAGGAAACCTCTCTGGGAGCCAGATATTGCTGGACTCTCATCAACTCCAGCTCCCTTTCCGTTGCCCAGGCTGGCTTGGCCTGATGGCTTTTGGAGTCCAGAAACATCTGGAAAATCCATGTTGTTCTCCACTCCTGCTATAAAAGCAACTTGGAAAGGGGTGGTTTGCAGTGGGAGGTCAGGAGGAGAGAGAGTTGCTTCAGCCTTTTTTAACCCACCACCTGATTTGTATAATTAGGAAACAATCTGCATATGCAATGTAGGCCACCCAGATTTCAGGGACTAGAATGTAGAATATCTAAGTATGCATCTGTCAGGTTATCATTTGAGCAATATACCATGCATACAATAGAAGAAAACCATAAGAAACACAAATATCAGTGTCCTAAGACCACTGAGCTACAACAGCCCTTGAGCAACAAGAGAGCATTTCCTGAAAGCATTTCCTGTTTAGAATGGTAAACAGGCTGCTACAATATTGAAAACATCCTTATAAATATGCTGGCAAATCAATTTTTTTTTCAATCCGCCAATGAGGAATGACTGTTTGCAAGGTGAACATTTAATAGCTTAAAGTAGGAGGTGGGGATTTCCCCCTGTATATGTGAATATGTTCAACAGCAATGAACCTTAAATCCTCAGGTGTATTCTTACCTTCCAGGAAGTGAAATGTTAATGGAGCCTCAAATGGTTTTGTTGCAATCTTCTGTGCTCACTAATCTGTAATCTCAGGACTCCACTCATTCGTGAAGAAGGACACATTATTACTTATGTATACAGTATTACATTATTTCTGTAAAAACCTTTATGGGACTGGTACATTGTTTTTCGCTATTACAGTTCTGCACTGCAAGAACACTTTCCACACTCAAAGTGACCACTTATATTTAGGAGTCTAATTCTGTCGTGTATTTATTTTATAAATTGTATATGCAGCTCAAACCCCCAAAACAGTTTACAAAGAGACTGTACTAAGAGAATGTACTAATGTACAGGTTCTTTGTGTTAAATGAGCTATGATATCCTTTGAGACAAGTCTTGAAATCCTGGGATATGTCTAACTAAGCATTGAGACACTGTGTGTCTAATAGAAAAGGACATGCTGTTATATCCTACTGACCAAAATAATTTGTTATAATGAATCTTCTTTGCAAAAACAAAAATCTGAGTCCACCATACTGTATATCCAAGACATGAAACATTTTATTTAATCTGTGGGATTTTTAGCTGTTCTTGCATTGGTGCTAAGCATGCTATTCAGTTTCCTTGTTAACCAGAACATGCAAACTCATTTGTTTCAAATGGTGGTTTGAATTCTGGCTGGTGCAGATCATGACTTGTGCTGGTGCATTTAGCAATCCTATCCCATGGTTAAAGTAAACAATGAAGGGGTGGGTGGGTTGTGTGACTGCCACATCATGCTCTCAATCTTCTCATCTCCATTAGGGGAATATCAGACCCCTCAAGTGTCCCGATTTAATTGGGACATTCTGCATTTACAGAGGCTGCCCCGGCTTCTGATCCCAATCTGGGATGCCCCAATTTTCTCGGATGCCACTCTAGGCATCGCAGCGTCTCCCAGCATCACAGGACCCAGGGCAACCTCCCTGAGGCAGCTTGAGGCTGCTGAGCAGAAGGCTAAAGACAGCAATGGTGAGAGAGGGGAGGCAAGGAGGGGGCGATCAGGCGGGCGAGGAAGGGGTCAGCGGCAGGGAGGGGGCAAGTGATGTAGATGGGGGAGGCTGGGGGTGCCCCGAATTTTTCTTACAAAATGTTGGAGGGTATGCAATATTAAAGGGACGTGGGTGGTGCTGTGGTCTTGTTGCAGGAGAACCCCACCACCACCACTTGTTAACAGTGTAAACCACAGAGCCTCTTGGGCTTGCTTATCGGAAGGTCGGTGCTTCAAATTCCCGCGACGGGGTGAGCTCCCGTTCCTTGGTCCCTGCTTCTTCCCACCTAGCAGTTCAAAAGTACAAGTGCAAGTAGATAAATAGGTACCGCTCTGGCGGGAAGGTAAACGGCGTTTCCGTGCGCTGCTCTGGTTTTGCCAGAAGCGGCTTAGTCATGCTGGCCACATGACCCGGAAGCTGTACGCCGGCTCCCTTGGCCAATAAAGCGAGATGAGCACCACAACCCCAGAGTCAGTCACGACTGGACCTAATGGTCAGGGGTCCCTTTACCTTTACTGTTAAGTTGTGGGTCAACATATCAGACGACACAGCGATTCTTCAAACAGCTCTTGTTTATTCACAGGCCAGAACTGAACTGAAGGGTTCAGTCAGCCTGCTTATATAGAGCTCCAGTACAATGTAACTGTAACAATTTTCTAAAACTATCCAATCACTGAACGCCACTTTCGATCCCTTATTTGCATAACTATCTACAGTATCCCCCTGCTGGCCCGGGGTGAGAACTTCAGTACATAACATTTACCTTTATGCAATATTAAGTCTGCTCTGGAGTAGTTCTAGTCCATGCTAGTGACTGAAGCAATGTTTGGCTTCTAGTAAAATATTAGCTTGTGGAGCCCAACACCCTCCCCACTTTCAGGGTTGGAAGATCCCTATCTCCATGACTTCTGAAGGTCTTCCCACCACGCTATACATCATTTTTACAGATTTGTTAGCTTTGCAGATATATAAACAAGTGGCTTTCAGGAACCTTAGTCATTAGCATTTTTTGAAGACTTGAGTGGAAAAAACCCCAAGATAATGACTCATTGCAGGCTGTGTAATAGATTTCTGTATATATGAATCACAGTTAAAAGGAAGGGAAGCTGTACTGTTTTCCAGAAGTTGTATGTTCTCCTGCCTACTAAGAGTGGGCTTGAAAATGGATGGATTAAATTGCAACCAGGAGATGATAGGAAACACAGAAGTTGGTGAACTAGGGCCACATTTATGAATTTAACAAGAGCAGATCAGCAGTCTTCTAGGAGTGGAGGTACCTTCACCCCCACACTAATATATTTGAGAGAGCCGGGTCCCCCAAGTTGATGGGCATTGCCATTCCACTGGTAATTGGGTGCTGCATCTTGTGATTGGTGATGTGAGCGGGGCTTACCTGTCTCGCCCGCCCCCCCCCCCCAATATTTTATTCAATTTGGCACCCCTAGAGAGAGGCAGCCTTAACTATACCCAACTGTACCAGTGGTCTTCTAGCCACTAACCAGCAGTGCCATCTCATAACCATCAAACTAGCACTGCTAAAGTCCAGGGCCCCACCTGAAATATGCAGGATCTAAACCAAAGCAGGCAGTCAATGCAACTGCATGAACCAGGCAGCTCTCAAAGCCTGAATCACACAACAAATGCCTTGGGCTTTTCGACCCCAGCAGTTTATCAGCAGATAATGGATTATAAGAATCAGGATGTGCCAGGCATGCCTGCGTCTGCCTCCAAGCATTCTACATATCCTGAAATCCCCAGTAGTGCAGCACACACACACACCCCGCAAGACACCCACATTGGCTTCCAAAGAGGAGACTGAGAGGAGATATGAGAGCTGTCTTCAAGTATCTGAAGGAATGGAAGATGGAGCAAACATGTTTTCTCCTGCTGAGGAGGGTAGGACCCAAACCAATGGCTTCAAGCTACAAGAAGGGAGATTCCGACTGAACATCAGGAAGAACTTTCTGACAGTAAGAGCTGTTTGACAGTAGAATGGACTTCCTCAGAAGGTTGCGGTCTCTCCTTGCTTGGAGGTTTTTAAGCAGAGGTTGGAGGGACATCTGTCATGGATGCTTTAGTTGAGATTCCTGCATTTCATGGGGTTGGACTTGATGACCCTCAGGGTACCTTCCAACTATGATTCTATGATTCTAAATCCCAAACTCACACCTGGAATAAACCTTCCTGATCAACCTCTGTGTCTAAGCAATTCAGAACTGGGACATTCCTGTTAGTATCTCTTGCCTGTCCCCAAATAGCTGAAACTCCCTCCCTGTTCTGAGAGAACTTGCCCAAGCACTGCTAAAAGACACGTGAGCTATGCTTGTAAATAGAGTAGACTTCTTTCCAGAATTAATTGGGGTAGATGTGTGAGCATTTATGTATTAACTTTATATCTCTTCCTTCTTCCCAAAGGATTTCAAGACAGTATGCATCTTGTATTTATACAGCATTGCAAAGTGCTCAGAACACTTTATAAACATTAGGGGAATACTTTGGGCTTGCAATTATTTGAAAGTTCTTCAGGAGTACATTATCTCCATTTAAATGTGTGTTAGGATCACATGCTTAGGAGTTATGTCTATACTGACAGATCATGCATTAGATCAGGGAATATAACTCAAATTCACTTAATCTGGTTCTATAAAGCTTGTTTTTTTAAAGCAGCTTCTGCTTCCAAGTTTGTTGGAAAGTCCAGCTGCTCCCTTCTTTTCCATGAGCCCATCGTGCTGAGATTACCAAACTGACAAAGCAGGCTCTGTATCTTTCAGGCTCCAGAGGACAGAAATGGGAAGCGAATTAGTCATTTATTGTTCTTGTTTCTCAGCACTAGCACAGTTGCATCTTTAAGAAATAACATTCCTTGACTGCTGACTGGATGATTTCGGCTTTATTTCAGTTGTTACCGTATGCTAAGAGGCTTTGTGTCTTTGTGTGTGTGTGTGTGTGTGTGTGAGAGAGAGAGAGAGAGAGAGAGCGCAATATTAGAATTGCATATTTTTATAACCCTGTAAACGTAGAATTTTATGTTCCTGTACATCTTCGCTGAGTTAATAAAATGTAGTTGTTTGGTAGATCTGCATATTAATTATCAGATATGGAAAGTTTAATGTACATCACATTATGCAAAATATATGTCCTAAATCTTAATACTAAATGTGGTATCTAAATCCGGCATTCTGTATTGCAGGGCATTTTAAGATTACCAAATTAATAGTTACCTCAAGAGTTAAGATTGGGAGAGTCATAGCTCAATAGTAATTTACATGTGGAAGATCCCAGGTCTGGCATCACCAGCTAAAAGGCAAAGCTTTGGAGATCTTGAAGGATCTGCTCCCATTTGGATCCGACAATAATGGGACGAATGGCCTCATTTGCACCTTTGCATATTTGGTACTTGGATGTGTAGAGTGTTGCACAGTGAACACATTGGTAATGGGATGGAAATTATGCTATCCGTCCTCTTCTGTTAAATATTGGAAGTGCCTGTGCTAATTTGACCCAAGCTTGTGCACTGTTCTTTCTTTTTAAACATAAATATGGGTCATTTCTACACAAGGATTCTTTAGCACTGTTATCTGCTAGAAGAGGCATTAAAACTGTGGTTCTACATAGCGTGTAATATAGTACTATATTCCCTATAGGGAACCCCTCAGTTCTTGTTCCCACAGCAGAAACAAAAGTGGTTTGTGCATTACTGACCTACGCTCTTGCTATAAGGCTGCAATCCTAGGTATGTTTAAGTCAGAATTAACCTTCTGATTTACCCCCTAGAACGCACACTTAGGAATGCAGCCTCCGATCACATGGTGTGAAGTGATTCATGCTTCTTCCGGACACTGGCGTTATTTAAGTTGGTACTTCATTTACTGATTTGCTTTTTACAATCATAGCCAGGGGTGCCAACTTGAATAAAATACTGTGGGGGCCCAGATAAGGCCCACCTTGCATAATCAATCACATGCTGCAGTGCACACACACTGTTTGAATGCGAGTGCCCATCAACTTTGTGGGGACCCTCGGAGTTGGCTCCTATGATTCTAGCAATTGCAGCATTTGCTTCTTCATTTTTAAAATAATAATTTTATTAGTACACATGCACTTTAGTACAAAACAAATTGAAAATTAAAAAGAGTGGGGGCAATAGTTGCTGTGGAAACAAATGGGGGAAGGGGCCACATGCTGCAGGGACAGGCAGGCAGAACATCACCAACTTTCTTACTGAAGACTCCTATTGCTAGGTGCATTAATAGTGCTTTGCAAGTCTACACCCACCAGGCTGGTTTCTGCAGTTGCACTGAAAGTAGGAAAAATCACCACAAACTTTATTGAAAAAGATGAGAGTCCAAATAGTTTGCCAGAGACATCACTTGGCATCTTCCCAACATGAATGAGTGATGCACATTCCAGAGAAAGTCATTGCACTACTAAATGGAATAGTTCCAAACTTTCCTGCTTCTTGGAGATTAGCTGAGGTTTCAAGCAAAACTGCTCAGAATAGCCAATGTATCAAAGGAAGAAGCACTGGGACAGGAAGGTGATGCTTTTATGTATTAATTCTTTGCTATCGTGGGCTGTTTTGTGCTCAGTTTGCTTGCTGGAAATGTGGCATACAAAAGTAAAAGATGAGTATGAAGAAAGATAGATGTGCACCCTAAGTTCTTACTGTATATTGTTAATTTTAGATCTGTAGGCGCAGATCATCCTCTAGAATAAAATAGCTTACCAGGGAAATGCTGAAGACGCCCTTTGGGGTGCCTCAGGGTCAATTTTTATGGTAGCCCAAATCTCAGTTGTACGGGTGTATGTGTATATCTCAATTTTAGCTCATGAGCTATTGCTGCAGTCTGCTCTGATTGTATATTTTATCTTTATGAACACTGTTTTTATTGTGTTATGCAAGCTGGACTTTGACCGTAATAAATTATCTAAATCTTAGATATGGAAAAAAATAATATTTTATGCTAACAAATTGGCTTTGCTACTTTTTTGCATTGGTTGTTGAAGATGAGCTAAGGAGGTTATGGTTATAAGACAGAAACTCTGATACCAGGTCAAAAGCTTTGAATGCCAGAGATTACATGCATATTATAGTTCCTTTCTTCTTGTCTGTCTCTGCAATGCCATATATATCATAACGCATCCCCTCTTGCCAGAGCTTGTGCAACTAAGTGATCTCAGGTCCAGCTGTTTTAATACAAGCCACCTGATGAGTTGGTTAAACTGATTTTCTTCTTATTTTGTAGGCTTTGAAATGTAAGAGCAATGTAAGATTTTGACCCTTGCTTAGGGCCTGAAGCAGAGACTGGAATTGTTTTGAATTTCTAATGCTTTATACTGTTTTAGCTTCCAAGCAATTTGCGGAAGAGGTCTTAAGAGCCCACAATGACTACAGGAAGAAGCATGGAGTTCCCTCCCTAAAACTCTGCAAGAAGTTAAACAGGGAAGCACAGCAGTGAGTACAAGTACTTCTTTATTTTGTTAATTGAAGAGTTTATTGGTATTGCAGTACTTTTGATTAGATTCTTGTTTTGTTGATACTCAAATCCTCATAGATTTATTTCCCTGAACAACAACAAAAGACATTTTTTCCCCACTGCCAGGATCAGCATAATTGTCTTCTCCAGTGGTGCCATATTTTGGAAGAGCAAGGCGGCACACAGCAAAATCTCTAGTAATTTCTATAAGCATTGGTTGAAAGGAAGAAGACAACCTAAATGTTGTTAATGTCAATGGCTGGCACTACCAAAGAATATTAGAGCTAAGGAATACAAGCAAAATTACATGGTGCATGTTGTTGTTGTTTAGTCGTTTAGTCGTGTCCGACTCTTCGTGACCCCATGGACCAGAGCACGCCAGGCACTCCTGTCTTCCACTGCCTCCCTCAGTTTGGTCAAACTCATGGTGGATGTAGCTTAGCTCTAATGTTCTTCGGTATTGCCAGCGATTCACACCACCATTTCTTGGACCACTTCACACAGTTGGTAGGTCTCATAGGATGGGATGCCTCTCTGTACAAAAAGACCACCCAGAATAGACACAGTAGCTCCTAGCATGTCTGAGAGAAGGGGCCTTGCCTCGCTTTATCCTTCATGTGCTAGTTTTCTGGATGTATTAAATTTATATAATCTTTCAAGCATTCTGATGCTCCCCCTGTCTCTAAAAACTAAACAGTTGCTATCATGTTCCTGTTGAGGAAAAGATATTAACTGGCTGGTTTGAGGAGGATCACTTCATGGTGCTGGCACCCATGGCTTGGCCACTGCCAGAACTCCTTCATGGGGACCTGTGGGCGCTTGGAGACACACTGTGAAGCAGGGAGCATTGCATTCTGTTGCGCTATCAACATTCCAAGCGTATTATAGGGTTTGGTAATCTTTGGAAGCCTTTAGGTCTCACAGCAGGGCTGCCTCACACTCTCCTCCTCCTCAGGCGGACGATGTTCTGAAATACCTCATATCCCTTAAGGAACGGGGATTAGCTGCAAAATACCACGGCTTTGCATGTAACATCATTCAGCAAACTCCTGCAGCTTCCAGAACCTCTGAGACTACTTCCATGTATGGAAGCTGCTGGAAGGCTGGTGCAGAAGCTACCCACCCCCCCAGCCCAGGACACTAAAAAACCAATTGCATATGCTGTCCTAAGGGACATATAGACTGTGTTGGGCTCCATGGGCTGGTCAAAGTACGAGACCAGGCTTTTCCAGGCAGCCCATTCCCTTGCTTTCTTTGGGGTGCTGTGGGTCAGTGAATGCACAGCCAGCTTTTGGCTTCACTGGTTACCAAGGATTTTGTGCTGGGTGATGTGTTCCTGTCCCAGTCTTCCTTAAGGGTTCAGGTGCAGGTTTCTAAGACAGACCAGTCTGGAAAAGGGGCCGGAGGAGGATGAGATGGGAGACAGCCTTATGCCTTGGCTTGCATCGCTGATTGTGGTGAAGGCCCTGCCAGACGCCCTTGTCATTAGCTAGGCAAGAATAATCTGAGAAACAGGAAAGGCATCATCAACCTCACCAGCCTACCAGTCTGGAGAGTTTGCTCTTGAAACACCCCCTTAATATCTATATTTTGGTCTGAACTGTTGGTGTGGCAGCAGTGATAGGGCAGATTGGGGGCTGGGTGATTCAGCTCCCTGGCATTGTAGTTCATAACAGAGGCCTGTCCAGACCTGATGGGGCACATCTGTTCCCCATGGGCACCAAGGTGTGGCTGCTGGATGTTTACAAAGACCTTTGAGAGTGTTGCAGATGTAAGTAGGTTGGGGGGGAGCTGACTGAGGGTGGGGCCAACTAAGGTGGCAGATAAGGCATTGGGTTGAATTCCTAGTCAATGCAGATGGGGAGGCAACTGGGACTTAAGGGATTGGGGTGCTCCCTTAAAGGTGTCTGGGGGAGGTGCTTCCATCCTGACACCCAGGTGGGGGCTGATGGGCCAGGATACCCCCCGAAATGGTGATCTTAGAGGTCCCCCCATTTTGAGGTACATCCCGGAGTGATCCTTAACCTGAGATTAACCCTTCTTTTATCCCAAAGCAATTGTCTTGTTATTATTTCATCTTCCTTGATTAGTCCCCAGCTGCCCACGGCCTCACTGTGTCTGGGCCCACAATCCTAAATTCACACACAAAGTGACCGTCAGTAAGATGGGTGGGATTTGGCATCATACTAAGGTGATCATTATATCAGAACAAGTATTTGTGCTTTCTGGGCCGAACAACCTCTCCTTTCCTCTCCTAAACTCTTTTCTGGGGAGTCTCTCGATCCCCTGAGCTGCTTTAGGAGAATTGGAGGGAGGGGAAAAGTTTAGTCAAGCTAGCAAGACTCATTGGTTGAATACAGCAAATGACTTTGCAAAAAGCAGTATCAGAAGAGGATCAAAGGCAATCCCATGCAGATGTTAAGATCGGACGGGGAAAACAAAGACAATCCTTCTGGTCACTTGTCCTACAAAATCCATGCATGACAAGCAAACCTAGATACTCACTCCCCAGCCTTCAGACAGAAAACCCAATAGGATGTAAGTGGGAGTTGAAAATAAAGTAAAGTGCAATAGGGTAAAATTAATGGCATAAGGTCCGATTCATTGCGAAAGGCTGTTCACGAAAGTATGAGGAGAACTACATGGAAGCAGGCACACAATGGTCAGAATATTGTTCAGTGTGACAGCCAGAAAAGGGATGCAAGGTAAACACTGATTCAAAACACAATTTTTAAAAAAGAGATTCAGAGGAACTAGACCTACTATACTGCCCTACAGAAGATACCACAGCAGATGTTCTGCAAAACCTTTATCAGGGGAGCGTTCTCACAAGCTATTAAGAAAAATCAGCTTTGTGGGTTAATTAATATGTCTGTTGAGAAGGAGTGTTCGAAAAGGCAATGGTGCGTAATTAAGTAATACTGTCCTGAGAGGAAGAAGCCGCTAGAGAGTTAATGTCTATGGGAACGAAAAGCTAAGTGGCCTTCCTGAGCTTTCCGTTCTCATTTCTCTTCCTGCTTGCTTGTTTCTGATGTATGTGGATCTTAAGTGAAAGATCCCGTTTGGTTTACTTTGCAGCCATGTCTGCCTTCAGTGTGGTGGGCCAAAACCTACTCAGCAACAATGGAAGCATAGAAATCTTTATCGGAGAATCACCTCAGCATGAAGAGAAGCACACAGCACTGTCAACATACCAGAGTCCCTCATCAAATGTTGACTCATATCAAATAACAATTTCTTACCCTTTCTACTACAAATATGGCATGGCCCACCCTCAAATTTACCTCTTTTGCACAACCCAGTTTCAGATCAATCTGTGGGACCATTTTCTATCTATAAACTCTGGAACCTACCTCACCCCACCCCCCGATTTCTCATTACAATGGCAGGATACAATTCAGCTGGCTCACCCTTCACATCCATAGGGTTAGGGTTAGCGCTGGTGTTGCCATTATTAGTATTAACATTGGGGGGGGTCTTGGCTCCACTGCTGAGACAGGAGGAGGAAATAGGGGCTTGTCAGCCCTCCACCCCATTTCAAAGGCCAAAGGAAGGAATATCTAGGACAGGCTTCCTCAGCCTTGGCCCTCCAGATGTTTTTGGCCTACAATTCCCATGATCCCTAGCTAGCAGGACCAGAGGTCAGGGATGATGGGAATTGTAGTCTCAAAACATCTGGAGGGCCGAGGTTGAGGAAGCCTGGTCTAGGAGGACCAAAGGGAGGAGCTTGGGCAGAGGCTGTGTTTGATGATGGCGATGATGATGATAAAGATAAAAAATTACTTATAGCCTGCCCATCTGACTAGGTTGCTTCAGCCACTCTGGGTGGCTTAAAAAGGTAAAGGGACACCTGACTGTTAGGTCCAGTCGTGACCGACTCTGGGGTTGTGGCGCTCATCTCGCTTTACTGGCTGAGGGAGCCGGCGCACAGCTTCCGGGTCATATGGCTAGCATGACTAAGCCACTTCTGGCGAACCAGAGCAGCGCATGGAAACACTGTTTACCTTCCCGCCGGAGTGGTACCTATTTATCTACTTGCACTTTGACGTGGCTTATAGCATAATAAAAGCACAGCAAAGCATCAAACATGAAAAAAAAACTTCCTGAAAAGTTTTCCACACTCGTATGAGTAGCTCTGGGGCACTATGTTGTTCTTACACGGAACATTGTGCATACTCTTCATTTAGAACAGGGGTCACCAACCTACAGCCAGATAAGGCCCAAGGGTCTTGTTTATTTGATCCGCGGTGGCGGCCACTGCTGCCGCCCACTCTTACTGGCACGGTGCAGCACAGCACAGGGACCCACTTCCCGTGCAGAGGAGAATCGGAAATAGCATGTGCGCGTGCGGATGGGTGCAGGCTCCCCCGCCCTCTGGCCCGCCACGCAATCATCGCTGGAGACCCCGGCCTGAGGCAAGGAAAGCTTGGAGACCCCTGATTTAGAACAACCTTCACCACCTGGCACCCATTTTGCTTCAGCATCCTGCAGTCTGTTTACGCTTATGTAAAGACCTTTCCTTTTTTTTTATCTAGGTATTCAGAAGCACTTGCTAGCACCAGAATCCTCAAACACAGTCCTGAATCCAGTAGTGGGAAATGTGGGGAAAACCTCGCATGGGCTTCGTATGATCAGTCAGGTAAGATAAGTACATAGGAAAGACCTGTTAACATTGCAGTGCTCAAACATTTTCCTCCCAAAACTGTAAGGACTGCAATCTAAGCAACACATATGTGATAAAATATCATTGAAAGCATTTTTTTATTTGTCAGTCCAATAGTGGCACAGTGCCATACTTATGCATGTTCAAGTGGGAAATGTCCCTCTTGATTCAGTGGAACTTGCTCCTAAATGAGCATAGGATTGCAGCAAGAAGTTTAAGATAAACATTATTAATTTTCAATGGTTGGAATCGGTTGTATGCTTTGTGTAGGTATCCCAGTGCCACCTTTGGTACTCTTGTTCAAGGCTCATTGAACCTAGGCAGAGAGCTGGTGTGGTATTGTGTTGATAAAGTTGGATGCGAGCCAGCTTATATTTTTTTCAGTTATTTATTACATTTGTATCCCACCTTTCCTCTAAAAAGCTTGCATCTCCATATCCAGGTACTCAGCCACATTGGCAGAGAAAAAGTGCTTTATATGCTTTGTATATGCATTATAATACTGTGACACCAGGTGGCGCTGTAGAGTTCCGTTTTTGCCAACCTGATTTCTCATACAAAGTTTACAATGCGTTTAACTGAAACGCTTCTTCTTTCATGTGTCTAGATCCAGCCCAGAAATGTTATGGCCCAAGGGTAAGGTAGGGTGTAAATCAGTAGAAAAGAGGCAGAACCTAACTACTGAATCCAATATGTTTAAAGTTATTTAACTGCTTTAAATATTAAAACATTTGAATTTTATAAAATTGAAAATGTGCTTAGTGCTTGTCAGTTATCTCTGTGATTTTACACTCACCGACCAAAACATTTCTAAATTTATTTTCTCTCAAAATACACATTTTACATATTTTGATACATTTTTCAAAACTGCATCAGGACATTTGGTAACTGCAAAATACATACTTAGGTGGTCAGAAAATTCTTTCTCTTTATGTTTTAAATTCAGCTACTTATTGCTGTTGGTCAGAATGGTGTGTGATACTCTTTTTTTCCCAAAACTTTGGGGTTTTTACTAACTTAATTCCAGCTTGGTTAGAATGTTTTTTGAGAGCCCAGAGCTGCCTTGTCTTGGATGAAAAAAGAACAGAGTGGCAGCATTTTTGCACCTCATCAGTTGCAATTCAACAGCATCTTTTCATTCATTTTGCAGGGAGCGAAGTAGCTGACAGATGGTACAACGAAATAAAAAGTTACAACTTTCAGAGTCCGGGGTTTTCCTCTGGGACAGGTGAGTATGGGCTTGGCCTTGCTTACTGAAAGTTAGCCAGGGCTGGCCCACCTATGAGGCAAGGGAAGGTGACTGCCTCGGGCAGCAGGATCGCAGGGGCAGCAGATCCCGTCTCTAAGGAATGAATCACCCGCTGCTGCTGCTGCTGCTGCTGCTGCTTTGGTGGTGGCAATGATGGCTGTGGGACCCTCCTTGGAGGCCGCAGCTGCCCCTCCTTGGCACCCCCCCCATGCTGCCTCTGCCACGGCCTCTCAGTGAATAGGAGGCAATGCTGGTCTCCTCCCACCCCTAGCAAGGAAATGGTGGGCTCCCCATCCACCCAACGAGATTCAGAGAGTGGACCTCTCTCTTCCTCTCCCCCCCCCCACCTCAATTGTTGGGTGAGGCTGAATTGATTTCCCCCCTTCACTCACCCATTCTTCCCTGGTGCAGGGGTGCCATTTAGTGGTTCACCAGAATGTTTTTGGCTGGCCCTGCGGATAACCTAAAGGACACTTCTAGTTTCTCACAATATCTCAGACATTAAGCTTTTATATAAACATATCCTTTCAACTGAATAGAGGGTGGGGAGGTGGAGGCATGGTGCTCAAAATTCAGCAAGAAACAGGCGCTGGGTAACCAAGTGTGAAGAAGCTCAGGCTTAGTAATTTCTAAATCTTCCTCTTTCTAACACCATAACTTGAAAAAGCATTGATTCCAAAGACACATGGTTTAATTTTTCAGGAAATGGCAGAGATACCAGTTAGAAGCTTTACTAACTGCATTGGGTTAACCTGTTAAGTACGGATGTGTTGCCATAGAAACAACTAACTTAGGGATGCCTCGAGAGCAATAAGCCAGTGACTAGCCAGGGTTAGTCTCATCGGGTCGCTGGGAATTCTCAAGAGGACAGACATGCTGTCTTTTTTGAAACCAAAGCTATGACTTTGGGGGTTCTCCATGAAGCCTAATGGGGAGCAAGATTGGCTGGAGTGTTCATTCTCTTCCATTTAATGCTCAGCCTGTGTATGTTTATAAATAAAAGCGTGTATCACAAGAACACCACAGTCTCCAGTGAGCTTCATACCAAGGAACCTGAAACTGAGGTCAAACAAACAAGTTAACTAATTGGAGCGCTCCTTAAAACTTTCAAATGTATCCTCAAAACAATTGTTCTTTTAAAAAGTTATGAGCAAGCAATACTTTTATTGCGCACAAAGGTTAAGGTCCTTGAGTTAGGATGCTTGAATTTCCTTGAGCAATTTTTCTGAAACCGAGTACTGTTCTCGCCCAGTCTTGCATGAGACTCTTGCCCAGAGCCTAATAGATTCTGTGTGGGGTTTTTCTTTAAGGACACTTTACAGCCATGGTTTGGAAGAACACCAAAAAGATGGGAGTTGGCAAGGCGGCTGCCAGCGACGGCTCCACATTTGTGGTGGCCCGATATGAGCCTGCTGGCAATATTGTAAACCCTGGTCACTACGAACAGAATGTCCTCCCGCCAAGGAAATAACGTTGCCAGGAGCCTGAGGGAAAGGACTGTTCAAGCGGCTAATGAAAAGCAAAACGGAGGATCGGATTAGTTTGGATAAGCAGGTTTATATTTGAAAATGGTTATCAAACTTGCTACAAGGAGAGTGGCTTGAATCGTGAGAATCAATCTTGCCTACCAAAATGGACTTTTGTATGGAACCAGTGCCTAAAGGGCTGAGGAACCTCAGCAAGCCCAAAATGCAGAATGTGCAAAAATTAGGAGTTTAAATAATGGTTTTATATAGCTTTATATTTGTCTAGGGTTCCTTTTAAAAATTACATTTGTATGGTATAAGTAAAATTCAGTTGTGATAACTTTTAAATGTTTTTTTTAATCAAGTTCAGATTGCAAATTACGAAGTAAACAGTCTGATTTTGGCTATTGTATCAAAACAGTTGAGTTCCTTATGAATCCCATTCACATCCATAGTCCTTGCTTCTATGCAGTACTTTATAATATTTTTGTCTGCTCTTTCTAGATGTATGAGGGTTCTCTCTGTAGCCTGGATACACTCTGTAAATAACATTTGTGTTCTTTGGCCAAGTGCATGTGTCGAAATCACAATGGTCTGTCAGATGATGGTAGCATTTGGGAGCACAGAAGATGAAAACTGAACTCTGCCATGTACTGTATATTGAACAAGGTTTGCCGTTGGCATGAAAGGTTTCCCAGTTAGCTGAAATTTGAACTTAGTCCTAGATGAGTAGCTACTATTTGGATGAGTACTATTTGCTCAGTGAAATCTAGGATGCCACATAGCAGCCTAAATCCAGGGCTATATACATGTTGCAGTGGAAGTGCAGAATTCAGCTTCTTGAGAATCTCACTAGAAAATAAAACCAAGCAGAACAGCTGCAAAAAGATGCTTAGAAGTGCCTGGTCAAATGCCCACCAATATGTCAGAAGCCTGGTAGTTGATGTCAGTAGTTCTGTGGCTTACATAGGTTCTTGACCTCATTAGTAGCAAAACCAGAATAAATTATGCAAGATAGCAAAAATACAGGTAAATTATGCAGATAAGCGAAATCGTGCAAATAGAGCAACTGTGCATAATTTATACTGGTTAAAGGATTACTCTTTTCTTGGTGCATAATTTAGATGCCTGGTTGCAGATTTGTTTTTTTAAAAAGTTGGCACAATGTGTGCTTGTTGTATGTACAATTCAGATGACAATTTACATGATATGGTGTTGCTCACAGTGGTTTACATTAAAAATACATACCATACCAACGACTAGGGGAAGGCAGGCCCTTTGGGATTATTTTGCCATCATTTGAAATCATAATCTTTCTTAACACCATCTCTTCCCCCACTTTAAGAAATATTGTAAATCTTCTATTCATCTGCTCTTTTAGAACATTCCTGTTAGATATGTAACTGGTAATGCATGACTTTTTGCTGCAGTTCCAAGTGAGTGTAGGAAGGTACACATACGGTAACTAAGCTTCCTGAGAAATTCAGATTTCATTTTGTAAAGCAAGATGCAAAAATTTGCTAAAAGCCCAGAAGTATGAGCAGTGCCTGAATGAGATTTTCAGTCATTGGGGACGTCAGGTTTCAGTGTCATTTCCTTTCCCATGATTAGCAAGGGCAGCATAAATTATGAAAGACAGCAAAACTTGTAGAGTAAATTATGCAAAATAAGATAAATCATAAAATTTGAGCAAATTTTATAATTTATCACATCTCACAGGATTTTGTTTTCTTAGTACAGAATATGGATTGCCTGAATATATACAGTGCAGAGTACACATAGTTCTGCACAGAAGACTTGCCCTTATATTTTTGATACATCTATACATCTGAAATAATACTGCCCAGGGCCAGCCACTGGCTGGACTGTAGATCTCAGCCAGCCAGCTGGAGGGTGACCAACGAAAAGAGAGGCGGTATCTCAGCTACTCCCAGGGAGGCTGCCAGCCTCACCAACCAGCCCAGGGCAGTTATAGTTTATCCGATGCCAGCATTCAGATGATGCTTCCCTGTTTGGTGGTGGATGGTGTGGAGGAGAAGGGGTGAGAGACCCCGGAGGAAGGGGACAGAGTGCAAGTCTCCACTGGGAGCTGCTGGATAAAGAACCGGGATGTGCACAGAGGGGAGAGAAGGGTTGGGTCAACCCAGAAGTTCCTGCCTAGGATTCTCATTTTGGCACGAGGCAGAGACCTGTGAGTTTAGACAAGTTTTGGGGTGGGTGGGTCCTGTGAACCCTGGGCAAAGAGCAGGTGAAAGGAGGAGAGAGCCAGGGATGCCCAGATGCTAAGAAGCTGTTCCAGTGGCAGTCTGCTCCTTACCTACCAGAAGAGGAGAGAAGAAAGACGATCAGTGTAGCATCTGGGACATTCTGAGGGGCGGGCAGAGGAGCCCATGTGGCCCAGATTGGGGACAGCAGCCCCCAACCTCCCTTGAAGCCCCAAATCCCGAAGGCAGCTTGTAGGCCTCCTTGCTTTAGTCCCAGGCTGTGAACACACTATACCTTAAAAGCAGATTTCTCCCCTCTCCCTCCCAAAGAATTATGGGCACTGTAGTTTATCTCTCAGTTACAGTTCCTAGTGACCCTTAAACTACAGTGCCTTGGGCAGAGGGGAGTCACGTCCAATAAAGTGAGGCACCAGGCACTGTAATTTAAGGGTGTGTGTGCTTCAAATGCCCTTTAAAGGCATAGTCCATACGCAGCCCCGCTTTAACCAGAACACACACCTCACCCTAGGGAGGCCCACCCATGAGGCAAGGTGAGGCAACTGCCACAGGTGGCAGGATCCAGTGGAGTAGCAGGTCCTGATGTCAATCTTTCTACCCACCTTACCTCTTACTTCCATGAGCATAGCCTTACTAAAATTGTGTATATTCATGAATATTCAGCTTCTGTTTAAAAGAAATGGAACATGAAATCAGAAAGGTCTTTGCCTTACATGGTCACATGATATTAAGTGCTGCCGTTTGTATTCCAAGTCCATTAAATGTAACCCAAGAATTCAATGCAGCAGAATTATTAATATTTGAAAATAAAGTATTTTTCGTATGAAGAGTTTGTGGCTGTTGCAAAACTAATCACCATCACTATAGCCATAATTCAGAAGAGTGGCCCAACACACATGGGATAGAGAAGCAATAAACGTTGAGACTCCATAAAGGAAGTGATAGCACATCTGTAAATCCTTTGGTTGGTCAGCTTGTAATTTTGTATAACAACTGTGCTTATACAGAGCTTATCTTACAGAAGAACAAAAAAGAAGAAGAGGAAACTGCCATATCAGGAAAAAGGGGGTGGGAGTAATAGAGGATTAGGTTTGGCCCCAGATTCAGGGAATAATTTCATTCCATCAAATCATTTTTCACCACTCTTAATTTTTCTTACTTGTGAGACACACCATTACATTTTGGGGAAAGAGCTTTTCCCCGTTTATTAATAAAATAAAGTGAGGGGATTCTCCCATTTTCTTGCCACAGTACCTCAGTTCTCATTAAGAGAGGAGGCAGAGAAAATGAGAAGAAAATGTCAGGATTCCCCCCTCCCGATGGAAACTCCCCTAATTGTTTCAGTGGAAAAGATAGCACTCTCACAAAGAAACAGCTATTGTGGATGTGTTATTCCTTCACTGTCAGAGGCAAGATGTCCCAGACTACCAGTTCCTGGTAATCACAAGCGGCTTTCTCTCCATCTGGTATGCCAGCTGAGACCCTACCTGTCTGCACATTGTACATGCTCTGGTTATCTCCCGCTTGGACTACTGCAATACGCTCTACGTGGGGCTACATTTGACAGTGACTCAGAAACTATAACTAATTCAGAATGTGGCTGGGAGTGGCTGCCGGGACCATATGACACCAGTCCTGAAAGACCTACATTGGCTCTCAGTACGGCTGGATCTAGACACACCAGGGAAGCGTTTCAGTTAAACATGTTGTAAACTCATACGGGGAAATCCGGTTGGGAAAGTCGGGACTCCACAGCGCCATCTGGTGTCACAGTGTTATATCGCTTATAAAACACATATACAGGTTGGCGCTGTGGGTTAAACCACAGAGCCTAGGACTTGCTGATCATGAAGGTCGGCAGTTCGAATCCCCGCAACGGGGTGAGCTCCCATTTCTCGGTCCCTGCTCCTGCCAACCTAGCAGTTTGAAAGCACATCAAGTGCAAGTAGATAAATAGGTACCACTCCAGCGGGAAGGTAAACAGCATTTCCGTGCTCTGCTCTGGTTCGCCAGAAGCGACTTAGTCATGCTGGCCACATGACCCGGAAGCTGTCTGCGGACAAACGCCGGCTTCCTCGGCCTATAGAGCGAGATGAGAACGCAACTCCAGAGTTGTCTGCAACTGGACCTAACGGTCAGGGGTCCCTTTACCTTTACCTTTTTTACCATTGTAAAACACTTTTTCTTTACCAATCTAGCAGAGTCCCACGTCTCCAAGCACAATTCAAAGTGTTGGGGCTGACCTTTAAAGCCCTAAACGGCTTCAGCTCTGTATACCTGAAGGAGCGTCTCCACCCCCATCGTTCAGCTCCACTCGCCTGATCCAACAAGCTCCTCTTCTTAAAGCCAACCACTATTAACATAAACTAAGGGCTGGTCTACAAAGTAAGCAGATGCCATGGTAAATCCATGGTTGTGCTGCTTGCAGGGGAGTGATACTGTGTTTGAATATTCCTCCCTGAAAAGAAGAAAGAATGTTATTCTTGACTAGAACTCTTCTTCCTGAGGTCAAGGTTTCTTGTTTTTCATACGCAGGAGCATTCTGTCATGGGGGTCAGCCTGAAGCGATGCAATTCAGGACAAGCTTTACCACATTCAGCCTGTCTCCTGGTCTCATAGGTTTATTGCTGTCTCACCATGTGCCCAGATTGTAACTCAACTTGCTTTCGTGGTGTAGCACGCAACTCACTTTCAAGTGCTGCGGTGTCTGTAAACACATCCTGCAGGAAACCCCCCATCAAGATACAACAAACTTGCAATATAGAGACACAAAAATAGTGAATGTAGATGCGCCCCACACAGACTGGTAAGAGGGAAAGCAGAGAATCCCATGACAGCAGAGGCAGAGCCAATGACCAATTCTTGTTTTGACCCCATCCTTCTCCCAGCTACCTTCAACAACGTCAAACCGAGACAAAGGAGGAAGCTGTCTGGCCGTGCCATCTCCTGAGGGATGGCTGAGGTAGGTATGGTTGGTCCAAAAGCCCTAATGGACCAGCGTCCACCATGTGTGACTAGGGAAAAGTCTACCTGAATGTGCCATGAGATGTGTGGACATGCCTCTTCCTCAAGCATCCCACTGCTGTACTCTCAGACACACACCAGCTCCCCTGGCTCTCATATTCTCTTGCTTTGGCAATATGAATCACACAACCTCTAATAGCACCCGGTTTGTTGTTTCCATTCACCGCAAAACGATTCAAACAGATGCCCTTTTAAACCCGCCAACCTCACTTGCTGAAGCTATTTTATTGTTCTCCAGTAGATGACAGTGTTGCCCTTCAGCCAGAATGAGGACCACAATATTGGAGGGGGAATTGGAAACAGATTTAATACACGGAATTTGACAGTTCTGAGCTGCTCAAGCTTTGCCCCTATCATATTGTCTCTTACATCAAGAGCTCACTTAGGTGTTGTTTATAAGGTCCAAGTTATTAGACATAAATTTATATGCAAAAATATATGATGGATGCCATCACCATGCCGCTTGATGTGAAAGGATTTTGCAGAGGACCGAGGCAGACTGGGAAGGAGCCAGCTGAAGATTGTATCCTGTCTAGATGGGTCATCATTGCGTGAAAGAGTGAAAGCAGGGGTCAGCAGACTTTTTCAGCAGGGGGCCGGTCCACTGTCCCTCAGACCTTGTGGGGGGCCGGACTATATTTTTTTTGGGGGGTGGAATGAACAAATTCCTATGCCCCACAAATAACCCAGAGATGCATTATAAATAAAAGGACACATTCTACTCATGTAAAAACACGCTGCTTCCCCGACCATCCATGGGCCGGATTTAGAAGGCAATTGGGCTGGATCTGGCCCCCGGGCCTTAGTTTGCCTACCCATGAGTGAAAGGAATAAAGCATTTCTGGACTTTACGAACTCCTGCATAAAGTAAAACATTAATAAGAGCTTGGGAATAGTCTTCTGTTGTAAAACCACCATATCTCCTCTCGTCAGAACCACTAACACGGCTTCTCTTGGCATGTGAAGTCTAGGAGACAGTTACTGTTGGGTGTGACCTTCCTGCATCCCACCTTAGTGCTTTCCTTACTTGTTACTGAATGGATTCTTTGCATTTTCTGCCTTCAGAGTTTTCTGTTCAAACAACAGTAACCATAAATATTTATGATGGTGGTGGTGCTTTTTTAAAAAAAAAAAAAATTAATGTAATGATCAGAGCTCAGGGGAGAAATCGAACAGCAGCTACTGCCTAGAGCAGGATTTGAAGCCGTGTCTTCTGGTCCTTGATGAAGATTATTGAACATCAGTGTACCCCATTCCCTGCAACAGTTCCTAAGGAAATTTGTAGTGAGAATATACCTGGGTAAGTGGTGGAGGAACCATGCAGTTACTAAGGGTACAAAGTGCAACTGTTGCTTCAATTACTGTTCTTTAAACACATTTCTGCGCTGACAAGTTGTTGATGAATGAGGATACCGGGCATGTCCGCAGTTCTGTAGTGCCCTGTGAATCTCTTATCTGAAATAGCAGCACCTTCACAAACCTAAAACATTCCTTGTTTCGGTGTTGTTGTTTGTGGCAGTGGAGCAGGGGATATCATTTAGACAGATACAACATCTATGTGTGTTTGCATTATAATCACAACCTTGTGTTTTAGCAGGAAGAACCACAGTGGCTGCCATTTTAGCAGCGCCATGGACCAAATTCTTCACACACAAAACAGTCTAGGCAGACAGCGTTAAAAATCTTGCTAATAATTTCTCTCCACCCGTCAGAGTGACCCAAGCCTTAAAACTGTTAATGATCTTTTCCAGCAGCTCTAGTGATTTTTCAGCTGTCCACTGAGGCCATTAATCAACGTAACCAAGGCTGTCCGTGCAACATGTACCAGCAATTTGCCTACAGAGAGAACTATTTCCCCCTCCTGACTCTAGCCATGCTAATCTGCTCGCCCAATTAGTCCAATTAGATAAAACAACAAAAATAAAAGATTTAAAATGAAAGTTCTCAGTCCTGCATGGCTTAGCTTAATAACCTGCAAAGTGGCCACTAATTAAGAGAAAATTGTTTCATATTAAACCCGTCCCCAGACTACTTACATGATTACTCTTTCTGGGGCACTCAGAAGGAGGAATTCAGTAATCTACATCCTCCCATTTTTTGTTTCTTAGTTAAGACAGTGACATCTGTTATTCTCACAAAATTTGGGATGTGTGTGTGTTGAACTGTATAAACTTAATTCTATGGGGGAAAAACCTGTATAAATCTACCTCTATGGAAAAACTTTAAAAACTCAGAAGAAAATATTCTTTTGAATTATATACCTATCATATGGAAGGTGACAACTGGACAACAAAAATGGAGTCTATGTGCCCCAACTATTGCCTAATAATAATAATAGTAATAACTATTGCCAAAGGACTGGCATTGCTGAACTGGTTGTCCTTCTGCCAGCAGGTGAAGATTTTCCTATTCCAACAGGCCTTTCGGAACTGATGGCTCTTAATGACAGGACTGGTGCAGTGCTGGTTTTATAGTAATTATCTGTATGGCTTTAAAAGATATCTCTCTCTCTCTCTCTCTCTCTCTCTCTCTCTCTCTCACACACACACACACACACACACACACACACATTAATGTTCAATTGTTTTTATTATTGGTTTCCCCTCCTATTTTTTTGACTATTTTTAATTTATCTTTAAGCCGCCTTGAGTCCCTTTTTATATAATATAATGATGATGATGATAATGCTTTTTGTCCACTTTACTAAACTATTTCTCAGCAGCAGCTAGACAGTGAAATTTTCGGAAGCTGTAAGCAGAACAATGTACTCAGGCATTCTGGCCAAACAGCAATGAGTGCAGGT